GGTTTACATTCTCTTTATTTATATTACAAAATCGAAAAAATTCCAATTTTTTTTATAAAACACCTTGTACATGCTAGTTGCCCCTATTAAAGTGCCTAAATTTTGATAATAATCGAAATGAAAATACTTATAAGAAAAAATAAGTGAAATGAAAATATGAGAAATTTTTAATTAAAATATTAATTAATATTAAATTTCTTTTATTTATTACAATTATTTAAAAAAAATTATATCATACATATCACTCGAATACAAGCACAGTTGTTCGAAAAGTTTCGTCCTATATTTAAGCGGCCCCTTCTTAAATTTTGTTGGTAGTCACTGGTCATTCTCACAATTATTGTTAGGTCCACTGCATTATTGTTTTAGGGACATCAGTGGTGTTAAGTCTTTAACACATAAGTTTGGTGTGAGTTACACGTTTGAATATAGGATTTTGAGAAACTTGTGCATGATTCCTTTTCCATTGTCCTTTCCTTTTTCTTTTCCCTTTTCCCTTCATGCCCTCCAAATTCATTCAGACTCTTGAATCATGGCGGCTTTATCTGCATGAATTTCCACAAAGCAAGCTGCCGTTCAAATACATCCAAACAAAATTGTACCCCGAGGAAAGTGGGAAAGTATTTTCCCAAGAAAGTTCGCGGAAAAATTTAAGAATAATTATTGTCTAGCATAGCTAATATTAGAGCGATTGATATTATAAAATAATACTATATTATACAAGACTGTCAAATATAATACTAGTTTAATTTAACTAAAAAAAATAAACCGTGTAATTTATTTTATATGATTTTTGTTACAAATTTTTAACTATATAATTTTAATACAATCTTTAAAAAAATAATAATAATAATTAGATATTCGTATCAATATTTATACATGACCACAAGATTAAAGACAAAAAGATACGGCAACTGTCATGAGTTCGACCTCATGTTGCCGTTCAAATACATCCAAGCAAAATTGTACCCGAAGGAAAGTGGAAAAGTATTTTCCCAGAAAGTTTGTGGAAAAATTAAGAATAATTACATTGTCAAGTAGCCAATATTAGAGTGATCAATATTATAGAGTAATGTATTATACAAGACTGTCAAAGATGATAGTTTAATTTAATTAAATAAAATAAAAATATACAAATGTTTTAGTAGTCTGGGCTAACTGAGAAAACATACTTAATTATTTTGGGTATATAATTCCGTTGAGTTTGAAAAAATGAGTAAATAATGACTTATGTTGTGTATATAAGTATGTTAAGTTTGAAAGATAGCAAAAAAATGACTTGAAGTCATTGTTAAAATATAAAATTTCGAAAACATTTTTATCCCTTCTTATAATGGCGAGGAAAAGTGAAAAAAAAAACCCTCTAATTATATATTTTTGGCTAACAACACCAATATCCTTTATTTTGAAATAAGTCTATTAAGTTTGAAAAAATGTAGTAAATAAGGAATTAATGTCATTTTTTCGTTATTTCTTTTTATAAATGTAAAATTAAAAAAATACCCTTATCTCTTTTGATATGTCCTTATATATATATACACACACAGTTGTCACATTTAATTAATTTTTTTACCTAATTTTTATTCAATTGTAGATGAATATTTTAGTATTTCCATCATTTAGGTATTTGTTTATACCAAAATTGATGTTAAGGAGGTTCATAGGGGGTTATATATTATATATGCATACCACAAGGGTTTTTTTTTTTGTCCGCGGCCCTAAATTATATATATATAAAGAAGGACAGTTTAGTTATTTCACATTTATTAAGATTTTTTATCTATTTTTTATTCAGTTATAAATGGACACTTTAGTCTTTTCAATATTCAGATCCTTGTTTGTTCCAAAATTAAATATTAGAACATATAGGGGGATACACTCTATATGCATACTATATAAATGTTTTTTGGTGTGACCTATTTATTTTAAATTAGTTTTTAATTTTATAATTTTAATACAAATCCTTTTTTAAAAAAATAGGTACTCATCTCAATATTTATACATGATGAGGGGATTCAGGACAAAAATAAATAGAGCTCATGACAATACTTCTCAATATTTATACCATATGAGTGTTTGTGGTATCACATTATTATTATAATCACAAGATTCAGGTTAAATAGAGCTCATGACAATTATTATGAGATCGAACTCATATTAATATAATTAAAAAAAACAGAAGTTAAATATCTAACTATGTAGTATGTACTTCTATGATATCGTGAACAAATAAATTAATTAGGTTGATTCACTAAATGAGGTGATTGGGCCAATCTGCTGCACATTGGTTGAATAAATCAGCCTAATGGATCACTACCAAAATTTTCATTCTAAATCACTATCTTAAATACGTGATAGCATCATTTTTCAAATAAACAGGCTCATTAATGCTTCTTTTTGTTTTAGAAGCTAGGTAACAAAAAAGGTTAATCATTATATATATATACACACACACACACACACATAACATAAATATAAAGTTTGTAGAGCATTATTCAATCTCTATATTTGTCTTAATTTAAAGGCGTACGAACGCATGTTGGAAGAAAAACAAAATTACATAATTATCCTCAATAACTACATACAAATTAAAAGAAAATACAAATATTAAAATGAAAAATAATTAAGCCAAATTGCACTAAACCCCTATATAATTAAATAGTTGCAAAATACCCCCTACCAGGCAGGGATCTATGGTGGGTGCGTCCACCCCATTGAAATTTTTTGTTATTGCATTTTACATTTCTAAATTTGTATTTTTTTTCATTTATGCCTTTGAAATTTTAAAATTGTCTCCACTTAAATTATAAAAAAAAAAAACCTCTATATAAATTTGCTCCTCACCATATGAATTTTTAGATCCATCCTTGCTCCTACGCTAATTTGATTCAATGTACCAAAAGTTGCAAATGACTTTCTCATGGCAGACAAATGTTGAAATTTTAGCATTAGCGGTGACACATAATTTTTTTTTTTCCCTTAATTGGGATTGACACACGTTGTCTTTACTGAGGTTCGAACATCTAAACTCCTTTTGGGAAGTAGGAGCTTTATACTACTAGGTCACAGACTTGTTGGTATAGTGACACATAAATTGATTATTTTAATAAAAATACCCTTATGTATATTTATTCTTTAATTTGTAATTAATTAATTTTACAAATAAAAAATTGAGAGTGTTTGTTGTATCACACTATTATTATCACCAAAATAATTATGTGCCTGCTACTTGACTACTTCAATATTATAATTTCAACTTCAGGGCCAAAGGGGAGTAATATGAATTTTTAATTTTTTTAATAAATGAAGAGTATTTGTTGTAAAAGATAAATGAGGTATTTTAAAGTATTTTGTAGTACAGAAGAGGTTTGGTGCAATTTGGTTAAATAATTATATAAAAAATTTAAAATATCTGATCGATTAAAAAAACATTGATGAGAGTAGGCCAAGAATTGATAGACATGGAAATGGAGACCAAAGAGTTGGTAACATGTCATCCCAAATGCCAAGGAGCTTGATTAAAAGATATCGACAAAAAAGTGAAAAAGTGATCAAAAGTTAAACATATTATATGCACACAATTGTATATATCCTTTTTTTCTTTTGCGAAAAACAGGTAAAGAGCTAAGAAAATATGTAATATTTTTTTCACTAACTTTTTAACGTAGTGCTATCAAACGTGAGGGAAAAGTAACAATTAACTTATTTATTAGTAATATAATATTAAATTCTTTGATAGGTATTTTCAGAATTCTAATATTAAATTCATTTAAAAAGTGTCACTTCACCTAAAATAGAATCCCACTTTCATCGACATTCGAGTAAAGATCCGTATAAAAGGTGCCAAAAGTACTTGATTCGGATTAGCATAAGAGAGTCAAGTTTTATTGTATATCATTATATCAAAAAATAAAGAATTATTGCTCCAAATATTTTGTAACTTTCCAAACTATTACAAAAAAAGCTAATAATTTAACCTTTACTAAGATGGCTGTAAAATTGGTTTTTAAAATTACCAAATTGACATTAGAATTGCACCCCGCCCCCCCCCAAAAAAAAAAAAACCTAACCATAAGAAATGTTACATGCATTTTAAATTTTTTTTTTTTAAAAAGTGATTTTCAGAGTGAATAGTTAGCGCCAATGCGTGACCAAATCATTTATAAACATCAGATGTATCGAAATTAATCTATATAAACCATTTTAAGATATGTAATGATAACAATTAATTAGGTTAGACTATTCGACGCGACTATTCACAATTATTTATATTTTTAAAAGTTCAAATATTCTGATCTTTTATATTTTATCCATAAATTAGACATGAGGTAATTTTTTGCAAATCTTTTTTTGTAGTTAAGGGTAGTTAGATTATCTACCAAAAAACAATTATAATAACATACAAAAAAAAATATATTGTAAACATTTTATGGTTTTGAGAATTTTTTGCCCAATTAATTTAAAAATAGAGTGGAGTGGGAGGCCTTATTGTGGGCTCCACACATTCTAAACCCCCATAGTTTTAAATTCACAATCATCATATCTCATTGATACCTTAGCAAAGCAACGGTCATGATCAAACAAATACTCCGTATAAAGTAATCTAAATTTTAAATCACAAGCTTCTAGTATTAAATAGACAGTAGTCCATTTTGACGGTTTTAATCCCAATCAATGAGTGGGCCCCACCAAGTCAAATAGACCAATAAAAGCCTAGGTGTTGCCAGGTGGAAGTCCTTTTGGCAACTGCCACGTAGGAATTAAGTGGGACCCACCAAGTAAAAAATAAAGAGACTGACCCATTCTACGTTAACTCTTCACCAATGGCTGGCAATTCTAGCACTTTGCCAGGTCAGTTTTGACATGCCAAGAACTAGCTAGTTGTATATATAATACATATGTATGTACGTATATATAGGTGTATGTATTCATACATATGTTAATATTATATAGTATATTACAGCAAAAAAAATATTTTAATAAGTAAATAAATATAGAAAAACCCGTAAAATCCTGGCATTGGTTCGGACTTGGGACGGAGAGAGAGGTCGTCTTTGCCTAAACCCCTTTGTCTATCTCTCTCTAGATTTTCTCTCTCTAACCTAACCCCCTCTCACTCATTGCGATCTCTGCGACTACGGGACTATCATTGTTCGATCTCTGCATCTCCTTGACGGGCTTGTTCCATTTCCATGGACGAAGCTCGTTTTTCCAGGTACTCTTTCTCTTTTTCTCATTGTATATATGTCCGGATTTGGGTTTTTCTGGTTGTATAGTTTTGATAATTTTAGGGTTAATTTGTTACGTTTTAGTTAATTTATTAGGAGAAATCTACACGCGTCAATTAGAAGATTCTTTAATTACGGTTTTAGCTGGGAATGCTCTGATTTTCTTTCTTTCTTTCTTTCTTTTTCTTTTTTATTTTTATTTTTATTTTTTTCCCATATTTTCAAGTTCATAATTTTACGGTTTTTTTTTTTTTTTTTTTTTAATGTTTATTACAAGAGGGGTGTGGGTTTTTAGCTGTCTATTTTGAGTTTTCCAATTTTATTTATTTATTTATTTATTTGGGTTGATCTTGTTTCAAATCTTTGGATATTAAAAAGTTATAAGCATGTTAAAGTTGGAATTTGAATTTGAGTTTTCCATTTTTTTTAAAAAAAAATTGGGTTGATCTTGCTTCAAAGTTTTGGATATTAAAAAATTATAAGCGTGTTGTAGTTGGAATTTGAATTTGGGTATGATATTATTATTAGGATCGTTTTGTAAATTTTATTGCCTTAATTGACTTAATTTCTGCTTTTACAATTTTAAATTTCATGCTTGGCAAATTGTAAATATGCGGATGCAAGGGTAAATGGATGAAGTTTGATTTGCATTATTGGGTTTGATATATTCTCAGGCTATGCTTTCCTGCAACTCTGGGAATCTACATCTTGTGACTTAACTTCCTCTGGGTCTGTTGAATTCAGTCTTGGAGGAGGATATTATGCGTAGCTGGTTCATTCAGTTGCTGTGTTGAAGGTGTCATTTTGGTGGGAGGGTCAGGTTGTTGATCTGTTTATGTGGTAATACAGTTGTATTTAAGCTGAAAACCTGTAAAAATGACCGGGGGCAGGATAAGGGCGAAATTTCGCCAGAGCAGTTTGTACACATTTGGATGTGTTTGGCGGTCTCCTGCTGCTGAAGCGGAGGGGCCGAATCAGTTCCGAGGCCCTGGATTTTCACGAATGGTGCACTGCAACCAACCTCGCCTCCACCAAAAGAAACCTCTTAAATACTGCACAAATTATATATCTACCACAAAATACAATTTCATCACATTCTTACCCAAGGCCATTTTCGAGCAATTTCGTCGTGTTGCCAACTTATACTTCCTCCTGGCTGCAATTCTATCACTCACAGCCATTGCACCATTCTCAGCTGTGAGTATGATTGCTCCTCTGGCCTTTGTGGTTGGGCTTAGTATGGCAAAGGAAGCTTTGGAAGATTGGCGTAGATTTATTCAGGATATGAAGGTTAATATGCGGAAGGGTAGAGTTCATAGAGGCAATGGTGTATTTGGCCATAAGCCGTGGATGAAGATGCGGGTTGGAGATGTGGTGAAAGTGGAAAAAGATCAATTTTTTCCTGCAGATTTACTTATTTTGTCATCAAGTTATGAAGATGGGATTTGTTATGTGGAGACTATGAACTTAGATGGAGAAACAAACTTGAAGGTGAAGAGAGCTTTGGAGGTAACCTTAGCCTTCGATGATGATACAACTTTCAAGGATTTCAAGGGAACTATTACATGCGAAGATCCCAACTCGAACCTTTACACCTTTGTGGGTAATCTTGAATATGATCGACAGGTTTATCCCCTTGATCCAGGTCAGATTCTCCTGAGAGATTCAAAGCTTAGGAATACATCTTATGTATATGGAGTGGTGGTATTCACGGGTCATGATAGCAAAGTCATGCAGAACTCAACAAAGTCTCCTTCAAAAAGAAGCAGAATCGAAAAGCAGATGGACAAAATTATTTACGTTCTTTTCACACTCCTTGTGTTGATCTCATTGATCAGCTCCACAGGCTTTGCTGTGAAATCGAAGTTCCAGATACCAAAATGGTGGTACTTGAAACCCGATAATCCTTCACCAGTTTTCAATCCCAATAAATCCTCCTTGACTGGCTTCTTCCATTTTATCACTGCTCTTATCCTCTATGGATATTTAATACCAATTTCGCTCTATGTTTCAATAGAGGTTGTGAAGGTCCTACAAGCAATGTTCATTAACAAGGACATACATATGTATGATGAAGAGACCGGTACTCCTGCACAAGCGCGGACGTCAAATTTAAATGAGGAGTTAGGCCAGGTTGACACAATCCTCTCCGATAAAACTGGCACTTTGACATGCAATCAAATGGACTTCCTAAAGTGTTCCATTGCCGGAACTGCATATGGCATGCGTTCTAGTGAAGTTGAAGTTGCTGCTGCAACGCAGATGGCTATCGATCTCAATGAGCAGGACTCCGAGATCTCAAGCAATCCCATCCATAAAAATGGTGCGCATGGTTTATCGGAAAAGAGAGGAAGTGGATTCAGGGAATCAGAAATTGAATTGCAGACCGTCATTACTACTAAAGATGAAAAGGTTCAGAAACCTATGATTAAGGGGTTCAGCTTTGAGGACAGCCGTCTCATGAATGGAAATTGGTCAAAAGAGCCCAATGCAGATCTCATTTTGTTATTTTTTCAGACACTTGCACTTTGTCAAACTGCAATTCCAGAGCTAAATGAGGAGACTGGAATCTTTAACTATGAAGCTGAGTCACCAGATGAAGGAGCTTTTCTTGTTGCGGCAAGAGAATTTGGCTTTGAGTTTTGTAAAAGAACTCAATCAAGCATATTTATTCGTGAAAGATACCCTTCTTCTGGAAAGCCAACTGAAAGGTCAGGCAATGAAATGAATAAATTTCTATATTACATGGGGTTTTTGTTGATTTGATTGGATTTTTGGTGTCTTAGCACCTTATTTATCTTCCGGAAAAATTTCAGGGAGTTCAAAATCCTCAATGTGTTGGATTTCACTAGCAAAAGGAAGCGAATGTCTGTCATTGTACGGGACAATGAAGGAAAGATTCTTCTCTTGTGCAAGGGTGCAGACAGGTTTTGCTCAAGACACTTTTCCTTTCTTCTTTTTTTTCTTATTTATATATATAATTTCTGTCAGACGATCTTACAGTTGTATAATGGTATAATTTATTTGTGTAATGGTATAATTTATGTAATCTGTGTAGAATCTTCTGTTAGCTTCTGCATGGTGTTGAGACAGTGTGTGAACTTGTATGTTGAATATATTCTTTAAAGGTTGATGGTTTTAGGAATTAGACACAGAGCTCTATAAATTTTTGTTGGCTCTTCTAGTTCATTCCTTTTTGTCTATAGTCTTGACTGTCTTTAAGCAATTTTGAGTTACTTAAAAATCTAATCCATTTTTCCTTTGCTTGGATGATACAGCATTATCTTTGATCGTTTGTCAAAGAATGGAAGAATGTTTCAGGAAGCTACCACTAAGCATCTGAATGAATATGGGGAAGTTGGCTTGCGTACTTTGGCACTGGCTTATAGAAAACTCGAAGAGGCCGAGTATTCTGCTTGGAACAGTGAGTTTATTAAAGCAAAGACTTCCATTGGTGGTGATAGGGAGGCAATGCTTGAACGGGTATCTGATATGATGGAAAGGGATTTGATTCTTGTTGGTGCAACAGCTGTGGAGGACAAACTGCAGAAAGGGGTATGTGTTATCATTACCATAGAAGCATAATTTACCCATCTTCCTTTGCTCATCTCCAACTTATCTATGGTAACTCTTCTCTCTAGGTGCCTGAGTGCATAGATAAATTGGCACAAGCTGGTCTCAAGCTCTGGGTTCTGACTGGAGATAAGATGGAAACTGCAATCAATATAGGGTCTATCTCTTGCCAATCTAAAAAAGCTCTGATTAATGCATTGTAACTTTTGGACTGGACTATGCAGGTAAATACATTCCAATTACTGAACAAGGATTCTTGTTTGTGTAATGCAGATTTGCATGCAGTCTGCTTCGACAGGGGATGAAACAGATTTGTATATCCACTATGAACACAGAAATGTTATCCCAAGATACCAAAGAGGTGCGTAACTTTTAGAAAGATGTAGATCATTTAGAGAAACTTTATTTCATTTTATGTTTTTGACTTCGTTGCTACTTGTTCCTGCTCAGGCTGTGAAGGAGAACATTTTGATGCAAATAACCAATGCCTCCCAAATGATCAAGCTGGAAAAGGATCCTCATGCTGCATTTGCCTTGATTATTGATGGGAAAACTCTTACTTATGCTTTAGAGGATGATATGAAACATCAATTCCTAAAATTAGCAGTTGATTGTGCATCTGTCATTTGCTGCCGTGTCTCTCCTAAGCAGAAGGCCCTGGTATGATTTTTTGTTTTCTCTTCACCCGATGGACGTTGTTTATTGAACATTGTTTTTCATGCTATTCAATTTTAAAAGATAAACTACATTCATATAATTGAATGTTTCATAAGTCATTTTCTTTGATTTTGTTTGATCTTCTTCTATATTATTTATTTTTTAACATTATATTGGGGTTATAGGTAACAAGATTGGTAAAGGAAGGAACTGGAAAAACCACCTTAGCAATTGGTGATGGTGCAAATGATGTTGGAATGATTCAAGAAGCAGACATTGGTGTTGGCATCAGCGGGGTGGAAGGCATGCAGGTTGGTAATTGATCTAACAGGCTCTATTTGCATGCTACATCTATTAAAGCTTTGGAGTAAATATTTAAATTCTAACATGTTTGTTGTTTAGTGCACAATAAATCATTTACATAAAATTGTTATTTATGGTAATTGAAACTCTTGGGGTGGTGTGTGGACAAAAGGTAGCTCTATCCCTTGTTTTTCATATTTGAGATATTAGACAAAATGCTAAGAGAAGGGGAAGACCAAACTTAACATGGGTTAAGATACTTAGGAAAATATGATAGCCTGTGGTTTAACCGAGCTTATTGCCTTAGAGTTAGTGTAAGAAAAGGCTTAGTGAGTTGAGTTGTATATCAGACAAACTGCCCAATGTTGGTACCATCAATTGAGGGTGTTCCGAGGTGGGAATTGGGTGGAGATCTAACCTTTGGCTCTTATGCTCGAATCCTTGTTCTTAATTCTTACACAACAACCCAAGCTTTCTCAACACCAAGTAATCATCCTTGCAGAAACTTACTGAATATAGACAATTTTAGTTTCACTTCCTGCTTATTTCGGAAAACAGTACTCCCTCCGTCCCAATATACTTGTCCATATTTTTATTTTGGGATGACCCAAAAAACATGTCCAATTCCAAATTTGAATGTACTATTTTTTATAACATTTTGAAACTTCACTCTTATCAGTACAATAAAAACTATTAAAACCCCACTACCATAAAAAGTTGGATTCCCCATACAGGACATGTATTTTGGGACAGAGGGAGTATGAAAATTTTGGATGGTTTACTAGCAGCATTACAGTTGCTTTATATGTTGAATTTGTTATATTTGTCTGAACTTGTTATGGCCTACAAAACAAATAGCTAGATGCACAAAATATTATGGGAGCTGTCCTTGTGGACATGAACTAGTGAATTTTTTATCTTTTGTGTTTTCTTTATTTTAATTGCTCTATTCACATTTTACTAGACGGTAGGTGTAGGTGGTAAGTACGTTGCAAATATAATTAGATCAGCTGCACAGCCTAATCAGCATTTTGTTAGCTGATCTCCACTTTTTTAGAAATAAAAAACTGTATAAATTGCGCAATTTTCTGATTCCTTTCGTGTCATGACGATGAGATGATGAAATCCAAATCCATTTTTTTGAAATTTTGAGTAGTTCAATCTACTTTGGTCTTTCAATTTTATCCCACCACAGAAAAATTAATTATTTTCTTGGGGATTGTTTCCATAAGATTGAATAGTGGTCCAGGAACTTGTTATGATTGATATTTATTTTGCGGGTGGGTCTAGGTGCAATGGTAAGGTTGCTCTATTGTGATATGATCATGAGTTCGAAACTTATAACAGCCTCTCTGCATGCGGAGGTAAGGCTATTAGACACTCCCCAGCACCTGCAGTGGCAAGAGCCTCATGCACCGAGTTAGCCCTTAAGTAGCCAAGGGAATGTGTATTTTCTCTTAATGAGCATGAATTGCTTCTGGATGTCATACTGAAGCTCAGAATTCTCTACTTTTTGCAGGCTGTGATGGCTAGTGACTTTGCTATTGCACAGTTCCGGTTTCTGGAGCGACTTTTGGTTGTCCACGGACACTGGTGCTACAAGAGAATTGCTCAGATGGTAATAAATAAAAATAATTATATTGACATCCGTGTCAATGATTGTAGCATGTTTTCCTATACACAGTGCACTTATTATGCATATTGCAGTTTTCCGCCTTTAGTGCTTACTTTTTGCACCACTAATTTGTCCTCATTTGAATTGTGATGCTCTGCACAGATTTGCTATTTCTTCTACAAGAACATAGCTTTTGGCCTCACACTTTTCTACTTTGAAGCATTCACTGCCTTTTCTGGGCAATCTGTTTATGACGATTGGTACATGCTGTTGTTCAATGTCATTCTTACCTCATTGCCTGTCATTTCGCTTGGAGTTTTTGAACAAGATGTTTCTTCTGAGGTCTGCTTGCAGGTTAGTCCGATAATAGCACTTCATCTGGAATTTCCATGTATGTTCTTTCTCCCATGCGTCAAATATTTCGTACTTATGCATACTTCACACTTTTGCAGTTCCCCGCACTGTATCAGCAAGGACCAAAAAACTTGTTCTTTGACTGGTATAGGATTTTTGGGTGGATGGGAAATGGTCTATATTCATCTCTCATCATTTTCTTCCTTAACATTATCATTTTTTATGACCAAGCCTTCGATGTTGGAGGACAGACTGCTGATATGGCTATAATGGGTAGCACGATGTTCACTTGCATCATCTGGGCTGTCAACTGCCAAATTGCTCTCACAATGAGTCATTTCACATGGATTCAACACCTCTTTGTTTGGGGCAGCATTGCCACTTGGTACCTCTTTCTTTTACTGTATGGCATGATGCCTCCATACTATTCTGGGAACGCATACCAAATCCTCGTAGAAGCTCTTGGTCCTGCCCCAATGTACTGGTTTACCACCATCTTAGTGACAATTGCTTGTAATCTCCCCTACCTGGCTCACATTTCTTTTCAAAGATTATTCAATCCATTGGATCATCATATCATACAAGAAATCAAGTATTACAAGAAAGACGTTGAGGATCGACACATGTGGACAAGAGAAACGTCCAAAGCAAGACAAGAGACCAAGATTGGGTTCACAGCAAGGGTGGATGCAAAGATCAGGCAGTTGAGAGGGAAGCTGCATAAGAAGTATGCGTCTATGAGTCCGTCTCGTATAGCCACTTCTTTGAGTCCGTCTCGTATAACTTCCACAACTTGACAGCGTTCTTGTTTTTCTTTTTTTCTTTTTTTTTTGTTTACCTTTTTAGGGTTTTGGCGATTTTCAGTTCTATTTTGTGCCTCTTTTCAATTCATTTCTTCATAATTTTTTATCCAGGTTAGCCAGTCGTGAGGTCCCATTTGTTACATTAGAGCATTTGAAGCCGTTGTATGTACAATATTCAAAAGTTTCCAGTATAGCTTGTGAAAAAAGTCAATATCTATCTGCTTTTGTCCTCTTCCCTGTATCTTTGTGTATATTTTGTACCAATATCAAATAGAAACATTTTTTTGTGTCCGCAAAGCAGGAATAGCTTTGTCGTCTTCTTTCTATATGTATATTTTTTGGTTTGCCGTTCTTTTCACACACACACACACTAAACAACAAAGAATTGCTTCAAAGCATACTTCAAAGTCCAGTCATTGCAACAAACAATTGCTTCAAAGCATTCTTCAAAGACCTGTCAGTGCCTTAATGTTTTTCCTTTATGATTTGTGAAGTGTTTGTTTATATCCAGGACATTGTAATGTGATTTTGCTACCACAGCAATTTGAACTAGGAAGGTGAGAGTGGAAAATTCCGACATTATAGTTATCACCAGATCTCCAAATCTAAACACAATTTATGCGAACTTACTAAGGTATCTACAAGATTATTTATGCCAATTTTGGCATCTTGTCTATAAACAAATCCTGTAATAACTGCAATTACTTGCTATAAAACATTCCATTTGTTTTAAAATTTTTATGCCCTGGGATTTTTTAATTTGGTAATTGATTGGAAAATACAGTAGAAAACTAAAGATCTGCTTTAGTTTTCTATTCTCTGGTACTAGAAAAAGACAAGACAAAACAAAATTCTTTTGTGGTTAATATTTTTCTATTTGAAAACCGTTTTTTTTTTTTGGAGTGCACAACTCAATCAACTCAACAAACCTTTTCTGAATTACTTGGGGTGAGTTCTGTGATTTCTATTTTGTCTCTTTCCATTTTTTAGTTTTATTTTTTTCTTTTTTCTCTTTCGTGACAAATTAGGAAGATAGGAGATTTGAACACGGAAAAACTTGCTCGAGGAATTGGGCGCTCTACCAATTAGGCCACTGAATAATGTCCCATTCCATTCTACAATTGCATAGCCCTGGTCAAGCCACGTTCTGCTCTACCTGATTCTACTCATATTAATTTTTGCCTTTTCCTCCCCTATACGTGGGCTATTTCTTAACCGGCGTACTTAGTGGTCTTCTTTAAATATGACCAAACTATCTTAATTAATTTTCTCTCAATTTATATCCAATTGATTCTACTCCAACAATTTCACTAATGTTTTCATTTCTCGTCTTGCCGCACATCGATCGCATTATTCGCATTTCTGCCACATTCACCATACATATGTTGTTTCTTAGCAGCCTAACATTTTATTCCATAAAACTTTTGGTGCAAATGATTGTTCATTGAATAAACAAGCCAAAGCTCGAGCTCGAGCTCGAGCTTAATTTTTGATCTTGTTTAGTAGACAAGCCGATCATGAATTGTCCCAGGCTCATGAACACGTTCATAAACATAAACTTGTAGATTCATGAACATAGATTTGTGTATGGTCATTTGAGTTGAAGAATGTGCCAAAAACGATGATGAACACAAGTTCAAATCAAACTCGAACACAAATATGATGCCAAGGTTGGTCTTTTAAATAAATTAATTGAGTTTGAGCTTAATTTTTCAAGCTCGTCATGGATTCCGAGTTGAACCACAAAGGAACGAGACTAGCCCAAAGACATTAAAGCTCACCGCGGCTCTATCATTTGCAGCCTTACATAAAGCATAGATGGTCTAACATCTGTTTAATAACACTTTCCTTTCAATCTTAGATGCATATGCCGATCACACAAAATACTAGATGTTTCTCCGGGTACCCAACCTGTCATGATTTTTACCTTCATTACGAATATTTGAGCATAAAAAACGTAAATGTTCATTTTTATTATTAGTTTTTTTTCTTGTATCTATTGATCCTCAATCTTCACTCTCCCTATATTTATCTTTATATTTAATAAAATTACACTTCATGCATTCAGTTTTATTTCTACTTATTTTAAACCCTTTTTATTCTAAAGCTTCCCTCTAAACCTTCAAATTGGCACTTCTTCGTTGCCAAATAACATACACCATAGAAGGGCTTAGTATCGATCCTCGATGTAAACTTATCATAACTGAAAATTCACTTATTTCCTCCACAATTATTCTAACTATAGTCACACATAGATCAAACATGTCTTTTGTTGTGTCAATTATGCTATTGTTACTCATTTATTTTCTAGACTTCCCATCTACCATCTTAGTCTTTTGACTCTTTGTTCAATCACACCCTTCCAAAATTTTATAGCATGGTTCGTTAATTTAATACCACGGTAATTAGTACAACTTTGTATTTTTTCTTTATTTTTATATATTGACATTAAAATACTTTCTCACCCCCTCTTCACGCATTATTTTAGTTGTTATTATTCTATTAAAGAATTTTGTGAGATATTAACAGGCATGTGGCCGGTATAAGGCTTTTACTTTCCAAAGGGAGATCAGGGATTCGAACTTCAGTGGAGACAGTGTGTGTGTGAGTCCCAACTAAAAAAAATTAAAAAAAATAAAATTTGTGAGCTAAGATGCACCATCATCCAGCAACACTTCCAAACCTCAATAGTATTTTTCCCATTTACACTATATTTGCCTCTTTAACTTTTTCTTTTATCTTCTTTATTGACATTTTTGTATATTTCAAGGGTTTTTACTTTTTGAAAGTGCAAGTAAAAAAAGTTTGGATTCCATAGAGCCTAGGGTTACTTTATTTTAATTGGAAAAAAGAGTGAATATATTTTATTTATGTTTAAAAGTAATTATACAGTACTTTTTCACATTCTGAAGTTGAAGGTTGAGGGTTTAAGTTTTTTTAAGAGGCAACGTGGGGGATGTGTCATGTGTGAGTGGGTTTTTTTGCTGAGGGAAAAAAGAATAAAAAGTAAAAATAAAAAAGAAAAGAGTTTTGTGAGAATTGAAAAAAATATATGTTGTTTTATAAAGCTAAGTCTTATTTTAATTGTGTTTCGGTATAAAAAATTTAAAATTATATTATCAATCAAATAATTTATTATTGTTTTCTAATTTTGTTTTTTAAAGCAGTCTTAATAAACAAAATATATCCTAACTCTCCCTTCTTCTTTTGATAAAAGCTGCAACATTAATAACAATGGGCAGTGATCTAGCAAAAAAAAAGCTGCAATATTAATGGTCCGTTTGGTTTAGAAGCACGATTAACAAAGTCAATAAATTTCTTAAATTGGACTTTCTGTAAGCTACACACTTTTTTTAAGTAATAAATATACTCCATTCTTTCCATAATAATTGTCTATTTTTTTTTTTTTGGATTGTCCCAAAATACTTGTCACTTATCAAGTTTAAACAACATATTTCAATCTTTCAATCAAATAACCTTCAAATTTTAAAAAAATTCGAACTTGATTATATATATATTTAAAGTTGGAAGGGTAACTTTGTAATTTTTGAAGGGGACAATATAATAATTACATGTCCCCTTAAAAAGTTCTAACTTATTTCTAGTATCATTATCTTTCTCTTTTTATATTATCTTCTTGATTAGTTCTCTACCCAACAAAATAATAATAATGTTAAGCAAAATTTTACATAACTTTATTTAAAAAAATATTGTTGAAAAAGGGGAAAAACTTTTATTAACTTCTATTTGGCTTCAAAGTTCAATCCTACGTTGAATTTTAAATAACTTTTCTTTCTCTCAAAATATATATATGTGTGCGCGAGCGCGCGTGTGCGTGTATGTATGCTTTGCACTATCCGTCACGGTAGCGGTGTAACCGATTCGGACAAAGTCAATGTAAACTGACCGATACGAGTTGCTTATTGGACTATACGGCAAACCATGATATATACGCACAATATATATAATTTATATATATATTTTTAAGGCTACCTGTTCCTCTGTGAGAGTGATTTATAATTATAAATAAGAATAAAAATGGAATATTTTTGCTATCATATATTTCTTTCCTTTTCTTTTTCTTTCCTTTTCTTTTTTCATCTCTTTCAACTTCTATCACGTAGTCAAGGAAAATAAAACTTCTATCGTGTAGATTGGGTAAATTTGTATACCTCACAATCTTCACTATGCCAATTATTCGTTGATACATCATCGGCAATTTCACTCAATCACTTTTTTTTTTCTTTTTCAATTCAACTCTTTGCTATTATTCATGATTTATTAAGAATATAATTGTTAACTTAAATTATGAGAAAGTGTTAATTATAAGAAAACTCTTGTAATTTAATAATATTCATAATAGTTTTGCATTTCTGCCTTTGTATTTTTTATCCATATTTAAAGAAATACAAATATGTGAAGAGAGAAAAATAACTTACTTCCACCGTCATATTTTCTCTTTCTATTTCCTCTTCTCTACCAACTTCCTTCCTTCCTAAGACCAAGTCCCTTCAAATAAAATCTGAAATGGAAGTCAAAATTCTATCAAGAACTTTCCTAGCAAATTAATTTTACACGAAACATGCAATTCACATAACAATGACTGGTTAATTGAATAAATTTAATAAATCTAATCTACATTGTTAAAAGTCAAACAAATTAGTTAGATACAAAACTAAACGGATATGCTGCCCAAAAATGCCAATTCGAACACCTGTTTATAGAAAAACGTAATTAAGGGATTATAATTACAATAAGAGGTTCTAATATTTGATTTAAAACCCAAAAAAGAAAATACTAATTAAGAAAATACAGTAATATTTGATTTAAAACCAAAAAAAAATAGAAAAAAAAAACTTTAATTTAATTTTATGTGTATATAAAAAAGTAAAAGAAAACTAAAAAAAATTAAATGGAGTAGCAATATTTGATATAAAACAAAAAAGAAAAAATTAGAAAAAGGAAAAAGAAAATACAGTAATTGTATATGCGTGCGTTTATATATATATATACACACACATATATACAAATATGTGTGTGTGAAGTCTGCTTCGATTATATCAAAGCGCGAGTGAGTGAAGATATCATGATGCCTCTCCTTTCTTCTCCTCCTCCTCCTCTTTCTCTCTCTAACTCTGCAACCTAAACTTCCATCCAATTCAACTAAACTTCTAGAGAGAGAAGATCTCAAAATTTGCTACTTTTTCATCTATTTACCTTTCCCATTGATCCTCTCAACACTATATCCACAATTCCCCAACCATATCATATCTCTCTTCATTTGATCAACGAAATCTTTTCGTGAAATTCTGTGAGGCCACAAGCTCTATCCACCGTCGATTTCTGATTATCGTATTGGACGAGTTGGTCAAGGGTTTGGACAGTTCGATTGTCGATTTATTTATTCATTTTTTAGCGAGGAAAATTGAGTCAAGCGTTGAATTGGTAGCTAGGGTTTTTTATTTTCTGTTTGGTCTTTGAATTTGGGACTTCTTGATGGAGCCTCGTGTCGGTAATAAGTTTCGGCTTGGCCGGAAGATCGGTAGCGGGTCGTTCGGAGAGATCTATCTTGGTTTGTTCCCGATTCACTCAATTCATTGTTCTCATTTTTTGAAACTGTGCTTAATTTTATTTTTGTACAATTTTGCAGGTACTAATATCCAGACAAACGAAGAGGTTGCTATTAAACTTGTGAGTGGTTCCTCTTAGTGTATTTCAATTGTTGACTTCTGTTTGTGCTTTATTATCCGTATAAGAAGTTTTGATTTTTTTTTTCTTGTTTGCAAATTGCCGTCAATTTTGTATTTTGTAAATTATTTACTCCTTAAGTAAAAAATGTGAACTCTTTTACACCCAACAAGCATTTACATGTACTCAACGTTGTGCACATTGACACACAGACAAATTCCATGTATAAATAGATGTGTGAGGGTTATAATTGGTTGATGTGATATGTTTAGAATATTTAGCTTGAAAATTGGAGGGGATTTTTTGTTTCCTAATAAGGGCACTGAATGAGGTGGACTGGGCAATACCTAATGCTTGGTATAATTTGCTTTAAGTGGCCTTGAACTTGTAACCCCATTGCTTTAGGGCTTAATCTGTTTGTGATTGCTTGGAGCAATGGGCCCTTGTTTTAAGTTGATCTCTCTGGTAGACAGTTTATTTCAAAATCAGACTCAAAAGTCTTTGTGACATAGTTGCATCCATATGCTTACTTCTCGTGGTGGACTTGGAAATTCTAGCTGATTAGAGAGTCTGTCATCAAGGTTGTATTTGCAATTATGGGTATACCATCATGCTTACTTGAAATCGAGGTGTGTTTGGTTAAATGAGAAGGTAAATTGCAGAAATTTACGACTTGGGTCACTGATCACAAAATTTATTGCTTTTTCTCGGTGGTGGATATGTTGCATCAGTTAAGAAATGATCTCCAGAGTAGTTGTAATTGAGGCTAGTTGAGTGGAGTGGATTTGAGTCAAAATGTTGATCTCATTATTCATGCAGTGATGCATTCTCATTCCCTATTAATCTCGTATGGCTCACTTTTTCACCATAGATAATAACACTAAACAGTTCTCGTTGATGCGTGATAACATTGGCACAAGTAGCTCAAATCTAGATTACAGCCTCTACTGCTAGTCTTTTATACTATTTCTAAAGAGGGCCAATTTATTTGGTTCGAATTAAATGACCTTATGTATTAATTTATTGAATTGTGTTGCTTTCTTGATTTGCTTTCCAATACCTCCTGCCAGAATTTTGTATGACAGTGAATGTCTTTAATTAATGAGTTTATTTTATTCTTTTTTCTTATAAACAGGAAAACATCAAGACAAAGCATCCCCAATTGCTGTATGAATCAAAATTGTATAAATTACTACAAGGAGGAAGTAATGAACTTTTCTCATTATCCCACTTTTCAGCCTTATTTTCTTTTCTTTTTTCTTTTTTCTTTTTTTTCTTTTTTTTTTTTATATATTTATTTTGCTAGCTATAATGTTTATAAGTTTGCATCCTTATCAGTTGGCAATTTTTTCCAATTTTGGTAGCTGGAATTCCAAATCTGAGATGGTTTGGGGTTGAAGGAGACTATAATGTTCTTGTGATGGATTTACTTGGACCTAGTCTTGAAGATCTGTTTAACTTTTGTAGTAGGAAGCTGTCCTTGAAAACTGTTCTTATGCTTGCAGATCAGATGGTAAGATTTCTTTAACTGCATCCATACTCTTATAACAATTACCATAGCTATGTTTAATTTTTTTGGGCAAACTTATTCTTTCAGATCAATCGGGTTGAGTTTGTGCATTCCAAATCATTCCTGCATCGAGATATTAAGCCAGATAACTTCCTTATGGGTTTAGGGAGGCGTGCAAATCAGGTTTTGGATTGAAATTCTTTTTGTACGTTTAGTTTCTTATTTGCTTTCAGGAGCTGCGCAATTTTCTTATTTGCTATGTAATGTGTGTAGGTTTACATCATTGACTTTGGCCTGGCTAAGAAGTATAGAGACTCCTCAACCCATCAGCATATTCCTTATAGGTGAGCTCTTTAGAACTGTTCAATGGGGAGTTTTCTCAATGCTTATATTTGTTGGATTTGACATTGCATAGGCTTGGAGCTGATCAGCTATTTCATACATCTGAACCAATATTAATATGTGTTCTATATGGCTCTTTGCCATAATACTTTTTTTTTTCCCCTAACATTACTTGGTGTAACGGGTGGGCGCTTGCCCATTTACCGAAAAGCTCGAACTATTGAGTAGTGCTACCTACTCACCCATTTATATCCAATCACTTTCTTATCCGATTCCGATGTGAGACAAACGACCCTTATTACATTTTCTCCCACCCAAACTCGCAACGCCTTCGTTGCGGCTCGGGCCATCCTGCCTACCCAGGGTGCTCACCCGGACGCCATTTGGGCCGGGTGCTTGACGTGACACCGGATCAAGGACTGGGTCTGGCTCTGACACCAACTGTAATGGGTGGGCGCTTACCCATTTACCCAAAAGTTCGAACTATTGGGTAGTGCTGCATACGCACCCATTTATACCCAATTACTTTCCCATCCGATTCTGATGTGGGACAAATGACCCTTGTTACACTTAGTCTCTTGATGTTTATGGCATGGAGTGACAGATTGTTATTCCTGTCTTTTGGTTCCTTTTTTTTTTTCTTTTTTTTTTTTTCAATTAATGTATTCCTTGCTCTTGTTGATGTCCTGTGCACCAAGAATGAGTTCTGCTAGTTGTGGTCCTCTGAAGTATTGAAAAAAATGTTGAGCATCTGCTCCATATTTTTCTTTTAATTTCTGGACTAGATTTATATGTATTCCGCTGCTGCAAGAAACCTATAGTCCCTTTTATTCTGGTTGCTTTGTAAGTTGTAATGCACCCAACTACTCTGCTACAAATTTCTAGGTTATGTTCGTTTACTGGTCAGTAAGGGTAAGGTGTACCCCGTAGGAAGATCCAATGCTACTGAAGTAAGCTGTTATTGCCTATGTTGAATTGTAGTGTAGTCATGAAAGTAGTCACAGCCCTATTTGTTTACATTTCTGATCGAATTTGTTATAGATTACACAATATAGTTATACTTTAACTTTGAATGAATTATATGGCAATGGGAATAAGCATATGCACAAGTTGAGGATTAGAATGATGGATTTTTTATTTTTTATTAGAAGTCATTCTTACATGTGATTTTTGTATTTGGTACTGGTGGACTATTTCCCTATAGGTCACATCTAATTAACCACTTGCTTACCCATCAATAAGTTAAATTTTATTTTCATTCTTTTCCATTTTTCCTTTGTGTCCTCACTTTCTCCTGAATTTTAAGTTTCTGTGCTTGTGTGCACGAGGCCAGGTGTAATCCATTATTTATTAAATTTGTGTATCCAATATTATCTCAAGGCAGCTTTGGACTCTGCACATGTTAGGCATATAAATTTTGCCAGTTTCACCATTAATGTTACTTGTTCTGATTGCGCTTGATCATCTTGTTTTCTTTCTTCTGGTGATATTGGATTTCGAAGCATTGTCCAGTCATCCTCTTTACCTGGAATTTTTTCTTTTTCTTTTTCTTAGGGGTTATTAAATTACTTGTTGAAGTCAATTTACGAAAAAATCCCAATTTCTGATTTTTTTTTCTTTAATATATGATTTTGTCATGTAAAATGCAGAGAAAATAAGAATTTGACGGGTACTGCAAGATATGCAAGCATGAATACTCATCTTGGAATTGGTATGCTTATTGAGTTTACTGCTATTTTAATCGTGTCTTCTTATGTAAATAAGCAATTTTTGGTCAAGTGTTGATTTTTTAGGTAGTTTGTACCCTCAATCTTGTTTCTTTGTTATTTAGAACAAAGCCGGAGGGATGATTTAGAATCACTTGGTTACGTTCTTATGTATTTCTTAAGAGGAAGGTACTTATTCCTGCTTAACTTTATTATTATTATTATTATTATTTTATCATTTTTCTATTGTGTAGTTGTTTAGTTACCGCCACATATATTTTGTAGTCTTCCTTGGCAGGGACTGAAAGCAGGAAACAAGAAGCAGAAGTATGAAAAGATCAGTGAAAAGAAAGTTTCAACCTCTATTGAGGTAATCCTTTTATTCGGGTGTTTTGAAGCCATTGGTATATATTAAGTAGCATGAAACTGACTGGAAAATTCACTCTCTTCCTCAGGCCTTATGTCGGGGTTACCCTACAGAATTTGCATCCTACTTCCATTACTGCCGTTCATTGCGGTTTGATAATAAACCAGATTATGCTTACCTGAAGAGAATTTTCCGCGACCTTTTTATTCGTGAAGGTTTGATTTTCTTGTTCATTCTATTGTTCTTAGGTTATGCATGCAAATGTCAGCGGACAGCAGTTATTAGTTATGATTTTGATTTCAGAGTTATCCTTTTAACAAAACAAATGCCCCTTGCTTCAGGTTTTCAGTTTGATTATGTATTTGATTGGACGATTTTGAAATATCAGCAATCACAGCTTGCCAATCCTCCATCTCGTGCTCTTGTAAGTTACATAGTATGATTAGTTTCTTTTGGCCCCTTGATGGCAAGTGCTTTGTATAATACAATACTTTGGACAGGATACTGGTGCTGGAACAAGTTCTGGGTTGGCTCCTGCTACCAATGTTGAGAGACAATCAGGTAGTTCCTTCCATATCCTTTAATTCAAGTTACTATTGAGTCAAATTCAACTGCATAGGCAAAACTTCCTTGAAACTAATACATATTTCTATGTCTAACATTATTAGTTGTGTGTGGATAATGCACACAATTGGTTTTTCTTCACGACACTGCTGGTTTTGTCATAGACAATGCAGATCTTGTATCAAATCTGTTACTTATTCAATGAGCTAGTCTCTTGTTTGTCCATGGGTTGTTTTTTTTCTAACAAATATCGATCTTATCCCAGTGTCCTGATTTACTTCTATATGCTCAAGAGTTGAATATGGTATATACTATGAATATCTTGTAGGTGGTGAAGATGGTAGGCCTGCTGGTTGGTCTTCAGCAAATGCCACTCGTGGTAGAAACTCTGGACCACTTGTAAATGCTGGAACTTCTAAACAGAAAAGTCCAGTTGCAAATGATTCAGCCATGACCAAAGATGGTGTGGTGAGTTTGACATATTCTATTCTTATATTTATTGTCACAAGATTCGTGGATGTCACCTATCTCCATTCATGGGTTGACCTACCCTTAGTTATTAAAGTTATTGTTAAGAAAAACCGATCCCGATGAACCTGCCCGACATAAATGTGCTTTGTTAGGTCTATGCAAAATGAGTTGAGTTGGTTTTATCTAATTAACACTGGATTTTGTACTTGTGTTTGTGCTCTTGATGATGACATGAATGTGATGCCAGACATGGTGGTATAATATTCTAAGTGAATTTGACTCAGGGCTGTGCTAAAAAATTATGCCAAACGTCCATATTTGTTGGCATATTTGATGTAGAAAATTCCCTAAGAGAGGGTTTCCTTACATAGGTTATTAATTGTTGAATTTTACATCTAAGCTTGTCAACTTTGAATTTTACCTTTTTGATCGCAATTACTGCAGCCCTTTAACCTATGCAGTATTTTTTTCATGTAAGGAAGTCTGAGGTTGCATGCCAATAGTCACTATTGTAATTTGTGAATGCTTGAGAACCTTTTAAATTCCTCATTATTAGCGTTAGCATGTTATCAGCAAGCCTCGTGGATCATAATGATCACACAATGATACTATGGTTTAGAATATGTTCAACTTTCAGCTTAGACATGGCAGTTTTGATAGATTCTATTTGCCAGACTGCACTAGATTCAATTGAATGGAATTGGGAAGAACTTGGTTGAACAATTAGCCCTAGCCTTGTATTAGGAAGATCTGCTTTGAATTAGCTTTCTTGCAGTCAGTATCTTTTTGTAACTTCTCTTATAGAATATATGCATGCATTACTGGATTGCCGATCCAACCTTGAGTATGTGCATGATAATCTGCGTGAAAATTTTAGTTGTGGACAGTTAGGTGGAATTTTGTCCGAATGACCAAATACTTGATACTTCTAATTCAAAGATTGTGAGTCATATTAAACTCAGCAGCTTTGTGTTCTGGCTTTCAGCCGAATTGGAGCTGCCTTCGTAGAACAGTCTTTTTTGAAAAATTGAATGTCAACCCTGGTCATATAGTATTGTCTAATGCATAGGATAAAGGTACATCAGTTGTTGTCCTTGAATAATGCTATTGCTGCATTTCGGTAAGTTTGTTACCTGTGCTTGGGTTTGTGCAGTTATCTGGTTCTAATATGTTGCGGTCAAGTGGATCTTCAAGGCGACCTGCTATCTCGAGCAGTCGTGACCCTGTGATTGTTGGCACTGATTCTGATCCCTCTCGCCTCCTTGCCACTGGTGCAAGCCCAGGCATGTCGAACAAGGTTTCTAGCACAGCACAAAGAAGTTCACCGGTCATATCATCAGATCATAAGCACAATTCTAGTAGAAGCACCTCGAAGATAAAGAACTTCGAATCCACCCTCAAGGGAATTGAGGGCCTGCATTTTGACAATGATGAGAGGCTGCATTATTAGTTTTTGTCTCTCTCTGGCCCTCGTCCACTGTAAAAATTAGAATGGTATATTTTGCCATGCACTTGGTGTGGAATCTGTTGTGTGTACTCTTTTTTTCTTTTTCTTTTTTTCTTTTTCGAGGAAAGCTTCAACTACCTGAAAGTTGAGGTGGTACAAGTTGGAAGTTGTCATCACACTAAAAACTACTACATAAATGGAAGAGATCCCGGCATTTCAAAGGTTCGAAATCCAAACTAAAACTCACCTGGTGAAGCTTTGTCAATGCGCGTCGAGCTGTTCTCTTTACATTTTCTTTTTCCCGCTTTCTTTTACAACATTTCCCATCTTTCTTGGTTTTTAAACACTCGATAATTAGATCCCATTGTATTGAGTTTCCTGGTTCATTTTAATTTCTATAACACTGAATATGAATATTATTAAATTTAAGCATCAGTGTTTGTTGCACCTACACTATGACTTGTTCTTTTTTTAACATGCTGCTGATGGGAATTGGAAGGTCTGTGTGTGTGTGTGTGTGTGTGTGTGGATCTTTGGAGCTTCATTTGTCATGATAATGTGTGGCATAGCTTGAAAATTCACATTAAATTCGGTGGTGTTATGTTTTCTCTTTTAATTCCCCTTTTTATTAAATATTTTTTCTTTCAATTTTGTAAAATATACCATAGCCAACCAGTACTGTGAAACATTTCTATAGTGTGATTCTCTCTAGTTAGAAATGAAAATGCTAATTCAAAATATATCATAAAAAGAATATATATAATGGTATACCATATCTCTAGTTGTCCATAGAAGAATATCTTGTACTCTAGGAGGCTGGGACCTTCTGCATAACAATGGATATTTAAGGTGGTAAACGTCTAAGTCAATGGCCATTCATGTACCTTCTGCATAGCAATTAATAGTGGAGTAAGATCCGACTCACCGACACCTTTATGTTATAATGTTGGATCGAATTTTTTATTTTGTTTGGTAAAGAATTTTTATCAATTTTTTTTTTCTTACAAGCATTAAAGGTTGCAAGTGTTTTGTCATTGGTTATACATAAAGCGCATTAATTTCATTGACACATCCATTTGATTGTACAAAAATGTGATTGCAAGTTAGATTGTATTGTATTAAACAGCTCCCAATCAATGCACATGGCGTTGGGAGTTGTCGGATGCAATACGTATCCGATCCCAGCACATTGCCCAATCTAAGTGAGCACATAGTGTTACGAGTTGTCGGATGCGTAGTGTGTTGGGAGCCGTTGGATGCAGTAGCAATAGTACTGCGTAAGAAGTCCTTAAAAAAAAAAAAAAAAAAAAATTAATAAATAAATAAATCTCTAAATTATAATGATTGGTCAAATAAAACCAGAGTGAAAAGCTCATGATATAAGAAGTTCTTATAAACAAACTAGTAGTATTATAGTAGGCATAGTGAGACCATTGTTTACCAATTTTCAAGTTATTATTCAAAATTGAAGTCATTTTCAAATATAAAACTATAATTGTTAGATATTTAAAGTCAAAATAGGTGGCCTTTTCAAAGAAGGAGAAATATCTATCATCAGCACTGGTCCATCAGGTAGGCAAAAAGTTGTAGCCCTAGTGCAAATGTGACACTGGATTGTACAAAATCCCCATAAACAAGAGGGGATGTAGATCCAAAAACACGCATCGTTGAAGCTTTGTCGTATTAAATTTAATAATATAAGTATCATGAAATAGACGGAAAGCTCATAATAACTGTCATGACGTGGACATCATTGTAGCATTACTCACTATTGTGTTTTTCTTCAAAATTGTGTAAGTGAATCATTTCTAAGTAAAAAGGCTCTTAAAGCCAAATGTGGTGATCTAGAGTGACGTGTATGGTCTCAGTGGTTGTTAAACGCTATACTCCCTAAATGTATTCTCTCTCTTATTTGAATGATATGGTTGGTTTTGATAAAAAAAAAAAAATCATTTCTATCTCGTGATTCTCTAATAAGAATTAAAAACGCTAAATCAATTCATATAATGAAAAATCTCTAAATCTATGATATATAATAAAAAAATCTCTAAAGCTATATTCGATAATAAGAATTAAAAACACTAAATCAATACATATAATGAAAAATCTCTAAAACTAAGATATATAATGAAAAATCTCTAAACCAATATTCTCGATAACATCGAATTGGCATCTTAAAAATGAAATAAGAAAAAAATAATAATTCAATAGGGTAATAGTCAACGAAAGAATATTGGGACTTTGGAAGTTGAGACCATAAACCTATCAATTGATAAATAGTTTACCTATTAGAATTAAAATCTTATCTAAATAAACGGTTCAACACACAATAAAAGAGTAAAAATCACCTCATGTAAAGTATAGTTGTTGATCTCACGAAAAAAATATGTAATGTCTTGTCAATAGTTGAAGATGATAAATATCTATAATTTGGATGTAGAAAGAAGTGATTGCAAGTCACTTTAAGCCAATATATTATAGGGATTTGGGAGAAGAAAAACAATAATAGGAAAAGTGTAAACAAAACAAAACAAAACAAAAAACACAGAAAAATGATGAAAGCAAATGGATCAATAATTAAAGTTTTGACCAACCCAAGTGGTGTATTAGTACTGAGTTGATTACAAGCCCCTTTCCACTTATAGTATATAATTAGTGATAATACCCTACAATTCCAACTACTGCCCCACTGATCTGATATATATATGATTGTCCTCTCAAATTTATTTAGGGTTGTACCTTGTAGACCTAAATTTTAGACCACAAAAAATTCTCTCAATTTTAATGATTGGTCAAATGAAATCACACAAGTCAAGTTCGGTGGTTCTTTTTATTTTTTGGATTTTTTTTTTATTACCAAGTAAAGTTCAGTTGATTATTTAAAATCAATAAGAAGTCCTTATAAACAAGTAGGCTTATATGAACTTCCGAAAAAAAAAAAAAAGTAGGCTTATATAATTTTTATGTAAAGTTGATTATGCTGGATATTTATCAACTTCAACTATTGACAAGACATTGTATAATTTTCGTTGTCCAGCATCTTTCAATTTATTAATCAAACTTGAAAAGAAAAAAAAAATTAGTATACAAGACTTTCTTCATTGCAGGTCGGGAGAACATAAAATATATGTAATTTTATTCTTGTATGTTGGGAGATTGGTTTTATAATTAAAAATTCTACAATAAAATAACCTTATTGTTGAAACAGCCACAACCCACAACTTTTTTTTTTTTTTGACAGTTAAAAAGTATATACATGCTACTTCCATCTCCAAAAATGTCATGTTTCGGGAATCGTGACAGTTCAATTTATAAAAGTCACAATTCTCTAAAAGTGACACTTTTTATAAGAGAGCATGAAATATATGTAATCTTATTCTTGTATGTTAAGAGATTGTTTTTATAATTAAAAATTCTATAATAAAATAACCTTATTGTTAGAATAGCCACAACCCACAACTTTTTTTTTGACAGTTAAAACAACTAACTGATGAAGTACGTAAGAAAAAGATCCACAACTTGACGTTGGTATATATATGCTACCTTCGTCTCCAAAAGTGTCATGTTTTGAGAATCGTGACAGTTCAATTTATAAGAGTCACGATTTTTTTAAAATGACACTTTTTTATGAGACGAACAAAGAAAAAAAATATTATATATATAATTTTTAGGTCGATTTTTCTAACCTATTTATATTATTGAAGAGCTTTCATTTCTTTAATATAATGGATAAAAGTTATACTTAAACTTGTCCACTTCATCACGTGTATAAAAATTTCATTGATTAGACTATTCCGCCAAACAAGTAAACCATTTCGATACTCAAACAAATTATAATTCAAACCTGTTGTAATTTTCAAATATAAAACTAAATAGAATACACTCATCAATGAATTGTTACATATATAAAGTCAAACTAGGTTGAGAAAAGACATAAAGTTGTAGCACTAGTGCAAAGATCAAGAATGGATTTAACTTTAATCACATAACATATAACAAATATATAACTTTGTACTGGTACTAAATTCCCTATTAACATCCTCCTTCACACATTCCAAGGTTTCCTTCTTTGAAGGTCAATTAATACAGTTGGTTACTGAGAGAGAACATGGCGGCAATAAAGTATAAATAAATACAAAATCATATCTTCTCTGGGAGTAGATAGCCGTTAGTATTGTATCGCGTAAGAACGGACGGTTAGGATGTGTCCCGTAAACTTCGTATATATTCTCCTTCATGTCCTCTGCTAATGCTAGAATGACGTAATAATATAATCTTAAATTTCTAATGCAAGAACTACGTAAATATGTTAAATGCTCAATTTAATTATGTTGCAGTGTTGTAACATGATATAATAGCTGCGCGAGTATTGTGTATTTTGGATTTAAATGTGTATAGCATATTTTTATTACACGGGTCTGATTGCATTTCGTGATATAACAGTTGCATTGTCACGTAGTGTGTTGCACAGAGTCCACTGTACAGGAGGGATCGATATCCAAATACACACACAGTGAGAGAGAGAGACAGCTGAAGCTTCATCATACTAAATTTTATAAAATATCTACCAAATGAGAAGAATTAATGTGTTCTTTCATTTTGAAACCAGTATTACATAAACAAAAAGTCCAAAAAAAGGACTGAATTGATTGTTATAAAAAAAATAAATGAGATCCAATGCCCATTTCCAAAAAGAATTATTCCCACAATTGGCACTAACTTTTCAAAACTTCATAGAAAACAAATCACAAAGTTTCACAAGATCAAACACTTACAAATAAAAACACATTAATATCATTAATATATATATATCCAATATCATGAAGAGAAGAACATATCATTCCACAACTCCAATTCACAGAAGATCATAGTTACAGAATTTCTGATTATGTAAGGCTCAAGATTCATAAACACAGGAACAGAATCAAACACATGAAATCAACATAAATAAATTAGCAATACCAAGTAATTAATTAATTAATTAATCCCACCATCCATAGACCACATGGGTGTAGGTGTCCTTGATCCACCTGAAGCTCTTCCTGAGTGAGCCCTTCATCTTACCCTCCACTCCATACACCTTATAGCCTGCAACCCTCTTCTTCCTCTGCAACTCTGCATCATTGAAGCTCCAACTCTTTGAAGACGATGAAGATCCAACACTGCTCTTCACTTTCTTCATCTTCACCTCCTTGCCCATAATATGAGGTGATGAGACATAAGAATTGGTGCTGTAACTCCTGAGATCATGCATGTTGGGTGGAGCTGACCTACCTCCTCCGTAGTAGCTCCCTATCTGCATCCTATCTTCCCTGCATGACTTGGATCTGAAATTCTCCATGACAAAGTGTGTGTGTATTGTGTGTGTGTGTGTGTGTGTGTGTGTGTGTGTGTGTGTTTGTCTGAGTGAGGAAAGGGGAAAATGTTTGATGGGTTTGCTTTATTTTGGGGTAATTACTGATTTTAATGAATTGGGGGACAGCTCAAGTTGGGGGTTGAGTGATCTTTATTCTTTTGGTTCTTTAAAGGATTTATATAATGTGGTTTTGGTTGTATTTTCATACTTGTGGAGTTGCACGAGGGTCTTAATTATACGAAATGGTCATTGGTAGCTACATGCCGCATGAAAATGTAGCTATCAATTACCATTTTATTTCATTATATATATATATATATATATATTCAGAACACATATTAACTGTGCAACTCTCCCTATTGAAGATGTACTAAAACAACACTCTTCTTAGAATTTGGTTATTTAGTTTGATTTTTCATTTTGCAAAGCAATATTTGATGTCACGTTTCAAAAAATAAGTATACGTACACAAACACATCACGTGCCTCTCTGCACATAAATTGTTAGTACAACACAATATATGTGCAACCAATATTCAAAAACAAAAAATCAAAAGAAAAAAAAAATCATTATAAGTAAAATTATTACACAAGCTATGCAATAGGCAAAGACTTGACACTTGATAATATGATAAATCGAAGAGATATATAATGCATACAGAATAAAGTGACAGATTGAAGAGAGAATCCAAGATCTCACAGGATTACCTCTCTAACAAGCTCGAACACTCGTCGTTTTTTTATCAAGCATTTAATGATAAAAATCAGTTATGAATGTGATGATCCCATGTTTATAATAATGGTGCTGGTTTTGATGTAACCACACACATTATATATATATATATATATATATAGATATATATATGCAGAAGAACTGAAAAATATTGTGCTGTGAATTGGACCAACAAATCTTCGAAAAAATGCGGTGAGGGTAATGTCACACCAATACAAAGAAATAAATTTTACCACCCAATGCCTCGGCAACCTAATATTATACGGAGAGCATCGTTTGTTTTTTATGAAGGTGGGGACCATGGAGGAAATATGGCAGATCGAAAATGGGACCACCAGTCGCAAAAGTTAGGTTGGACCGTTGACCAAATCTAGCTTCTCAAATCTGAACCATCAAATTCGTTTACTACTTCAACTAGGGTTTGGATAGGAATGGCAAAATCCCCTATTGAATTTTCGTCTTGTTCTATTCCCTTTTTCTCGGACTGTCTATTAGAATTTCGCATAATTAATAACTGTGCAAAGTTCGAGAGAGAAATTTCGTTGGAGATGATCCATTTTCACAACGTGAGGGGGAGTTTTTAGTGGAGGCAGGAAATAGCCCTTCTTTTTAACAAAACTGCCATAAATTTTATTTACTTTTGGCTTTATGTTGATTTCTCACATTTCCCATGTTGCATCTCCTTAATTAATATATTAACAAAATACTAAATATGATCTTTTAAAAATAATAAATGAGTGGGGTGGGTATAGGGAGAGAGAATTTCAGTATGAGGAGTCTCTTACTAAACGATTTTGGCCGATTTTGGATTTGGATGGAAAATGCTATATCAAACGAACAAGGAACGGAGAAGGGGTCTCCTACCCCAACTCCGTCCCGTTGTCATTCTTAGTACCAAGTGACAATCCGCCTAATCATAGAGCTCTTCATCAAAGAGCCAATTACCTGAATTTATACAAAAGTATGTGATCTGAACTACCAGCTGCTAACTAGGTAAGGCCGCTAATAAGACGATATATAGATATAGTTGTATATATGTGTATATATTTGGAGAAGAGAGAGGGTGAGAGAATGAGCTTCTGTACCGGTAAAATACTGTTCTTAAACAGCATTCACTAACAATCTTTATTGAAACTGGTTTGAAAATGAAAGAAAATGATGGGAAGTGAAAAGTCTGTTATGAGCTGTGGATTTTCCTCGTTGGCATTGCTATGCCAAGTCCTATAACAACTTGGAACCACACCTTTAGCATCTTCTTCAGTGTTCTCGAGTATTTGAAAACTTTCTTTGCTTTAAATTTTCCCACACAAAATGCTTTACAAACATAGGGCAAACACAATCCGCCCACAGGCACAAGCAAGCATAGCAGCAAATCATGCAAATTTTATTCATTTACGAAGTGCTGGGGCAGGGACAGAACACTATTTACACCTGGAGGGGGTACAGTTGCTCCATTGTAAACTGGAAGTCACGGTTCGAATTACAAATACAGCCTCTCCAAACCCCACAACACCGTCCATCTGGAGATAAATTCCTACTGTCAAGAACACGATAAGAGTAACAAACATAGGTTGCATCTGACAACAACTCGATCTACTCAACATTTATATGCTGGTAATATTTCACATCTCTACAAATTCACAACATCGATGCATGAAAGAGAAAATACCATACACACAATGCAAATGATTTGGTAGCCCCAACCTATACACCAGTGCCCCAACTGATAATCAAAATCATGCAGAATTACATTCACATCTGCCGATTCCCAAACCCCACAACTCTCACAGACCCTGCCACATTTGACTCTTCCCAAACCGCAATGGCACCTGGACTAGACCTTTTATTTACACCACCTATAACAAAAAATGACAACTAAATGTAACTCCTTTGTGCACAAATACTATTGGAATAAAATTATTCAAAAACATGTTTCAAATGCCATCCTCATTCTCTATCAAAAATTCAGGCAATACCTACCTGTGCTCATTTCTTTTTACATTGCCATCAAATGTATCAGATTCAATTGCAATGTAAAATTACAAGTTTTCACCATGTTCTATGGTTTTAGCCTTTCAGGCCTCCTTAGAAATGAAAGAAAATATTTAATTTATCAAAAGTAAATCGATCAATAATCAGTTGACATCTTAGGGGCTCCTCAAGGGAGAGCTCATGCCATTTCACTTCCTAAAGCTTCTTTGCTAACCCTAATGAACATGAAGCATTTTAGAGCATAAATAGAACTTTTCCACAAGAACCAGCTATAGAAATCAAATCACACCATTTGGGTCATAAACACTGCTGTTGAGAACACGCATATATATAATATGTGTGTGTGTGCACATTTTCACTTCCTGCACTCACAAAAATATGATTTTATGGTGCCAACCTCCAAATTAGAAGTCATTGCAGCTTTTAATAAATGAGGCTATGACAGACCAACTATAACATAAAAGTGGAGTAAATGAAAAAAAAATCTTTATCCCATTTTATAATGGATCACCTTATCCTTGAAAATTAAAAAGCATTAAAATATAAAGAAATAAATCCAAACTACAATCTCTTTGATAATTAAACCCAAAAAATCCAAAAAAGACATACAACACAAAATCCTACCTGCAACAAAACTTGCAATACTATATGCCCATCAAACTGAAAATGGGTAACTCGACAATCACACACCCAATTGCAAATGTGCAGGACACATCATTAGATGGTCAGATGTTTTGCAACATTAATTTAAGAAGCTAAACAAGAACGAAACGAAAAAAAATATTTAACTAATACTTGCATATAAGAAACCCCCTTACCTCAGTGAACCTAGTAAAAAACTCATCACAGGAGATCAGCAACATTCGAAGGCAGCTCTTCAACAACCACATTGTAGAACTTCTGAATGTCAAACAGCATTCTCTCGTCTTCCCTAGTCACAAAGTTAATGGCAACACCTTTTCTTCCAAACCGTCCACTACGTCCTATACGATGGAGGTAGTTTTCTGGCTGAGTTGGCAGATCAAAGTTTATGACAAGGGAGACTTGCTGCACATCGATACCACGGGCCAAAAGGTCAGTGGTGATGAGAACACGAGAGGAGCCGGAGCGAAATTCCCGCATAATTATATCCCGGGTATTCTGATCCATGTCTCCATGAGTAGCAGAGACTGTGTGGTCACGGCTTCGCATTTTGTCTGTAAGCCAATCAACCTTGCGCCTGGTGTTCACGAATATGACACTCTGGGTGATCGCCAGGGTCTCATACAGATCACAGAGTGTTTCAAGCTTCCATTCTTCCTTTTCAACGTTAACATAAAACTGCTTAATACCTTCAAGAGTGAGTTCATCACGCTTCACCAGGATCCTCACAGGCTTGTTCATAAACTTCCTTGTGATCTCAAGTGCCTCGGGTGGCATTGTGGCAGAGAAGACCCCAACTTGGACTTTAGATGGCAGCAGCTGGAAAATGTCGTAGATCTGACAGCACAAAAAATAAATATTAGAACAAAAACTATCAGAAGCCTACCAAAAAATCAAAGCTCAATTAAATCAATTCAAGAAAAAGAAAGAACTTTAAACAATTGATCAAGGCAACAAAACTTATCAACAAACAACCAAGCAAGCAGAAGAGCATCATTGCAAACATAATCATCCATTGTCAATATAAAATTTTATACAGATTGCCATGGAAGGTAAAATTTTATGTGCTTATACATGGTCAACATAACCTTCATACTCTTTGAATTTAAAAGGAACAACCATTATATGCATAAAATAATAAAGGGTTCATATGATCTTGTCCAAATAACTTTAAAAAATGTTATCCCCTACAACAAAATTACAAAGCAAGTAAATCATATCCCATATAGGATTTGTTTTCTAAGGAAGACAAGGTGCAGAACAATAAAATCATTGGTAGTTCCAACTAAAAATAAAGAAGATTTTTCTTTATCCCGCAAGCTTTTAAAATTACCATTATTTTAGTACACACTATTGTTCTTCTGGAAGTATAAATCCAATACATAAAAAAATAAAAAATAAATTATTAAAAAGTACAAAGAGTTTCAGTACATTAATCGAGTTTCAGTACATTTTTTTTTATATAAAAATAAATAAAAAATTCATGTCATTTAGTTATATCAATATTCCTTCCGCTAACAAATCTATATCAACTATATTCCTACAGTAGAACTAAATAACTATTCAACACACTCTTAAACAAGATGAAGAACATTAGATGAAGCAGGAAACTGACAAACATTGTGGATTGAATTTTCAGCAGAAAATAGGGTTTTATTTGCCATTTTCATTAAAGAGAGGAGAGGCGTTCTCATCTTTGGATGAGAGCCATTTTCATTCTCTAAGTAGTCTCTCTCTAATTTGTATAGAATAAACTTAACTATACTGAAATGGGGTATCGCTAAGCATTTTTTAGATCACACGGTAATCTCCTCTATAGCATATGGCCTATAGCCTAGGATGCACGGACATGCCTAAAAGGGCAAAGAATCAGTATTGGACACCAACACGCACCGGACACACCTCAACACGTGTCGGACACACCAAAAAACGTGCCCGAATATTTTACAATTTCTTGACTATCCAAACACGCCTTGCACACACGTTTGACACGGATGCGTGTCCGACACACGTGTCCCATTCTTGGAGATTTTTAAGAAAATTTTGGAAACAAGTTTGAATTGGAAGTATAAATATTAGGATTTGTTTACTAACTTTCAGCAATATGGTGGTAATTACATAATTACTTAAAAAGTTGTTTTATAAAACAATTTTATATTAAAATAATTAGATATTTATCCTTATATTTTAGTTCAAGGTTCGAACTCTTGCATGATCATCTTTGACTCTCTTGTTCTCCCACTAACCAAGCTTCACTACCGGTGGATGGTCTCTCTATCTCTCTTCTTCTCCTAGATACTTCTTTTTGTCCTTTCACAATAAATTTCTTTTTGCGTTTCTTTTTTCTCTATTCCCCATGAACTTTTTTTTCTCTTCTATGAATTCTTACCTTTATTTTTAACCAAGGCCTAGTTCGTATTCTAACAAAACCCTAATCCTCTTTGTTTCTTTGTGTTTTTTTTCTTTCTTAACCGTCTTTCTATCATTCTTTTTTCTCACCCAGCAAAACACAATTTTTTTTTTCATTATGAGGTGGTAAAAATTAATATTACTCTTAATTTCTTAAAGTACAACATAGTACATCATATCTATAAAGAATATATTTATTATTTGTCGTATCCCCCCACCGTGTTCGTGTCCTAATTTTTTTGGATTTGTCGTGTCGCCGTATCCGTGTCGCGTATCCATTTCCATGCTTCTTAGCCTATAGCCACAATGTTTCTCAGTTTCCTGCTTCATCTAATGTTCTTCAGCAAAGGGCCATAGACTATAGAGGAGATTAACATGTGAGCCAGAAGATGCTTCGTGATACTTTTTACGCCATTTCAATATAATTGAGTTTATTCTATACCACAGTTCAGTTTAGAAAGAAAATGGCTCTCATCCCAAAGATGAGAATGGCAAATAAAACCCTAATATTTGCTGAAAATTCAAGCCACAATGTTTAATGTTCATACTCTTTTCTAAAAAAAATTTAACACAAACCCCTATTTAACAAATTCTTAAACAAAACAAAATCTTAACCAATCTATAGTGTTGCATCCTTTTTTATTGAATTTTGATTGTTATGCAGCTGGGATTCTTCCATGACGGGGATGTTGCACCAAATGGTAAACCCTAGAGGTGAGGAGATATTAGAGGTTATTTTATTTAAAGAGACTTCATAGATATGCATTTGTTATATCATAATAAATAAAAATTTATAGAACCATTTATTTTTCACACTTCCACTTACAATTATCAGTTTGAAAATCAAACATGAAGGCATAAAAATTAAAATAACCTCTAATATCACCTCACCTCTAGGGTTTACCATTTGTTGCAAAATCTCTCTAACCGAAGCACCATTGATCAACTTCAAACTTGTTTAAGAACTCAAAAGGTAATTCTCATTGTATCCTTGATTAATCTGTTGGTGGTGGTGGTTTTGGGTCTGGGGAGGGGAAAGAAGTTAATAATCACAGCTGCATAACAATCAAAATTAACTAAAAAAGAGTCCAACATTATAGATTGTTCTTAATTAATCCTGCTATTGGTCATAGCCAATGAATTGGTGCACCAAATGGGTCACAAAATGGAAGCACCAAATGCTTTTGAAAAAGTTCTCATGCTTAATCTTTAGTGATACCAAGGAAAATTTCTCCTCCCCAGGATCATTACCAACCTACAACATAGGGGTAAAATGGGTGTGTATTTCTTGCCAAAGTATAAAAAATAAAATAAAAAATCCAATTGAAATAGACAATTTGATTGAACTCTATATATACACAAAAATGATCCCTTGCTCACCAGTGAGAAAGAAATTCATCCACACCATGCATAGTCAAGCAGAATTAGTTATTAGTTTAAATAGAATTAAAGGAATTCATTTTGTTTAAGAATTTGTTAAATAGAGTTTGTGTTAAATTAAAAATAAAATTTTTTAAAAAAGTAAAGAGTAAGGAATTCATGTTGTTTAAGAGTTTGTGTTAAATAGTTATTTAGTTCTAGTATTATTATAAAATTGTCCTTCAATTTCAACTAGACTTGGTTTCTTTGTTGACTACATTTAATCTGGTCCATATCCACTCCCAATTCAAGATTGAAAGGGGAGTAATTTCACACAAAGTTACCATGAAGTTTAAAAAGCTTCACATAAACTCATCGGAAATGGTAATTAATGAATTAAAGAACTCTTAAGAAGCTGACTTATGAGGGCTTCACGTCTTGCTAGGAGATTTATTAATCTACCAAAAATGAATTAATATTGCCAACAAGATATCTAGCAGGGAATGCATCAAACATACAGGCACTCAACTTATAACAGCAAACTGATGTACTTGACCAAGATACGCCCATCCATGCAAAGACATACATATATACAAGCATTCATACATTTATATATACAAAAACATATTATATACTATGTATACGTCATTTTACAATCAATGAAACAATAAAGATTAATGCAAAATACCTGATCCTTGAAACCACGTGAAAGCATTTCATCAGCCTCGTCCAATACGAACATCCTAATATAATCAGGTCGAAGTGACTGTCTCCGCAACATGTCAAACACACGACCAGGGGTGCCAACAACAACGTGAACACCACTTGAAAGAATGCGTTGATCCTCACGAACACTGGTTCCACCAACACAAGCATGAACCTTCACACCAAGATAATCACCAAGTGCTCGCATAACCTTCTCAATTTGTTGTGCAAGCTCTCGAGTGGGTGCCAAAACCAATGACTGGCATTGGACCACACCATAATCAAGTTGCTGCAAGATTCCAGAGCAGAAGGTTGCTGTTTTTCCAGTTCCAGACTGAGCTTGCTGAATAACATCAAGGCCCTTGCAGAATGGAACAATTCCCCTTTGCTGGATTGCTGAGGGCTTCTCAAAACCTTCAACAACAATATGGAAGCCAATATTCAGCATATCTTAGAAAAAGAACACTATACTAGAACATCAAAAAGGATGAGAAGACCATATTTCATAATGTTGCACATTGTAAACTAAACAATGAAGTAAAGCGCTGCTTAGCCTACAAATGTTGGTAAGCCTTTGGAATTAAATATAGAGGGGAGGGAAAACACCATACAGAACCAAAATATGATTTAGAAAATGGAGGATATAGGAAAATTTCAATAACCAGTTCCAAAACAAACTATCAGTGGTTAAGGGCCACTTCAGCACAAATAAGAACCATAAACTGGCTAAGCAAAAACAGGTTTCAGCAACACAACTTCAAAGTTGTAAAACAGCTTTGAAACCCTTACCAAGGTGGTTAGTCATCTTATCGGACATATGTCCCATGAACTGGTCCAAAACAAGAAAAATTTTCAGTATCACACCTTTGAAGTTGTAAAACAGCTTCAGAATAATTACCGTAAGCATAGATGCCCCTAAGGAGGTTCTCTTGCAAGCCCATTGCATCAAAACTGTCATAAACCTCATCATATGATGTGAAGAAATCTTGTCCATCAGATGAAAGCCTACATCAATCAATTTATCACCGTTAAAAGGGATAAGCATAAAGAATCATCTAATAAAGCCAAAGCAGGTAATCGAGGGACTTACAATTCACTCATTTTGGTATCATATTGTTTAGCATCAAATTGTGATCCTTCTGGTGCTAAACCTGCCATAACTGGAACCCGAAAAACATATATAAAAATTAATACTAAGGCCCTTAGAGAGACAAAAAGCAAAATACTTTCACATTTTACTACGACATCGAACCATCTAAAACAAACTTATTTACATAATCAGTTCTTTGTTCACAAAATTAACAAAGAAATTCACAATCCAGAATTCCACAGGAACTAACCCCCACCCCCACACGAAAAGAAACAAGAAAATACCACCCCAAAAGAGGGAAGAATCTTGATGAGTGGTTCAATCATTTGAATTTTTCTCTTTTACACACAAACACAGAAGAGAAAGATGATGTAACAACTTGATGTATAAATCCAGAGAGAGGGATTTGGAGGACCAGCGAGGCGGGAGGGAAGGAATTAGGATTATGGCGGGGTCACAAGAGATGGCAACGGCGTAACTTCTCCTTTCTAGGAATATGTCACAGAAGAGCCAAACTTGTAAGCCATACAAAGTGGAGTACAAGCATTAACTTCTGTTTCAGTATACGGGGAAGACGTGCTGTGAGGCAAACGACCATCAGATAACCAGGACATAAATCCTCCACAACTAGAAGTCGCTTTACCCCCTCCCCCAAAGTTGACTGAGACAAGTCAAGCACTTGCAACTGATATACGACATAGGAAGAATATTACTGCACACTTAAGGAATAGAAAGAGGAAATGTTATGTAGCATGACAATGATTACATCTAAAGTTTAAAATGATGTGACAGCAATTCAGAAAACTTCAAACCAGAATTTCTGTTTTAAAATATAAAATATCACTGGGTCTAATCCCAAACCCATCCAACCATTTACTCTTTACCCTATGCATTGCCTGAGCACCACTTGACCAATGACATTAACCCCTAAGAAATTTTTATTCAAGACCTTTCTAACCTGATACAGCCCTCGCAATGTCAATGCTGTTTGAATAGGCCAACAGGTCATTAATATGGGTCTCGAGAATTAAAATTTAAGAAATACATGATTACATAAAGGGGGAAAAAAAAAATGAGAATATAAATATGCACATTTTTTCAAATGAAAGTATGATTTAGTTAATGCCCGCTGTTACTCGCTTCACTCACATGGCCTGACAGCTCTTCGGAAAGGGGAGGGATCACCAGGTCACGTGTACAGCACCAGCTAAAACATGCATATTAGGTCTCCCCTCAGCAATCATCAGCGCAGTACACATACATATTAAACTCACCAATTATCCAAACAGCTACTTCTAGAGAATAGTATATCACAAGTGACAACCTTATCATCGAATGAATAGGTGAATTTGACATTCCGATAACATGCTTCTATAAATAAGATTTTAGTTCTATATATCATGTATTCCCACACGCACACGCGTATTTGAACATTCAGATTGCTTTACAAAACAATCAACCAAAGCTACACGGAATATAATTTAACTGCAGTGTGATATCTGGTACGCTTTGAAAATTTAATAAATTCCATCCATTAAAGCTATGACCTTTCAGTGATTCAATAGAAAACCAAGTAAATTCTGTTGTTTTTTTCCAAAACCTAAACATATCTGAACAGTCGGATTGCTTCACAAATCAATCAACCAAAGCTAAACAGAATATAATTCAGTTGCAGAGAGAGATTTGGTACACTTTGAAAATTTAATAAATTCCATTTATTTGAACTTTCAGCGATTCAATAGCAAACCAAGTAAATTCTATCATTTTCCAAAACAAAACAAAAATTCAATTTTTTGTTTATTTCTTTTTCTAATCCTCATTTTTTTCATCAGTCTGTAGTCAGCAGAGGGTTATTAAAACCAAAATCACACACACACACAAACAAAGAGATCAATATCAAATCACACAAACACAATCATTTGACTTTTCTCTTTTACACACAAACACATATGAGAAAGATGATGTATCAATCCAAAGAAACTTCCCATTTCTAGGAAAATGTCACAGAAAAGCCAAACTTGAAAACCATACAAAGCAAAGTACAAGAATTAACTTTTGTTTCGGTATATGGGGCAGACATGCTTTGGGGCAGATGGCCATCAGATAACCAGGACATAAATCCTCCACAGCTAGGAGCCGCTTTACCCTCTCCCCCAAAGTTGACTGAGACATAAAAAGCGGGAAGGCTATGTAGCATGACAGTGATTACAGTTTAACTTTAAAATGATGTTTTAAAATCCCTGAAAGCAATTCAGAAAAAAATAAGAAAAACATTTCACCGGAATTTCTTTTTTAAAATATAAAAGGTCTCAGGGACTAATCCCACACCCATCCAACCATTTACCCCATGCATTGAATGAGCACCATTTGACAAATGGCATTTACCCCTAAGAAGTTTTTACTCAAGACCTCTATCTAACATGATGAGTTATGTACTCCCCAGGTTCTTCCAAATACGGCTCTCTCAATGCCTAGGCCCTATGCCGTTTGAAAAGGCCACTAGGTCATTAATATAGGTCTCAAAAGAATAACAATTTAGAAAATACACGAGAACAAGTAAGAAAATGAACATATAAACATGCACATTTTTTTTTGCAGAATGATAACGGGACCATACAGCACCAGCTAAGATGCATATTAGGTCTAACCTCAGCAAACATCAGTACAGTACACATGTTAAACTCACAAATTATCCAAACAACTACTAGAGAATAACATATCACAAGTGAGAAACTTATCATCAAAGGAATTAGTGAATTTGACATTCTAATCACATGTTTGTATAGAAAAGATTTTAGTTCTCTATATCATGTGTGCTGGAAAATATTTTAGTTCTCTATATCATGTGTGTTTGGAAAATCAAGTGTTTGTATAGAAAATATTTTAGTTCTCTATGTCATGTATTCCCAAACACATAGACACACGAATATATTTGAACGTTGAGCGAGATTGCTTCACAAATCGATCAACCAAAGCCAAACATAATATAATTTAACTGCAGCACAAGATTTGGTATGCTTCGAATTTTAACAAATTCCATTTGTTAAAGGAATGAACTTTCAGTGATTCAATGGCAAACCAAGTAAATTATATTGTTTCCCAAAACAAAATAAATCAATAAAGATCCATTTTTTCGTTTCTTTCCTTTTATAATCCTCACTTTTTCATCTGTCAGTAATCAGTAAAGGGCTACACAAAACCAGAATCACACAATACACAACAAAACCCAAAAAAAAAAAAAAAAAAAAAAAAAGAGATCAATATCATCAAATCACATTATGTATAGGTATACATAATAAAATTATACTACGATCGACCCTTAAATCAATAATGCAAAAAAAAAAAAAAGTATTTGAACAGTATAAGATAGGTATAGATGGGAAACAGTTACTGAAGAAAATATTCATTGGAGAAGAAGAGAACAGACCTGCGAATGATGAGAGAGATAGATTGGTGATGATCGGAGTAGATAGAGAAAGACAGCTTCCTGTTGCGTTGTTCTGATGAAGAGCTAGGGTTTACCAACTCCTCGGATCTGCGCCGTGGAGTCGAAAGAACGCAAGTATAGAGAGAGAGACAGGATGTGGAAAGAGAGTGAGAATTGAGGAGAGGTTTACATTATATCTGAGTTCGACGAATACGCTTGTCCCGATTACTCTCGGTTTCCGTATTTGCCCTTTCGTTGTTTCTTTTATTGCATAAAAACCCCAACACTATAATTAATTTACGAGTAGTGATATTTGGGCAGAAGAATTAAAAATGTATTGTTTTATAAAACTGAAAATTAAGTATTGAAAATTTTAAGTAAGAAATTTTATGTGCATAAGCTTTTAAATAGTAGCTAAAAAGTAAATATCTTTTTATATTTTTTTTAAAATCTTTAGGGTTCGGCATTCAAATTTGAAATTATATTCTTGTCAAATTTTAAGTGATATTTAGGCTATGTTTAGTATGCGTGAATGGAATCAAATCGGATGGAATTTAATGATTTTCTTTCCATTCTTGTGTTTGGTGTGAGTTATTAAAGATGGAATCATCATTCTCCACCATTCTCGGAGAATGGTCATTCCATCAAAATCATTCATTCTCTTTACCAATGGAATAGGCATTCCATTCCCACATGGAATATGATTAAAAAAAATTATGACAAAAAAACCTATTCATCATCCCTTTTCTAAATCAAACCCATCGACATCTTTTAACCTATTCGTCGTCTCCTTCCGCTGTCTTCCTCCGCCACCTGAGACAGATTCGTCTTCCTCCGTCTTCCTCTCTCACTACCCTTTATCTCACCACTACTGCCAGAGACCACAACCCAACCTAGTCGCCTCTCTCGTCTCCATGGTTTTACCTTCGTCGTCTCCTTCTACTGTCTTACTCCGTCTTCCTCTCTCATTACCCCTTATCTCACCACTGCTACCGGAGACCACAACACAACACAACCCAGCCCAACCCAGCCGCCTCTCTCATCTCCAAGCGCTGGTTTCACCTTCGTCGTCTCCCTCCGCTGTCTTCCTCTGCCGCCGGAGATAGATTCGTCTTCCTCTCTCACTACCCCTTATCTCACCACCGTCGCCGGAGACCCCTCCTTGCCCTAATCTTCAATAACTTGCTTACCCCAAATTCATTTATGACGTTGATTTTTTTTGTTGAATTTATTTTCTTTTCTTTTTTAAGTTAAATTTATTTATTCACGATAAAGGATAATTTGGAGATATCAATGTAAATTAATTCCATTCCAACTTTTAAATGTGTTCAATCAAACACATGAATGAGAATCATCATTCCATATTTACAGCATTCCATGTCTGCAACCAAACACTAGAACCCATTCCATTCTCAGCTTCATTCCATTCTCACTATATTTCATTCTTGCACACCAAAGTAGCCCTTACTATTTTAAGTTATGTTCAATAAAACTGTTCATAATTAAGCTTTGAGTTGAGCTATCAAATAACTTAGGCAGAATTATGAACCGAATACATTTGATTCGTCATTAATACAATAAATAAAGAAGGAAGTGGTATACTTTTTGATATTTTGCATGCATTGACCAATCGGGTGTATTGGATTAAAAAAATTATGCCTGAATCATTGCCTTAAAATATTTTTTCTTAATTTACATGGTATTTGCTGGAATAAAATTAAATACTCCCCCTATGTAAAAGTTATGTAATACAGTAATACCAAGACAATTGGTCTAGTAATTAAAGATAAATTTAGGCTGAACTCAAAAATCGTAGTAAATTCGCCTCTCACAATATGAAAAAGTTTGTTTTTTTACAAGGGATAGAAAAAAAAAAAAAAAAAATTGAATAACACTAAAAACTTGTGTAACTGTTAAATGCAATTTGAAAATTATACAATTGTACTTTAAATTAATTACATAAAAAAAATAAATAAATAAAAAATTGGGTTATAAAAATTTGCATGTTGCACATATAAATTTCTTTATTGTTTAGGATTTTTTTAGATCTTAATGAAATTGGGTTTCTTGTAAAAGTTTTGGTATTCTTTTTTTCTTCTTCATTTTTTTTTTTTGCCTAGCAACATAATGCCCTACGGCATCTACAAGAACTGAACAACAAAACAACCACAGCGAAAGGAACAAACAACCAAAGGGTACAAAAGAACCAAAGCCCCACAAAAAAAACACATTCAATAGATCAGTTTGACGTGTCAACATGAGGTTGAGCATCACCAACCAAAAGAGCCAGCTGCGTAACAATAAACTGCGATGGAGATGATTCCGAGTTAACTGAATCGCCAGTCCGAGCACCAAAAGGAATGTTACTTGCAGCATCAAATGAAAACTGATTCGTGATCAAACAGGCCGTAAGAGGAGCCACTGAACCTTAGGCTTCTTCCCATCAATCGGAGTTGATCCTTGACCCGAAATAGGATTAAGTGGGTGACACTTACGATTGTTTCTTGCAGGAAAAGAGCCCTGGCTATGAAAGGATGCCAAATAATCTGAAGAACGGCATTTACGAGGCACCGCCGGACCTTTACCTTTCCGACCACCCTTGGAAAGTTGATCCCATCGCCACAAAGGCAACACCGGCCCTTGGTCCTGAGAAACGGAAGACACGCATTGAACTGGCTCTTCAATATGGGCCGAAGCAACAAAACTCTGAGAGGGGGAGCCATGAACTTCATTATTGGCCGAACCATACACGCCACCCGCCCCTACCTGAACACATTCATCAAAGTGACCAGAACCCACGACCTCGGTAATGTTGGGTTTGTGGCTCAAAATTTGTGCACAGAAAATTAGTTTCCTTTTTCTTTTTGAAAGTTGCAAAAAACAGTTTCCTGATTGGTTTTGGAATCCAGAAGACTTAGGGAAAAAGGTTAAAGATTTAGGAAATAAGTTATACCTGTTATTTTAGAGTTGAAGATGGATATGGTAACTCCTTGTAGGTAAGTTGATCCTTGTCCAACAAGGAATTAGATTTGAGGAATACTTGTCCAACAAGGAATTGAGTTTTGAAGACTCTATAAATAGAGATAAGTATGAGAGGTTTAGAGAGAGAGTTAAGAAAAGATGTAAGGGATTTAAGGGTAAGTGTTGTTAGGAGAAAAGTGAGTATATATAATTCCCGAGTGTATATATGTAGCCTCAAAAGAGATGATGAGTGAGTGAGTAGGGTTTTAATATGTGGTTGTATATTATCTTCATTGATTCATAATAGAGAAATCTCTCTCTCCCCATTGACGTAACCCTAGAGTTAGGTTAACCATGTAAAATATTATGTTGTGTGTGGATGTGCATGATTGTTATCTCCATATATGCTTGTGTTGATGTGATGTGATGATGCTTCCGTTGTGTGTGATGAAGGAGGGATTTAACTCTCAACAATAGTCGACCGTTGAGTGGGTTGGAGGAGTTAATTATCCCCAATAGGTAACACCCAAATGAGAACCCGCAAGTGGAGACTTTGAACATGCACCTTTAGTAACACCAACCTCTCGCAAAACCCCCACACCTATAGTTGACAGCGTCCCTTCCACAATAGGAACAGTAGCGGAAGGAACCGGACCATGAGGTGCATTCAAAGTGAGGTCGCCCAAGACCCCATCAAAATCATCTCCCTCCACATAGAGCCAATTCTTCCCAAAACTCACAGCCAAAGATTCATTTCGATCACCACCGAGATTCTAAATATCCTTCCCTAAGTAACCCTCAACACCTAACCAAGGACCATACTCCATCAATTCCACAGGGGGCCGAGAAGCACCAACCGAGCAGGCCTTCCAATTATACCCAATAATACCATAAGCAAAACACAAGGATGAGAGCTTTTCATATCGAACTTGAATCCAAAATTCCATATCCGATGGACCTAATAACCGCACATTCCGACGAAGCGGTTTAGAAATATCCAACTCCACTTTGAGGTGAAGAACCCTACTATCAAATAGTAAAGTCTCATTGTTCTCCATCACACATTTGTCACGCAATTCCACCTTCAAACACCGGCCAAAAGACTCGGCAATGCGACGACCAACCTTTTCAAAGAGGTAATTAGCTGGAACATCACAAAGTTGAATCCAAAATAGGGAAAGCTAAAACGCCGACTCAGAAAGGAGAAGACCATCCTTTAACTCTTTGAGAACCACCAGATGCACATCAAACAACCATGGACAGCCGTGAAAGATCCTGAGACGAACTGAACCGTCCGAAATGACCAGTTGAAACAAATTCCCTACAATCTTATAAACAATGAGACGTGAGGACATAGCTTCAATCTGTCTTTCCTTTGACCACAACTTTTGAAACATCCGGCCAAAAGTGTACTTAGCACTAGCTAGTGTAATACTCTTCGAAGCCCAAACTTTGCCAAACAAACTATTACAGCACATTTTCACCCCTTGACCAGTAGCCTCAGCCGATAAATGAACAGGCTATTTTTCCGCACTCGTAAGAGTCAACCCATTCAATTGAGCAATCAAAGAAGACGCCATCAACCCAAGAGAAACCGGAGAAATAACAGTACAACACAAGAAGACCCGCAACTGTCTGGCTTTAGAAAGGCAAAAACATGAAACACACAAAGAAACTCAAAAGCACCAGGGAATATAACCCAAAAGAAGAACATACGAGAATAGTATAGAAGCCAGTCAACACGTGGGCGCTAAGTAAAATATCCCAACCACAAGTAAGTATAAGGACTACAGGAAGTACAACTACAACAAAACGTGCTCTAAAGCAACCCACAATTTTTAAAAGAACCTGACCGAGACCCACGTGAAACATCGAAATAAGGAACGAAGTGATATATGAGGACTACAAGGTAAAAAAGCAACACACGTGGCAATAAAACTGGCCATGCACGAAGAAGCAAAAGGAAGTCATTAAGCTCACCTGCAGAACCTGACATAATCCCACGTGAAGTATCCCCACATGGGATTGACCGGTACCGTCCCAACCACACAAGACACACCAAAGCCAGAGCCACACCAACTAAGAACACCACCACGATTGGAGCCGACGACTAATTCCGACCAACAACCAACAAAGAAAGAGGCAAAAACAAACACCATATGCCGCCGCCGATAAACCAACCAAACAAAAACAGACCATAGAAGCATCGTAAGGAGAACAAACCAACAAGACCACTGAAAGAAAACCTCATAACCGAAGCAAAAACGGAACCGCGAATAGCCTTTAACAATCATCATGCCCAAACCACAGCAAGAACAAAGAACATCAGAAATAAGAAGGAGAAAAATAGAACTCTAATAGCACAAAGAACTCAGCCAAACTAAGAACTCTCGTGAAAGAGAGAACAAAGAAAACATTAGGGAAAGAGAGAGGTCCTAGCTTTTTGCTTTGCCATGGTTGGATTTGAAGACAGCTCTCAACGTTGAAACAAATCTAAATAGTTTTGGTATTCAAAATGGTAATCAGTAAAAAAAATTGGGAGATTACCAACGCCTTGAAATGATCATACTAAGATTAGGGCATTATGGTGATAATATTCTCTACTAGTGTTATAATCAAATGTCTATTCAAGCTTTTCATTTTTTTTTTTTACTGTTTGGCAGATTTCAATGATCACCCTCTTGAAATACTCCCACACAAAAGTTGAAATAGTCATTTCCGATTTAAGATTATAGATTGAGCATTCCATTTCCGATTCAATTAAAATAATAGCACTAATATCTATATATAAAATAATGTGATATAAATAATATACTTAACATATAAATTATATAATATATTATAATAAATCAAATGTATTTTATAATAAATCTTATACGCAATAAAATATCTTACATATCTATTATTGTAATATTCATAAATATATAAATATAGTATAAATGTAAAATTATGTACAATAAAAATAAATAGTTTAGTGTATATATGATATATATAGTACGTTTCTACTGGTGTACAATATCTATTATGTATTAAATTAAATTTATTCTTATTGCTAATTTGTACAATAAAATTTGGTAAATAATATATGACATTATATAGTATATAAAATATTAAAATAAATAAATAAATATGCACGATACTGTAAATATTAAGAAATTGTGTAAATATATTATATTACATAATTAATTATTAATTGTAATAATATATGATGTTTTAGATTTCATTTATTATTGATAATATACATAATATATTATATAATAAAATTCAAATAGTTAATATAATACTGTATTACATATCCGAAACTTCTTATATAAACTAATAACAGGACATGCTGTTTTAAATGTTAACATGGTTTATTGTATATATTTAATATTATTAAAAAATATATCATAAATTACTTACTGAAAAATAATTATTATATAACATGCATATTTTTATTATACCTTATAAAATATATATGGTTATAAACATTAGGTGTGTCACTCCAATTGAGACATTTTGGAGGTAAAATCTAAGAACAAAATTATGCGAGTTCGAACTCAAAACGGACAATACCATATCATGTAATAAAATATATCGTTACAAATGATATAAGAGTCTATCCCATCAAGAAGTGTGACCAACCGGGACATTGGCCCGGAAAATGAGTGATTGTGGAGACATTGTGGGGGAGTGCAAGAGGTACATGTGCACAATCCCACATCGTTTGAGTGTGGAAAGGAAATATGTTATATATGTAAGTATATCGCTCCAATTGGTATGAAATGTTTTAGAGTAAAACCTAAGAACAACACCATACAAGCTCGCCTGGGTGTGAAAAGGAAAAATGTTATAGATGTAAGTGTTTCATTTCAATTGATATGAGATATTTTGGAATAAAATCCAATAACAACACCGTATGAGCTTAGACCTAAAATAAACAATATCATATTATGTGATGGAGTGAGTCGTTACAAAACTCATGGTTATTTCGTACTTCTCCAATGTTCTTTCACATAATATATAGTTTATGATATTATATAAAATATTTATTGTAAATAATATCAAATTGTATAGAACAGAAGTACACGTCACTCTATTTTTTAAGTTACCTTTTTATTGATAGGAATAGTTTGGAGGTTAATTCAAACTAGCTTATTCCATCCTATAGCCTTTTAACTTAATCTATATACTCTATCCAACCCAGTATTATGATTGACCATTCTATTATAAATATTCATAATTGCAAAATCATTCTATTCTAATACCATTTTTATTCCATTTGTTTTTTTACATTTCATTTATAACTCATTCTATATTTGCGTATCAATCTTACTTTAAGCCTTCGATATTATGTTTGGTATGTAAGAATGAAATATAATGATAATAGAAATAGAATATAAAGATCATTCTTATTTTATTGTTTGGTTACAAATATAAAATATGTAGTAATATAATGATAATGACCATTTTAGCATAGTATTTGATTGAACCAATTTAAAATTTATAATAGAAATAATTTCACATTGAATTCTCCAAAATACCATACTTAGTGACAAATAAATTAAATTAACAAAATAATATTCTTCGATATTTTTTTAAAAATAAATGTCGGTGGTGGAGGTGAAAAGCGGTAGTGGTATTAGCGGCGGTGGTGGAAGGCGGCGACGACGGTGGTGGTGGAAGGCGGTAGTAGTATTGGTGAAAGACGATTGCGGTGGTGGTGGTGGTGTAAATGATAACGGTGGAAGGCAGCAATGGTTTAAGTGGCAGTGGTGGAAGGCAGTGAAGGTGACGGTGGTGGAAGTTGGCGGTGGTAATGGCGGTGGAAGGCAGTGGAGGCAGCACGGATGTGGTGGTGGTGCAAGTTAGCGGCAATTGTGGTTGGTTGCAGTGAGGATGGTGGCAGTGGTGATGGTGGTGGAAGGCAATAGAAGTGGCGGAAGGTGGTGATAATGGTAGAAGTCGATGGTGGTAGTGGTGACGGTGGTGAAAAGTAATGGAGGCGGTGATGGTGTTATGGTTGAAACAACAACAGTGGTGACAGTAATGGAAGGCAATGGAGTTGATGACAGTGAAAGGTGAGGACAGTTGTGGTGGTGGGCGTGGTGGTTTTTTTTATATATTTTAAATATATATATATATATATATATATATCTATATATATATATATATTTGGGAATGGATTTTTATTCACAATAATGAATTTTCATTCAAATGAAATAGTTATTTTCACTTTAAATTGCATCCAAACAAAATAATAATCAGAATGGACATTACATTCTTGCACACAAAACCCAGCTATCAAAAAGGATTTATTTTATTTTATTTTTTATTCATTGCTACGGAAAAAAATGTGAGTCGCACTCAAGGTTTATTTCTTTACGTGAAAATACCTCCCCTTTGCATTATGCATTATTTCATACAGAAGTTAAAATTCAACGTCTTAGTCCCCTTGTATTATTTTCGAAAAAAAAAAAACAGAAGTCCCCTTGTATTATGCAACATTGTACATAAAAGTTAAAATTTGAGGTCTCTCAAATAAGTTTGGATAGTAAAAAGAAGAAAAATTTAGGGAATGTAATTTTCGCTTCCCATAAGAAAATTTTCATTTGTCGAGAATTTTTCAAGAATTTAAAATAATGTGTTTTATTTTCTTGTAAGTTTCATGCAATATTTTTTAAGAAAAAAAACAAAAGTAACTTTTTTCAAATAATGAAATATTACTTCTCACCCTTTCACTCGAAAAAAAGAAAAGAAATTTTCATATTTTTTTTGAAAAATTCATACCAATTAAAAAACTATTTTTATCTCATTCGCATATTATTTCCCTTTTTTGCCCTTTTCCATATGAGATGGGCGAATGTTATCAAAAGACAATTATGCCCTTGTATTTAGTTTGTAATTACTAAATAGTGGCGCTTATTGGACTAATAATGCTTGTTCTATTTCCTCTACTTCCATGATTACACCCATAGTTTCCTACTTGTTTTCCAACGCCCCCATTTGTTCACTTCTGTCTATAGGACTCTCCTTTATTTATTACTACGCTCTGAAACCCTAGATCTCCATCATCTGAAATCGGACGATAGCTCACAGAGATTGCTTCGAACAATCAGAATCGAAGGCAAGTTCTTGAATTCAAAGTCTTGAGTTTTCTGTATTTACTAAATAGTGAATCTAAATTTTTTATGTTCATATTGCTTCAGATCTCTACAATCTGTACTTAGGTTTTGATGAATCTATTACCAGAACATACTTATTCTTAATTCACAGTTCAATCTCAAGAAAACGTTGGAAAATATATATAAAAAGAATGGAAATTTCGAATTCTTTGTGTTACTTTGCTTCGTTTCGGATTAACAACTCTAATCAAGATTACAAACTTTTAGCCCAAATCAGTAATAATCAGAGTTGAATGTAGGTTCATGTTGTCTTAGAACCCAGATAGTGAAACATCTAAGATTTTAATTCATACTTTTGTACACTATTAGTATCTATACATATGTGTTATTTTACTTTTTTTTTTTTCGTTCCCGTATAAACCAAACAGAGATATTGATGGTCTTGGATTTTGTTAATTTGAATTCAGAATATAATTATTTTTGCCTATTGTTAATTTTGAGTAATATATTGTATTGTCTTACAGACTAGTTTATAGAATTTACTGAAAATGCTTGGTGATGGTGAAAACCCGGCTGAAAGCCAAAACCCTGATACTGAGGGGGGAAATTCTACGATTGATGCACTGGCGCGAAAAGTTCATGAATCACTCTCTCTGGCAAAGAGACACAAATTTTGGGAAACCCAACCTGTTGGGCAGTTCAAGGATCGTGGGGATGCGAGTTTGTCTGAAGGTCCCATTGAACCTCCAACGCCATTGTCTGAAGTCAAACAAGAACCTTATAATCTTCCCGGTCCATATGAATGGATCACTTGTGATATGGACTCTGAGGAGATGTGTGCAGAGGTTTATATCCTTCTGACCAACAACTATGTTGAGGATGATGAGAACATGTTCAGGTTTAACTATTCGAAGGAGTTCCTTCGTTGGGCACTTCGCCCCCCCGGTTATTTCAGGAGCTGGCACATTGGAGTGCGAGTCAAAAGTTCAAAAAAGTTGGTTGCTTTTATTACTGGTGTTCCTGCTAAAATCCGGGTCCGTGATACTGTTGTCACCAAGGCGGAGATCAATTTCCTCTGTGTTCATAAGAAGCTTAGGTCGAAAAGACTTGCTCCTGTCATGATTAAAGAGGTGACTAGGAGGGTTCACTTGGAGAATATCTGGCAAGCGGCCTACACTGCTGGGGTGATTCTTCCTACACCCATATCAACTTGCCAATATTGGCACAGATCTTTAAATCCAAAAAAGCTTATTGATGTTGGGTTTTCAAGGCTTGGTGCGAGGATGACAATGAGCCGAACAATAAAGTTGTACAAGCTACCAGATTCAACAGTCACTCCTGGGTTCAGAAAGATGGAGCTACATGATATTCCTGCAGTTACGCGTCTGCTTAAGAATTACTTGAGTCAGTTTGTTGTTGCACCTGACTTTGATGAAAATGATGTGGATCACTGGCTTCTTCCAAAAGAGGATGTTGTGGACAGTTATCTGGTTGAAAGCCCTGAGACTCACGAGATTACTGATTTTTGCAGTTTTTACACGCTTCCTTCATCAATTCTTGGCAACCAGAACTACTCAACTCTGAAGGCTGCTTATTCTTACTATAATGTGACTACAAAGACTCCATTGCTTCAGCTGATGAATGATGCTCTTATTGTGGCGAAACGAAAGGACTATGACGTTTTCAATGCCTTGGATGTTATGCAAAATGATTCCTTTCTGAAGGAACTGAAATTTGGGCCAGGGGATGGGAAACTCCACTATTACCTCTACAACTATCGAATAAAAGATGTTTTAAGACCATCAGAGCTGGGGCTTGTGCTTTTGTAGTTGGCAGTTAGTTTCTGCATGCTCCAATGAGGACATATTTGGTCAAGTATGCTGATTACTTACTTTGCATCAAGCTGTCATGTTATACTTTGTTGACAATGCATTGTAGGATTTAGATTTTATTGTTATTGTGAAAGATAAATTTTGTGAACTTTTGTTGCCTGAGATTCATGGGCAATTCTCCAATGTTGAGCTCCCCCATGCATTGTTAAGACTGAAAGATATGTCAAAACTTTTTTTTTTTTTTTTTTTGCTTTTTATGCCCTGTTTTCTGCTGATACATGATCCTAGTTTGTTGTCATTGTATTTTTGTCACCTCTGACTCTCATTGATGCCTGAGCAAGAGTTAGAATTAATTCTCACATGCTATTGTTTCTACTGCTTGAAATGATTGCTTGAATTTATTATATCATGTGTAACATTTCGTACTTCTATAAATGAATAGCATGAATGAGAAGATCTAAGCTTGTTTGAGTATTGGATTGTAGAAACTCTTAAGAAGAAGGTACTTATCAAATGTTTGAAGTGAGTGCAATTGGAGTGTCTATTTATTTATTTTATTAGTGGGTAACATCTGGGAACACGGCGTTTGACAGTCAATAGCGAGTGGAGTTTCTGCTTGTTAATGTCTTTGTTGGCCTTCAGGTTGGACTAAATTGTTTCTTCTAGCTATGTATTTATTCATATTGTAGAAGTAATTTCACACGCGATTATATATCTTGCAAATGGGGCTGTTTAGAGATGATGTGAACATCCAATTTCCATTGTTTTTACGGCACAATTGTTAAAGAAGCCTAGATTGTTTGCTTTAGTATTAAAGATTATTCTTTTCGGGTTTAATCTCTATCATTGTCACTAGCCAATGGCTTGTGCATGTCATTGCAATGTTCTGGCTTCAAGCCTGCATGCAGCAACATCTTTCGCATATGGCCAACATTGTTTTGTTGCATCCTGCATTGGCTGCTTGCTCAAGATGTTGAGGCTCAGCATTAGCGATCTTTTTTTGAAAATTTGACTTGTTGGTTTTGCTTGAATAGATGATCTCAACTGTTAGATTTTGTTCATTGTAGGTAAAAGTATTGGAAAGGAAAAAGGTATAGGAACTGGATGCTTTTCAACCATGGATGCTTATTCAGCCATACTAGTATTTGGACATAACTTTTTAAAAGGTGACCATGGATGCTTGGTGCTGAGGAAAACTTAAATGTGCTGGGTGTAGTAATGACATGCTATCTCGCACTAATTATACATTGAAACATAAATAAGAAAACATCTATTTTAGTGGATCCTATCACTGTGTGTCGGTGTATAATTAGTGCGTGATATTATGTCATTAATACATTCGGAACATGTAAGTTTTTCTCGTTGGTGACGATATCGCAGGAAGTTATTCCTCCTCACTGGCTTTGCAAGTTGAACCAGGGGGAGAGGGGGGAGGAGTTGCAGTCGGGCCTGAATTGTTTTGATTCTAAACCACCTGTTCTTAGGGACCGTGGTGGAGACTAGCCTAGTTGCAATTCTTCCTACTATAGTTTCTGGGTTCTTATGAAATGTGGCCCTGAGGCGACAATGAACACCCAACTCCTTGGAGTTTATGTTTTCAGAATCATAATCTTGTATGTGGGACTGCTTAATAGCAGAATGATGCTCCTGCTGCAACTTAATTAAGTGGTTAAATGTGATAGTAGTGCGTGTTGCTGCTACACCTACCAAAGAGCTTCGCCAAGAGATCTTGACAGCTTTTCTTACCAAGGGTTTAATCTCAAATATAGAATTCTTCTCACACAGCTGTAGTATGTATATACAACTAACACATATATATACATGTGTATAAGTGAAGATAAGATATGTCAGTCTTTTCATTACCCTATGAACACTGAATGGACTGGTGAGAACAGTACGCAATGGGTGCAGTTGAAGATCCGGTAGGGAGATTACTGTGTTAGGGAGTCGCTGCGCTACCAAAGGAGTTTTTACCCTTCTATGCCGAAGGGCTGGCCGAGAAAGCCCGGCCCCCTTCGGCCCGGTGGGGCTGAACGGAATGGGTGAGTACATCGCTTCTTTCCGTTAGCTCTTTTCTCAATCGACCACTGGGAAAGAGAGGTCAAGTGTTCAAGTTTTGCTAGGGAGAAAATGGCAATAATGGCGTGTGCCATGGAGGGATAAAACAAGGGATATACTGTAATGAAGTTTATATCTCAATCTCCCAACTTTGAGAATCGGCTCGTGTCTATTCATATGTACACAATAAATCATTTGTTAAGAAAGTAAATATCGATGTTGATCCTGCCAAAGCGAGGTACCAGGAAACATGGACAAATGACAAAATCACATTTTAATCATTGACCGAGTACTTACTCCTAAATTTTTGAGGAATGAAAATGTTTTTGCTTCAATAAATACAAAGTTCAGAGTGCATTCCTGTCAGGGCAATAAAAACTACCCCTATTTGATAAAAGAGAGCTGATGACTGCCACCTAAATTCTGTTAAATTTATACACGGGATCATAAATTTCAACACGGAGACTCTCATCACATTTACACGGCTGTCACTTGAGCACAGAGAAGCACATCACCTTGCGAACCTGTAAAATCAAGTAGAAAGAGAATTACCGATACAATTAGAAGAAAAAAAGGCAACAAAAATTGAAGAATGTTGCACTTCCAGTATTACATTGTCCATAAATCTCTTTCACTAGTTGTAGCAATGACTCGGTATCTTCTGCCATCCTTGAGACTCTTTCTGCCTCTTTAACTGCTTCAGCTGCAACAAATGACTTGTTTTCTGCATCTGCAATCTTGTAGGCAGCAGTTGTCGCGGCTTCTTGTACTGTCTCACTGCAGATGATTACCCCAGAAATATGTGACAGTTTTGGCCTGATATCTTTTTGTTTTGGGATAGGTGTCTTTGCACCCAATGCTGCATCTTTCTTAATCTTGTAGCAGTTCCGGACCTGCATTTTGGTAGTATTGAAGCAAGCTCCAATATAAGAAAATCCATAGCAGTAATGACGATATAAATCACAGTTCTTGTTTTCTTTTCTTTTTTCCATCTTCTTTCCCAAAAAATATATAATCGAGGAAAACCAATGTCCATCTTATCGCATGGCATGGTTATTCAGGGTTGATTATCTTACCCTTGTAGGAATCAAAATAATTAGACAGTTTAATCACCGTCTGATTGGTCAACAAGTCAAATTGAATTTGATCAGTCCAAGTCAAATATTCAACACCAAATGTAGGTTTCAGCAACTGGTGATGAAACCTAACGGGTGGGTGCAAAATACTAGTCACAACATGACTAGAAGGGTTACGTTTACATGCAAATATGCAATAATGGGTGGGTGCAATCTAAAATGGGACATGTCACCATCACCAAGATATGTCTATTCTTCAGAGTTTGATAATTTAAAATTAAAATTAAAATTTAGTTCTATATGGGTGAGATATTAATTTCTTTTTATAAGAAATTTAAATCAACCAAATCACAGACTTCAGTAGCAAGCACCAATCTCTATCTATAAATATAGATGTCCACAAATTGAGGACGGAGAGAGAGAAAGCTCTTTTTTGGCAGGGACACTATTGATTATAGACATTTGGTGACCCTTTGGAAAAAATCGTGTGCACTTGGTGCCATGACCTCGAAGGGTTAGCCTGGTCAATGAGCAGTGGCTCCATTAAGTAGCCCATGAGGGTGATCCTTGGGGAAGAACCAGTTGACTGTAGGGGTGACTCCAAGTGAAGTAACTTAAAAGAGTGAGCTTTAGGGAAGGAAGACGGCCTATTTCCATGCCAGGATGACTTGTTCAGAAACCTCATAGATGATAGACCGATGCTTGCCGATCTCGAGTGGTTAATAGCTATTAACCAGTTATGGATCCACTCAGTGAGTAGTTGGGATACATCCGTTGCATATGCATTTCTTGATATACTTGTGTGACTGATGGATAGCTGATACTTCTTCCATCCCTTCAGGGGATTCCAACTTTTGTTATTAATTTGGCAAAGATTTCAAAACCTAAGTATAATTTAAGTTTCAAAAAGGGGACATTTATTAATGACATCCCAAAACAGAAAGAGAGAGACTACTATTTTGGGAGGGGGAGAGAAATTACTTTGTATTATGGTTACAGTTTTTGGATCCTGTATCATTATGTTGGAGAAGGAGATCTAAATCCACTATTGTTGCTCATTGACTATATCATTACTCTCTGATTACCTGCGGAGACAATAACAATTTATATTGGAAGCAACATGTCAATCTTTCCTACTGAGCATTCACGCTCACCCCTTGTTTCCCATTTCAGATGTTCAATTTCGGAGAGGACAATGGCTCCCATCTGGAGCTCACCTAGGGTTGTGTGAAGTTCAGCAAACTTTTAAAGGGTTTTGGATTTTTGCAGTTCTGGTTGTACATATGATATAGTAGTATTGTTGTAGTTAGACAATAGATGTGAAGAAGACATGTAAACTTTGAAAATATAAATCTATTGAATCTCTCTACGATGATTGGTATCTTTAGTTTATTATTATTATTATTATTATTATTTTTTATAAGTAGTTTTATAATCCTATTATCATACCTTTTTTCTACCTAAGGGGATCTGGTGTGACAAACACAACAACCCACCAATCCCCTATCACCCAAGCTTGACAACACCACCAAACCAAACTTATTTACAATCATCCCCACCTTAATTCAGTGTTGTGAATACAAGTAGCTGTGCAATCAAGTAACGAGATATATGGGAGAGGAAGAGGGAGATTACAATCTTGACTTGGTATTCTTAGTTAGTGAAGCCAGTTGTTTTTGACAGTGGGTCAGTCAAGAAAAATATGTGATGGGACGGGATGTCTTACTGTGAATTAAGAGAAGTTCTTTGACTTCCACACGCGCACATAACACAAACACAAATGGGTACATATATAGTTTAGAAAAACTATATTTCTTCTTTCTTTAAATAAAAGTGTTTATTTATACATGCGTACATGTTTGAGCATTTTGCAAACCGCATATCTGTCTCGCTGTTGAACCACTTTGAATTTGATTGGGGGTGCTAGAAAATGCTGGTGGGCTGGCTTCAGGGAGAGAATAGAAAAGGGAGAGCTGATAAATAGAGTGTCTAAAGAGATTGATGATGATTGAACTTATACAAAGAATAGAAGATGAAAAGCAAAAGAAAACGATCATTTGTGACTTTGCCGGCTGTTGAACACCATTACAATTAGCACTTAGCACTATTACCATACAGGGCATCACTGTCGTGTTTTAAAATTCAGGGACACTGTGTTTCTAGACCATAGCACGGCAGTAAAGAGAAACTAATACTATTATTTGTCCCACCTTCATCAATGTCTCTGTACGTTTAAAAAAATTTCTATCAAATTTGATATGAAGCAATCTATGATTATTTGCTAGTGTGCACTTGCGTGCACGTGCTGTCGTGCTGGGAAGCAAGCAGTAAAACTGAAAGCGAAAGTACTATCACAAATAACTAATCAACAATTCAAATTAAATGTAAAGAAGTGTAATATATTAATGGCCATTTTCCAAAAGAAAGAACCATGATGCACAAATTTTGAGAAATTGGAACAGCTGTCATTTTCTAACATCATATCAAATCTAATACATATAGGTGCAGAAGCATACATAAAACGAAGTAAAAGATGCCAACGCCAATAGAAAAGTACACGATTATCTATGTGGTTTGCAAAAACCATTCAAAAGGGCGAAAATTGATCACATAGCAAACTGAGAACTGGGCAATATCAAAGATACTTCCAGTTGAGGATGAAGAAAGTCATTCACCTTTTCAAGTTTCCCTTGCAAAACAAGTCTTCTCAGCTTTGAGCATAATAACCTTCTGAAATTTAGTGGCACCTCATGGGGATGCCTTCGCTGCAGTATGTATATCAGGATAAGAAGAGAGTCCGCGCTGCTTCTTAAATTCAAACGTTATGAGGAATTGATAAATAAAATTATCTACCCCTTCTACTTTAACTAAAATCTCAAGCTAGAAAAAAGGCATCAGTCTTATTATGTTGTTCTGATAAAACAGTTATCATCGGCTATTTATACCAAAAACTATTTTCTTTACTACATGTAACGTGCATCGTCCAATTAGTTTGGTCAGAACATCATTAGGGCAATTTCATAAATGCCTATAAAATTAGCTACATGCACTTGCCTATGAGTCTGAGACAATCATGCTTGTGATTTTAAGGTACAATCTACTTGTGCATGAGTTCATAATTTTAAAAACCATGAGTTCATGGTTGGTTTTTTGAACAATTTGACTGCATGATCCTCATCTCTGTATTTCAATAAGTATTGAACAGAACTTTGAGCAAATTCTTTAGATGGAGTTGGACATCTGAAGCACCTCATCAGGATTTCCATGTTTGTAGAACTCTTAGAAGTTTTAGATTTAAGACTTGTACACTTTTCAAAAACATTTCATTCTCCAGAAATCATTAGCATGGAATAATTTACTTTTTCTTTTCTTTTCATTTTTTTCAAAGATTCATTGCTCATCAGAACTATCTCATTTTCCTTGAAAAGCGCATATATTCCTAGTGTTGTTCCTAATCCAGGTAGAAAGACAACAACAGTGATACACATTGATTGACACTATGGTTTACAAAATCTACACATTGTTAAAAAAAAAAACTGTAAGTTTATTATGCTGCTAACTGCACTGTCGAAGTGTATTGCTGCACTTAATCCCTTTGCAAAAATCAACTTATCACGCATGGGATGGCGAATAAATATTAAAATAAATAAATCAAAACTGTAAAATATAATTCACTATACCAAAATTTGAATCTCATGATATTTTTGACCAAAAGGTTTCATACCTGAGGGTAATTTACACATTTTGATAATAACAAATCATTAAAGGTGTCTGTATTTAATATCTACTTGAGTTTTTGCTAAAAATGTTAGACATGTTGAAAAACTCAAGATGAGGATCAATGGCAAAGACCAAGAAGAATACAACACTTAAAGAAGACACATAGTTATTAAAGGCCCAAGGTGCACCAAGGCGCTAGAGGTCCTTTGGAGCCTAGGCACGAGGTGCACGGCGAGGCACGCGCCTGAGTGAAGTGAGGCGCACAATTGAAAATTTAAACTACCATAATAACATTCATATCTCATAAGTCATATCAATATTCTAAAAATTACTATCGAATATAAAAAAGTAAATCCATCAACTATACAAGCATATAACAACCATAAAACGGAGCACAAATTTGTTTTCTTGAAAGGCAAAGCAAAATTTTTTGAATGGCAAAACATAGCACAAAAAGAAATAAATATGTTAAGAAAAAAAAAAAAAAAATTGTTAACAAGAAAAAAAAAAAAAAAAAAAACAGAGCAAACAAAAAAAGACAGAGAGATGAAAGAACTAGACGAAGAGAGAGATGTAAACAAAGATAATAAGAAAGGAGAGATCTAGAGGAGAAGAGAGAAAAAAGAAAAAGAAAAGAAAGAACTGACGTGACTTCGTCGCTCATCTCTGCAACTAGGACTTCGTCTTCGTCTCACAATCTCATTCTATCGTTGTTCGGTTAACACTTTGACTCTTGGGCTTTCTTATTTTTTTATTCTTTTGAACAAAAGTTCCTTATATCGTATGATTGAGCTTTCTTTTTTGTTTATTAAGTTGCCAAAAGTACCCTTTTTGGCTTAAGAAATAGAACAATTATATTTTTTTAAACAAATATCAGTGAGGCGCGCCTAGGCGCACCTCAAAAACAGGACGAGGCGCAACCGCGGCGCGCGCCTAGTAAACATTAGTGAGCCTGGGATGACAACAGGCGCTAAACCTGAGCCTCGAGCCTAGGCGCGCCTTTAACAACACTGAGAAGACATACTTAAAGAAAGACCTCTAAAGCTGAATGACAATGACGTCAAGATAAAAAACTTTCTACACAAGAACAAAGAGGCATTAAAGTCAAGATTAGGGGTGCACAAGGTCTGGTTTGGTCCAGTTCCAGGCTAATTTGGAACAGAACTCTCTCGGTTCCTTGAAAATTGGAACCGGAACAATCGGCACAAGGAACTCTACCGAACCGTGAAAGACCAGTTTGGTTCAGTTCCGAACCACAGTTCGTTTTTTTTTTTCTTCCCCTACTTGGTACTCACACCCACCCCCCCAACCCCCCTCCAAGGAATTGTTTGCACCTAGCAGGAATCGATCAGGAAACCACGGTTATCTTTGCTTTTTAAATATATATATTTATTTATAATGTGGAAACAAACTCACTGCCAATCACAAGTTTATACACTGTTCTAGGCAATAAATAATAATATATTACCCCTCAAACAAAGCAACATGAAACAGAATCTGCAAACTCCTAATCTTTCAAACAGAACAGATTGTATAACAATTAATAAGTAAATAAATAAATAAACTGCAAACTCCTTAAAGTCTCAAACAGAACAACATTCAAACTGAATAGCCAACAACATTCGAAGTGGTGCCATGCCGGAGATGCCTTATGGTCACTGGATGGTTGAGAGACAGAGAGATTGAGTGTGTGTGTGTGTGTGTGTGTGTGTGAGAGAGAGAGAGAGAGAGAGATTCTGACAAAGGGGTGAATGACGGCGAACAACAGTGGACGTGACTTGTGAGGGAGGCTGTGAGTCTGAGTAGTGAGTATGGAGTGAGAGGCGACGAGGCGTGAGAGTCTGAGAGAGACTGAAAGAGGGTAGGGAATTTTGTGACCTAGGGTTGAATGGTTGACTGAAATTGAATTTGGGGTTGGAACTTTACTCTTTAGTGTTGTACAGCTATTAGCATTACGTGTTCAATGCCTTAGAGTTTATGATCTCACTAAGCTGTATGTGCTTTGTGTTATATAATTATGTTAATATTTTTTTTCCTAGTTATAAATATGTTAATATTATAATATATATGTGTACAATTAACACAGGTTCGGATCGGTCCTAAAGCAACTGTAATTAGAACCGGAACCGAAATGTAGCGATTCCTTAATTTTGGAACCAGAATTGGAACGAACCGTCGAGCAACCGAACCGAAGCACCTGGTTCGGTAAGGTCCGATCTGGTTTACCAGTTCCAATGATTTTTTGTGCAGTCAAAATGAGCAAGTCATGAACAAGTCAACCCATGGACATCATTGATGATCAAGACGTGGGTAGATAGGCCTGGGTGAGTGACTAGAATTCATTGTAAAGTTAGTCTTGAATTTACTCACTAGAAAGCCTAACTCTTAACCTAGTGGACCATAGGACCCTGCATATCATTCATATCATTTGCATGTCCACAGACTATAAGCAATTGGCTGAACCTCATTCTTATTATTATAAGGCCTTTGCTAAGGTTGAGATAGTTCAAGCTTTCTAAGCTTTGAAAGAATTCAACCATTGAGAAACATAAACCAGAACCATGTACCTAGTTCATATCATTTGAATTGGACTTTAGGTTTAGAGCAACATTTTGAACTTGATTGTTTCAATCATTCCCGGACATGAAAAAACTCAAAAAGTGAGAGAGAAGCTACGAGAAAAAGAGACACAAATTTGAGAAAAATGTGAAATTTATTTTCACACACATGTATCACACAAGAGCATAAGTATACGATATATTTATACATCTTTGTTCATATTCCACCATTGGAGCATACATTTCTTAATCCATTGCTGTTGGAGCTACCATGGAGCGTTATCATTGAATACCCTTTCATGGGTAGCACCAGTATTGAGCATCATCACTCTTATCTATCATAGTGGTTTTCAAATCCTAGAGATGAGCTTTCAACTTTAGTATTTCTTGCATTAACTCTGAAATTGTACAAATCTGTCTATTAAGAGATAATTCTTTGCACACATATTTAACTCTCAACCTTCAGTGAGAGGACAGAGGCTTGCTCTCAACCTTTATGTGAGAGGGCAGAGGTTTCCTCTTGACCTGCAACAAAGAGGAGGTTACTTCTGAGCCTATAAAATAGGGGGTTCTCACTGCACCTGCTCTTCCCCTGTAATGAAGGGTTCCAATGAGAATTGGAGGAAATCCTCAAGTGGTCTGCTTGAGGTGAGTATGTAGGTAATTTTCCGAACCTCGTAAATCTTGGTGTTAGCTTTTCTATCCCTTAACTCCTTTACTTACTGTTTATGCATATTATTTATATTTGAATGTGTATGTGTTTGTTAGCATATGTTAGATAAGCTTAGAAGCATTTTAGGATTAAATATGCTCAAGTTTAGAAGTAGTTAAGAGTAGCATGCTTGTTAAAATAATTAGTTATTTACATGTGCTTAATTAGATGTATGATAGGACTTGATGTTAGCTTAGATGTTTGATAGGCTTAGTATATCTATTATACGATTTATGTGTTTGATGATATATATTGAGCTTAGTTGTGTGTCATATATATACATACTATTAAGACCATATTTGTATATTATGTGATTGCACTTTAGTTAGTCTTCATCACAACCAACTTCCTTAATTTTTTTTTGATAAGTACAACCAACTTCCTTAATTAATCAATGAACAAGCCAACATCAAGAAATCAAGCAAATCAAACCAAACTAAGTTAATTAACTACTACTTTCAACCAACACACTTCTTTGACCAAGCCGCAAGCTAACAACCACAAATCAATTTAACAAAGAAAGTAGAATGCAACCCAAGCAAGCAAAATCAATTAAAACAATCTAGAACTAGCTTAAGACCAAACAACCATTCTCCATAGCAAGCCAAGTAACCCAACCATCCTAATTAACCAAGCATAGGAACCTGACTTAGAAATTCACTATTAGACATCCAAATATGTTCATAGTTCAAACTAGAAACCTCCCTTAGGAGTTCACTCTTAGATTCCATTAACCTTAGAACTTTAATTTTAGGATCCTTAGATAATTCCAAAAAAAGGTCCATAGTTTATCATAGACCCAATTCACCCCTCCTCCTCGGGTCAATATCTCGGCAACTAATATATATATATATATATATATATATATATATATATATATGTACAATGTGTACTTTTTGCAAACCTAGTGTCAATCGGCAAGTATCATTGTGCATTGTTTTCTACCTCTATTTGGAACTACACTAGGAATATATGTCACTTTCCAAGGAGAATGAGAAAGTTCTACCAACCAATGAAAAGAAAAAAAGAGTAAAATATTCCATGCTATTGATTTCTGGAGAATGAAATACTCTTCGAAAAGCGTACAAGTCCATATATCTAAAACTTCTAAGGGTTTTAGATCAATGGAAATCCCAATGAGGTGCTTCAGATTTCCAACAGACTGTACTCCATTTACAGAATTTGCTCAAAGTTATTAACTGTACTTCTTGGAAGACAGTGATGGGGATCATGCAGTCAAATCATTCACAAAACCAACCACGGACTAATGGCTTTCAAAATTATGGACTCATCCACAAGTAGATTTTACCTTAAAATGACAAACATGATAGTCTCAAACAAGTACACATATACAGGTAGCTAATTATATAGGCAAGTATGAAATTCTTCTTTTCAATTATTTCCGCAAGCTATTTTTTCATGATTAAAGCTAATGATCGCACTAAGATCCTGACAATGCAATGAAGAAATGAGAGATTCTGACCTGAATACAGCTATCAATGGCACTAAGATCCGATCTACTTGGATCATTTATGGTGGAAAGTGCTTCAAAAATCATTGCATAGTACCTGATAAATAAAACAATAACATCAAATTTCCCATGAAGGGATAGCCGATCATTATATAGAATAAGAAATACAAAAATCCCTATAAAAACTATTCTCATATCAATCAGGAAGGACATTGAATCCATGGGCCACAAAAAACCCTCATTTTTTATATTGACAAGTTTGTGTTGCGTAGTTTAAATTATAAAATTTTTTTTTTTTTTTTTTTTTTTGATGAGTGTAGTTTAAATTATACAATTGCAATTACTATTTAATGTGCTGTTGGAAATTATGTCTCAAATTCTATTCTAATTAGGTTTCTATTTTAGAGTTGTACTCTGTTAGGTAATTTTTTGTTTGGCAAGCCTGGACTTATAAGAAATTGTAATCCTTGTCCAACAAGGAATTATGTATGTAACTCTATAAATATATACCTAGGTTGTGGATTGAGACTTATGAGATTGAGAGAGATGTAGTCTCATGAGGGAGTTGATGGGTAGAGGTAGTATGCGGGTTGGTAGAATAGGAAAAACACCGGTGACACTGGTAGCAAGGATATAGGCTCGTGGAGTGGTACATGGTGAAAAGAAATGTACATGGTGTTGGTACTCTATTGTTGTAATATCTTTACAAATCATAGTGGAATCTCTTCTCATCCATAGACGTAGGCCGGTTTTGGCTGAACCATGTATATCTTGTGTTTGTGTGTGATTGTTTTGTTGACTTTCATTGGATTTATGTACCCGCGTGGTTCCGCTACCCCAACACGTGCATTTTTTTTTTTCCTAGTTGATACTTATACACCCGCCTAACGTGCATTTTCAACAAACGTGCCAAAATATACTTAGCTTTGGCCTTATGTTTAGGCTCGGGGAGTCCTTTTCGCCTTAGTGCAACTTGAACCTCTAATAACCATGGGCAAAATTAATTTATGGATGTATAACATATTCTCATCAAACATAGCAACACCAATAGGGGGTGGCAATTTTACCCGTGCCACTAGGTTTCTACCTCGCCCTGCCCGTATTGGGACGAGTATGGGAACCCTTTAATAAGGTTTGGGGCAAGTATGGAAAAAGCTAATAAGATCCGATCCAGGTTTGGGCCGAGAATGGGTTTTATTCTATACCACCCCACCTCGATTATGACATGCAATTACATCTTTATCCTTATTTATCATTGTGATGTTATGGCCCGAATTTGGTTCTGGGTCGCAACAACCGACGATCGATTGGAAAAAATTTGATCCATTCTTGCTTGCGGGCTGTGGACAATATTTAGTACTCTTTTGTAGCTCGCTATATAAGGGCATTTAGGGTTTGGAGTGGGATAATTGAGTGACACTGAAAATCGCAAAAAAAATAGTGATAGTAAGAGTGAGAGTGAGAGCGAGAGCTAAGGTTTGGGGACTAAAACTTATAATCTCCTACTTTCGCATAGTGAATTCTTTCGCCGGATCTCCATGTGTCGAACCATGCTAAATCCTTATCTTCTTTGTGTGTGGCATGTTTATTTTTTTGTCGTGTTTTGTGATTGTTTCTTGGGTTCGTTGCGTTTGTTGTTGGGTCGAAAACTGGGAACACCAAAAACTGGGTCAAAAACTAGCTTAGGCCCACACAAAGCTCAGTCAACGGGTCGTCAGGTCGAAAACAGGTCTCAACGTGACCCGGTACCAAATTCAAGCCACAACATCACATGTTTTATTCCTAAACATGGTTGGATGAAAATTTCAAACCCATCCCAGGTTCAAGACGGGTATGGGACCAAAAAAGATTAAATGGGGTGGGGTGGGTTTTAGATCAACCTGTCCCATACCCTGCCCTATTGCCATCCCTAAACACCAAATAGGTTGAGTTATGAGTGTGAAAAGAAAAGCAGTAGAGAGACGCACCGTGAAGCAGCTTTGCCATTCTGCAGGCTTCTCGAAGGATCTCCAGTGACATCATTCTTAGCAAGTGAAGCAGTAGAAGCATGATTTTGAGAATTGGAAGGTGGACTAGCTGCAATAGCTTTTATTCTAGGAATCCTAAGTTTTTCTTTAGAGTCTTGTGCATAATTACCAAACATGTTCCGCCATTTGTCCTGGTCATGTGAAAGAATATGAGACTAGTAAATAGCATGCTAGTCAACTGGTGCAAATGATTCCATGCACGTGGAAGTTGGAACAATATTTCTACTGAGCAGGCTATTGGTAATTTCAGTTCAATAAAATTGAACAAAAATTAGAAATACATATATTATGTTGATTAACAGTTGCACATCAAAATATACATATGGTAAAAGAAGCAAAGAATAATATAGTGACACCAACGATTAATCAGAATCTGGACATGGTCCAAGAAACTTACACAAACATGATGTTTAACATAGTAGAAGATTAATAGTCACACCGAGAAAAATTTTAATATCCACAAAATGGAAAAAGAAAAACTCCTTTATTATAGAGGACGGATCAAGAAAAATAGGCTAGTTGTTCACATCTATTTCATAACATGCACTGAAAACATCAATTCCGTAGCACAGACATCACATCACAATAAGAACAAAACCTGTTTCATTTAACAGCATCGATACCCTGTTTGTCCAAAATTTTATTATCCAAAGTAGAAATGGTTCCTAAAAGAAAATACATAGAAAAGAAAACATTGCACGGATCACAGCATTGTAATAAAAAAATTATGCTCCCAGTCAGTTACCCAAATTCCACGAGATAAAGGATTATGATACAGGATAATCAAAGAGCCATATTAAGGCCAACTAGATAGTTTGGTTTGGACCACAAGATAACTTCGGGTTAGTCTTAGCCAAACTGTATAGTTGCATATTTTTCTACTTTGCTTTATTTTAGTTTATAAGATTATTATGCTTCTGGTAATTTAGATAGTCACGTGACTGTATATGCAATATGAAGGGCTCAGCCTCAGATTGTAAGGTTTCAGGAATAACCAAGGGCTAGTCTTAGCCGAACTGTATAGTTGCATATTTTTCTACTTTGCTTTATTTTAGTTTATAAGATTATTATGCTTCTGGTAATTTAGATAGTCACGTGACTGTATATGCAATATGAACGGCTCAGCCTCAGATTGTAAGGTTTCAGGAATAACCAAGGGCTGATATTTTAAGATCAATGTAACCTAGGCATACATTTTAGGAGTCAATTGTAATGGATTTCTCCAAATTAATTTCATGAAAAAAAAAAAAAGAAGAAGAAGAAGAAGAAGAAGAAAAAGAAAGCATTGAATGGTCAAACCTTCAAATCATGTTTTACTGATTTCCTAATTTAAAAGCTACACAAATCTTGTGACAGTTTATCTTATAGTTTTGCTGGAAATTCCTCATAAATATTGGACTATACCTATTGACCAACAAAAAGTTAAACTATCGCTTTTCTTGCAACACTACCGCTTTTCTTGCAACAAAACTGACTATAGTGCCAAAACAGAACTCTATATATGAACCATAGTGGGACATTGGTTGTGGATAGGGATGGCAATTTGACACGCCCTCGCGGTTACCCACCCCGTTTTTGGCGGTGTTGGGGGACCGTTTAGCTTATTTGGGCGGGGATGGTTTGATATAATAAAAACCCACGCAGGTTTGGTGCGGGGGCGGGGGGAGGTCGCCCCACCCCGTTTAGATAGACAAATTACTTAAGTACCCTTATTTTATTAGTATATATATTTCCCGGTATATACATTAAGTACCCTATATAGCAATGTTAAAGTAACAAATGAATTTGATTAGAAAGAAAATTGCAAAGGTGAAGAACTAAAGATGAGGAGAAAAAAAAAACAGAACAAATCTATTTCAACAATAAATAAATTATAGTCTTAAACGGAGCGGGGTGGTTACCCGCTGGGGTAAAAATGTTAAACGGTTGCGGGGATGGGGTGGAAAGTCCCCCCGTTTTTGCGGTTTTGGACGGGGATGAGGTTTTTAAACGGTTGTAGGGGCGGGGGAGGGTACACCCGCCCAAACCCGCCCCCGTTGCCATCCCTAGTTGTGGAAGAGAAATTAAGCCAAGCAATGTGAGGAACACCAAAACAACGCATTTGTCTGAAATTTTGTCATGAAATCTGTGATAACTTCAGCTACAATAACATGCAATGGCCCATTTCCACAAGATATCAGTAAACCTTTTAAAATATTGGAAATTAACCAAAAAGAAAAAGGATCCAAAAGGGATATGGAAAGAAGTGGGCTGGATAGCCACTGAAGTTAAATTTGTTGTATTCTATGAGAAAATGCATTTTGAAGTTTATTGAATGGGTAGAGTAGCTTGGAGGAGAGTTTGAAGTGAAAATCCATAACCACACAAAGTTTGCATCATTTCTAAAGCTTAAGTTGGAATTCACAGCACTACAGTAGGAGTTACAAAGCAACAAGCTTGATTAGGAAATTTTCACAATACACGTGCTCATGCACACATGCGCAGGCAACAAAATGGGCAAGAGGAACAATAATCAGATAGAGACAAATAAATAAAGACCCACAAACAGGTCTAAGGTTCCAATCCTCTTGGGTGCAAACAATTCCTTGTATGAGTATCAACCAGGGAAAAATAAAAAAATAAAGACCCACAAAACCAAAAATAAATAATAAATACTACATATCTATTAGCAGAGCATCTACATTAAATTTCTAATTGATCAAACCACTAATGGAATAAATTCCAATACTGCAAGGCCAAATGTGCCTTTAAGAAAATTACCACAAATGTAATGGCCACTATAACCTAAGGCTCTGATACATCGGACTGCGCGTGTTCAAGTAGACCTAGAGGAGAGATGAATAGATCTTATGGATATTAGTTTGTGTAGGTGTCAAATATATTTTAATCCACATGGAAACGCCACACAATCAATAATAGCCCACATAGCAAAAGTCAAACAGTCAACAGGCAAGTTACGTGACAAATACCACGTCTTCAATAAACCTCCAATTGAAGACTGAAGATTTGAAGACCTGAGTTGGGAGCAGGACTCAGGAATACTGGGATCCGAAACCCTTGACCTGATTTGTAGAGAGAGAATACCATTTTGACTCCTGTACAACTTAACCAACATGTCTTTTCGTATGATGAGATCACACACTCTCTCACTTGCCCTATAAAAGGAGATCTCCAAGGCCTAAGGAAGGAGGAAAGAACCTTCTAGACATTGAGAGCTCTTAGCTCTCTCGTATCCATACTTCTTCAAACCCTCAAAAACCTTCACTAAGGGAGCCAATAGTGTACTAGCACACTGCCATCTTCTTTCTCATACTCTCTCCCAAGTTTGCCTTGACTTCCAACTCTCTCAGTCCACTTCGGATTCCACTATGTTGCAAGTAATGCCTCATTTTATATTTTATATTGTGTTCACATTAAAGGAACCCTACAATTCACAACTAAAATTTTGAATTATCGTTCATCCTTATTTAAAATTCTATTAATTAATTGATTACGTTTCTCAATTGCAATCACATAAGCGTATAAAGTAATAAATAAATTAAAGCAGAGACAAAATTTTCACATTGAAACTCCTAATCAGGAAAAACCACGGGACCTAGTCCAAACAAATCAAAATCCACTATATGATAAAGAGGTTACAGACTAAGTTGCCCCAAAATCATCTAGTCCTCTTGACTCAGACTGACACAAGATCTCTCCAAATCCTCCAGCCATTTTATCCATTGCCAGACTCGCACCTCAAACAACCTGCTCCTCCATGAACTTCTGATCTCCCGGCTAGTGACGTCTGATCAACTTGTTCTTTACAAACCACTCCGTTGATGCTTTGATGAATAATTTCAATTATGTACCTTGCTTTGAATCTTTCAAACACATATAGGATGGTAATCTATGAAGAACCCAGATTGATTCTCAAAGCTTTCTCTACATTTTGAGTAAAAATACAAATTCTCTCGACAATATGTAAAGAATTGAAAACTCACGTGAGAGATACCCTAATTATTTATTAAAGAAGCACCCTCTCCCTTTTGGAAAAAAAAAAAAAAGAGAGAGAGAGAGAGAAGGTACAATTTTGGATCAAATTAGCCACGCATGATTTCTCAAGGCAATAACTAAATCCAATATTTTAAAATGAACTTAGACAACTACATCACTGTTGTACAAGGAAGAATAGGAGAGTAATTGGGAACGCAGATAGCTTTAAAAAAATAATTGTAAAATGAATCCTATACAGGACAATGGAGGGGGAGGGCGAACATTTTGGGCAGAAATTTAAATTTCAAATGGGGACCATGAGAATAATGGATATCAAAATCAACAAGGTTGGCCTCAAGGGACAGGAAAATGCAGAAAAAAGGTGAGTAAAAGAAGACTCTACTAGTAATTAACTGCAACACAAGTCATGCTGGTATTCAATTCAGTACCAAACCGATATCACACCACACTAAAGAAAGGAATCGAAGCAACAGTTGGTGAACGAAGACCATGGGAATATCAACCACAACAGCTAGCCTAGCCAGAATCCTAATCGTTAGAAATAGCTATCTGGAATCTTGAGAACATATCATGCTAGTGGCTTCGTCACTATGCACAAACCTCACCTCCGATTATCTATCATTGTCCTTATATCTTATTTATTTCTCACTGATGCAAATAAGGTTACAAAACTTTTAACAATATCCATTATCCAAGTTGCAAGACATATGAAAAAGTTGAAACCCTAACCTACCTCACTGATTCTGTGAAATGCATGTTTGGTCTGGCCAATTTCAACGGAGTACCTCCTCTCCAGCATGCAAAAAAAATTTAAAAGTATACATGGAAAGATAATTGAGTTAAGTTCACAAATCATCAAACAGCTAAAAATTTCTATTCGGCTAGCTCAAATATTGCTTATCAATGCATTTGAATCTCAATAGCTCATTATATGTTTATGTGCTAATTTGTTCCAAATTACCATTTACCCAATTATCCAGTTTCATGTTTGTGTGCTAATCCAGATTACTATATACCCAAATCATCGAATTTACATCATTACATGTTTATATGCTAATGTGCATGCATATAGCCATATATACCCAAATTACCCATTTTACATGTATTGGTCATGTGGTCCATGTCATCATTGTCAGGGGAAAAAAATAAATTATGTAAACCACAGGAATATATATATATATATATATATATCCGAATCAAGTGAAGAAAAAAGTGGGAATTCAAAATCAGAGGGAAATTGAAAGAAAAGGTAAAAAGAGGTCTCACCTTGAGGTCGATGTTGGAACGTTGGGTGAGGAATGGAGCGAACTGGGGATCGTTGAGGATGTGTTTCCACTTGCCAGTGCCATACTTCCCCACTCCGGCGCGAAGGGCTTCTTCCTCTTCCGCCGTCCACTTCAGCTTCTGATTCCCCATCTCCCTCTCTCTCTCTCTAAAATTCCGACACCCCTCTCTCTCTCTCTAAAATTCCGACACCCCTCTCTCTCTCTCTCTCTCTAAATTCCCACTCTCTCTCTATGTAACTTAGACATTATGGATTTGAATTTCGAGGTATCTATATGTAATATATCTCTCCCGCTCACTCTCGAATTGGGGATTTTTACAACTTGTGTGGGTGGAACGAACTTTAACTGATTTCAATTGTTATTTGGATTCACATTTGATTGATCAACTGTTTATAATCTCAATATTTTATTTATTTATTATTGTTTTACTGGTTAGAAAATAATAATAATAAATTGTTGAAAATTGAATTTGAAATGAAATATCGTGTTTATAGTAAGCTATAATTTAATATATATATATTATTTTATCATATTATTCTTATTAATTAAATTTACAGTTTTATATTTTACTACAAAGATAAAAACAAACACTTTTTTGGATAAAATATACACCGTCATTTCTGATGTGTAAAGTTTTTTTTATCTACAGTATGTTAATATACACTGTCACGTTACCAATATGTAAAATTATTTTATATTTTAGACCATCAACATTTCCAGCAGTATGTTAAAATATATTTTTGTATAAAATATATACTGTCACGTATGATATACTATATGTATTTTTATTTTATTTTTTTTTATCTTCAACAGTCTGTTAAGATACACTGTCACATCACTAATGTATAAAATTATTGTGTATTTTACACAACCTTTTTACACCGTCACATCAGTATATTTTCTTTATACTCATTCCATTAACTAATCAACCCTGCTGAGGCGTGGGGTTGTTGACAACATCCCCAATTTGTAGCCTGGGGTGGGTCCCAAAGGGGCCTACCCAGTTGAGTTCCAGTGCCAGCCAAAAAAAAACTAATCAACCCTATATTAGGTAGGTTTGTAAAAATTATGTAGGCTCCAGGTATGATTTTGGGGATATATTTTTACACAAAATGTATAAAACAACCCCTACAGCTAAAAATAAATAATCAAAATTTTTTTTGTAAATCTATTATGGCAGGTCAGATTTATAAAAAATAAAAATATACCCAACGGTTAGAGGTGCTCTAGTAGATTTACACAAACGGTTGGAGATGCTCTAATAGATTTACAGAAAAATTTCGGATTAGTTAATTTTTGCTCCAATGGTTATTTTATACATTTTGTGTAAAAATATATCTCCCAATAACAATTAACCAGTGTCATGTCTGGAACACACAAAATTTTTACAAAATCTACTTAATATAGGGTTGATTAATGAGGAAGCTAGAGAGAGGAAAAAATAAATATGTTTATGTACCTGTGTAAAAAGGTTATGTAAAATACACAACAATTTTACATATTAATGATGTGGCAGTGTACCTTAATAGGCTGTTGGAAATAAAAAAAAAAAAATACGAGTAATAATTACATATACACGTGGCAGCGTATATTTTACACAAGAGAAATGATACATTTTCCGAACTAATCTACTGACATATCCTCCAAATCCTAGGTGGCTAGGCCAAGTCAACAACAAAAAATACTATTCTCTCTCTTCATTCCCTCTCCACGATTCCCCCCTCTCTCTCCACAATCGCTGGTTTTCTCCACCGGTACAGGGAGATAGAGTACGAGAAAGTAAACAATTAGATATCCTAAATATTAAATTCCAGTCATCATTCAAACCAAGAATTTTATCTCTGAGTTGCTTGGAGGCGCTGCCGAAACTTCACCGCATTAAATCACCATAACAACACCGCACAACGAATCCAACCCAGTTTTACCTGATCCGAATCTTTAAACCCCAAGACCACAACGTCGGTCCTAAGTGATCTCCTTTGCCTTTGTCGTCGACTTCACGGGCCAAGCCGTTGCCAAATCGGAACTCCATCTAGAAGAAGTCGATGGAGATTGAACTGATGGTTTCTTCGTCCCTCTGGTCTTTGTCTCTCTAGTTTTTTCGGCGAAGAGCTCTCACCGATCGCACGCACTCTATGACTTGGTTCTCCCGAGTTTGAGACCGTGACAAATTTACGAGAAAGTTCGAGTGCTTGTGGAGAATCAGAGTCTGATTTTTGATTGAAAATTAAAGTTCCAGAACGACTTCGAGCGCCGATTCAATATTCCTCACTGATGTTTCACTGCTCCGATTCCCTCCACTTTTCCGGCCACCCTTGCACAGTTTAGCCTCCACCACGACCGCAAAAACCTCTCACTTGAAATTAACACAAACAAACAAATAATTTATCTGATCAAAGAGAGATAAAAGTCTCCACCATCATTCGCCGCCTCCATTAAAGCTTGAGATGAAATTTACATAAATTTTTATCTGATTAATAGATGCTTATTCAGTTGAACCAATCATCGATCTGGGTGTGTACAGATCACTTGGAGGGAGAGAGAAAAGCGTTCAAGTGCAACGACGAATCTGAGAAAATTGTAGTTTCACAGAGAGGTGATAATATAACCCTCGTCGTTGACAAATAGGTATCAGAATTTCTAACTTGCGCAGTGGTGAACAAGCCCGCTGAGCTTGAGATGAGAGCTTGAGAAGGGAATCGTGGAGAGAGAAAGAGCTGTGTTTTTTTTTTTTTTTTTGGTCTGACATGGCATAGCCATGTTGGATTTAGAGGATATGTCGGCAGATTAGTTCGGTAAATGTATCATTTCTCTTTACACAAAAGAGTATTTTAACAGACTGCTGGAGATGCTTTAAGCATTGAGCATACTCCGGCCATTGTGTGTGTGTATATATATATATATATATATTTTTTTTGTGTAAATCTGATATGTTGGATTTTTTTTTTTTTTGTTTCTGCGTTATTTTATACTTTTTGTGTAAAAATATATCCCCCAATAACAAATAACCAATATCATGTTTCGACCCCACATAATTTTTACAAACTTACTTAATATAGGGTTAATTCGTTAATGAAACGAGAAAAAGGGAGGAGAAAAGAAATATGTTGATGTGACTTTGTAAAAAAGTTCTATAAAACACACAGTAATTTTATACATGTGGCAGTATATCTTAACAGACTGGAGATAAAAAATAAATAAATAAAAAATACACATCATATGGGGTAGTATATATTTTACAAGAGTATTTTAACAAACTGCTGGAGATGCTCTTACACAACCTTTTTACACAGCCATATTAACATATTTCCTTTCTCCTTCATCTTTTTTCATTAACATATTTTCTTTCACCTTCATCTTTTTTCATTTCATTAATGAATCAAACATATATTAGGTATGTTTGTAAAAATTATGTAGGGTACAAACATGACATTGGTTGGTTATTATTAGCAGATATATTTTTACAGAAAAGGTATAAAACAACTGCTCAAGTTAAAAATAAATAATCCAAAATTTTTAAAATCTATTATGACACATCAGATTTACACAAAAATATACACAACGACTGGAGGTGCTTTAAACAATTTGATCAAGTTACAAAGTTATAATTAAATTAATTTATAAATTCCATCAAATTTCACCAAAATATTTTAGAATTTCAAACTCCATAAAATACAATTATATTTTAAATTCTAAACACTAAAAATTTCATTTTAAATTTTTCGTTACATTCCAAATATCATATTAAGGCTAAATCCATCTATCTTATTACACAATTAGTATTTAAAAGTAGGCCTCACCTCAAACGAGCTTAAATCCAAATTCAATTTTAATTCAAATGAACTCAAATTTAAATATTGGATTGAACTTAGTTCGGTTTAAGAGTTTGACTACTGATGTTTACCATCCTCAATTCATATAATCCAGTTTTTAATTTTACATTGTTTTAAACATTTAATCTTGTCTATTTATTTAAAAATTTAAGTTATTAGGTAGTACCGTACCGCAAACTAACTTATTTATATTCATTTTACTTTATATCTAGATCCGATGCAAGATAAGTGCCCCTTGTATTCTCCTCCACCTGAACGCTCTCGTTGCTGTTGGGCCATCCTACCTATTCGGGTGGGCTCATCCGGATTCTTCCGAACTGGGCGCTTAACGTGACATTGAATTAAGGACTGGGTCTGACTCTTGTATCAATTGTAATAGATGGACGCTTGTCCATTTATAAAAAAAACTTAAATTATTGAATAATAATACATACCGATCAATTTATACCCATTTTATTTTCCATTGAAATTCAATGTTAGAAAATACCCTTCTACTATAAAACCATAATAATAAATAAATAAAATAATTAAATTGAGATTGTTAAAATGTATAATTTTCAGTAAATATATGTCATCTGACACGAGTTCAGCGAGTCGAATGGATGGATACACGTGTAATATACATGTCAGGTGGCGATTATAATGTTCAGATGAGGTTGCGAAGGACGTGTTTGTTCTATCTCATTCGATTAGAGTTCGGCTTGACATGAAGAATCTTACCAAACTCAATTAGCGTTCAGATTGATTAAGGTGCCATTTGGGCTGAATTCAGATTATAACCCTACTTTTCATACACTTATAATTATAAATATATTGTGTGTATTTCAAAGTCATTATCAACATTATCTTTTCAATTTTATTTTATTTTATATTACTAATTATTCTTCTTACCATCATCTTTCCCTTAATTGCTAGAAATAGAATTGATCACGCGGAATATATTATATTTAACTTTTTAAAATTATTTTTAACAACTTCTGTCTTGTGTTATTTTTATCACTCTCTTTGTGCCTTCTGTTACAATTAGTCTTTCTCTTTTCACATGTGCATTTCAATATTTCCAATTCAAGTGTCAAAACAAATGAGTATTATCCCTAATTATCTCACCAATGAGTGTCACACCTAATATTTCTCGTACTTTCGTTAGTGGCTCTAATCACTCTACTCATTATGGCCCAATAACCCGCTCACCATGCAATATAGTTGGCCTAATAACATTTATATACAAATTTCCTTTTAAGCCTGTGTTTTATTCTTTTGTCACGGAATATCCTACCAATTCATATCAATTTTGTTTACCCCGCTCCAATTCTATATGCTATATCACTATTTATCTCTTTATCATTTTGTATTATTTGTAAGTGTCGTGTTGCTCGAGTGGTGAGGTTGTTCCCCGTGTTTGAGAGCCCGTATTCGAGCCTTGCACCCTCTCCCTCCCCACTAACCCCTAACATTCTTGTCATGAAAAAAAAAAAAAAAAATTCGCGTATTACCGACCATATATAACAAAAGTAGCTGTCTTGAGTAATCTTTTGGTTTTCAAGTATTATCATTATATTATCAATGTCCTATCTTTTTATTAAATTTACGCTCCATCTACTCGGTTTTAGTTCAACTAATTCTCAATTTTTTTAATTTAAAACATTTCTCTGTACTTATAGTTATTAAAGAGATATATAAGAGCAAAATGTCACCGACAAACATCATGCACATTGAATTCTCGTTTGGGAAGTCTTTTGTCATTTTATCTAAAGATTATTACAAATAATTATGAATTTAGCTCTGATCCTTTGTCTCTTTCATTATACCTTTGTCTTTTACTTGCCACTCTCCTTCCCATTTTGGGCGACTAGTCGCTTTTGGCTCCTCTTCTTACTTAAATGCCATGACCTCCTCCTCTGTGACCGCATCTTAAGTTACTGAAAAACTCACTAGTATGGTGCAAACTTTAGCGTTTGTATTTCACATACATATCTTGATAAGGGATGGAGCCAATGAAGGTTTAGGGGGGCACGTGCCTTTTTGAATTGGTCAACAACTTATAATATATGTGGTAATTTTTAAAAATTTTTCATATATATGACAAAATTTATATAGTGGCCCCCCTCAAATTTGTAATTCCTAAAATTATATTCTTATTTTTTCTTTATTTTTTCTTTTACTCTTCACATTCTTTAAATTTCTTTAATAGAAAAAGTCAAAATTTTTTTCCTCAATTGAAACATTTTAACTATTTTCTATTAAAGTTTTTTCATTTTTATTTTCCTTTTATATTTTAATAATTTTCTTCTTCTTTGTCTTTTTAAATTTTATAGTTGTTATATATATATATGTACTCCGTATTATTATTATTATTTTTTGACAGTGTGCCCCCCTCACTTGAAATCCTGACTCCGTCACTGTCTTTAATTCTTTTATATTCAATTTGTTAAGGAAACACATTATCAGATTCGGATTATTTTCGAATTATCAATTTTTTTTTCAATTCATATCCGAATAATCGGACCGAATTTGGATCATAATCTGATCCATTGACAGGTCTACTGCATAACACATCAGGTAACTCAAGGTGTAATGTGAGAGTTGAAGTACTCATGGGAGCAAGTAAGTATAGAATTTATTGACACGCACATAGAAAATGATAAAAACTTCTATCCGTTTTTGCAATCGAATGAAGAAACTTATTACAATGATAGTGTCAAGTCTAGCATCTAATAATTCACCAATGACAGTTGTTAATTACTCCCTCCCCTCCGTCCTAATTTGTTTAATTCGTAAATTGTGACTCACGGTTACGAAATTGACAATTATATTGAGGGGAGGGAGTAAACACTTTAAGCAATACTCATATGCTACGTGTGCGCGTGTATGCTCGCGCGCAGTCATGATAAGTTGATCAACACATTAACTATATAATTATCCCACCCTTATAAGAATAGTAAATAATAGGTGTCAATAACAGTTTTTAGTGGAAAATTGAGACGGGTCACGGTGTCAAATTAACTTAATACAAGTCAAAAGACAACACCTCCGGAATCGCACCCACCAAGCCCCCGCACGCACAAACGAAGAAAAGTCGGGTGTGTTACAGCCATCTATACGAATTGTCTCTCGCCCTAAATTCATATATATATTTATAGAGTATCTTACGATAGAGACGATCAGTCGAATCCTTACTTCCTTCTTCACAGGCTGAAAAGGGTTTCGATACTCTGCTATTGAATCGTCGAACCATGACTTACGCATCTCAAATCTTCAGTCAGTCGAAAAAGGTACTCCCCATCTCAATGAATTCACCATTTTCTCTCCTTTTCTGTGCATCCAAACACTATATCCACACATAAGTATATCATTCTACGTATTATGGTTCGTGATAGGTTCCAATTCTGGTTGCAACCGATGTATACATGTATATAATTCTAGTTTATTTATTTAGTTTTTAAAATGCACATTTGATACTAATTGCATTTGGTGGTTTTTTTTTTGACCTTTTAATTCTTGAACTGAAAAATATTGTATTGGAACATTCAGAGGACGGCGTGTTTATATATATATATATATATGAATATTTATATATCAATCTATGTAGTTTGGTTTAGTGATCATTTCTAGTTCTGGGTGCAACTGTTTTAATTCCTTTTTTTTTTTTTTTTAATTCACATCTGGTGCTGCTAATAGTGTTTGGTGTATTATTTGACATCTTAAATTCTCAATCTTAAATGTGTTTATAATTATTTGAAGTTTATCCATTTAGGATAGTATAATCAATTAGGTTGGTAGGCACACTTAATTGTTATTGCATCTACAAATACAAATGCCCTTGTATACATTTTTATTCTTTTGTCTCAAGAGTACTTTTGCACCCTAAACTGCTTAGTACGGAATGGGTAATATTATTTTTTCTTCAGCCCTGGCCTTGTAAGAAAAACGGTTTCTACTTGTCAAATTTATTTATTTTTCCTCAGCCCGGATGTGGGTTTGATGGGTTTTACAAAATAATACAAGATACAATGAGTTGCATGCACTGTCTTTAAATCATCTAGTTAAATTATTTGCATGTAACAGCAATCAAATCTGGCTATTCTCTTCAATGTTGCAAAGCTTATTGTTCTCGACTCTTGGTGGCTTTCATTGCTCCATTCACGTTTTATCTTGTCAAATTTTGAATGATAGGCAAAAAATTTATGATTATCACTTCCAAGTTCAGTGTTCATACCAAGTAGGTGAGTATACCTTTTTCTTTTTAAGAAGTACAACACACACGAGTGTCTCATCCAAGACTTGAAGGAGCACTTCTTCCATTAGAAGTGGTCGGAATACCATTCAAGATGAGGGCTGGGGGTATGGCTAGTATATGGAAAAATAAGCTTGTGTTCCCAATTTGAATTTGATGTACTGTCTCCTTGTCATTCTTCTATCACATTGAGCTGATTTGAGCCTAAGATGAGCTACTCAGTTATATTGCAATACGGGCTTGGATATTGAGGCTAAATTTGTAGCATGTTTTAGTGGAGGTCAGTCAACTTGTTACTGGCTAAGCTCAGGTCATTTACACTCCTGGAAGGCAGACAAATGAGATATTGTGTTTTATACTTCTAATACTCGGTAACATTATATTGGATGGTAGTACTATGGTAATACACTATTGTGTATCCCTGAAACGATGTTAAGACTAGGAATTTTTGATAAATAAGAATGCATTAGAAAGCGATCAAAAGGGGATCACATCCCAAGAGAACTACACAAGGCCAAATGGGGCCTCTAAACTCTCAAAGTTAAGACTAGGAATTTTAAACAATACATGTAACACAACTCTGCATATTGATGTTAAGGACTTAAGACGGTATAACACTGTGGACTACCCTGGTTTTGAGTGGTTAATTACATATTCTGATCCTATAAATGAGTATCAAATTATCATTTGGATAACATTTCAAGTGTTGACAACCCTGTTGGGGACACAAGAAGGTTTAAACTTTGTAGCCATTTCTTTGCACAACTTAATCCATAATGAGGGACTTCATACCGTGTAACCAAGAATCCAAGATGGGAAGATATATTTGTTCAGAGCTTAGATTTAAGTGGTACTAAATTGGTAGAGAATTATAGATCTGCAACTTGCTATGTAGATGGTGCTGATGTAACATTGGATCCTTTATTTTCTTTTTCTTTTTGTATTTTCTACTGCATCAAAATTTTTTTTTTGGGGGGGAAGCTTATCTTAGATTTATAAAGATCTAATGAAATTTTATCATCTTGTTTACTTTTATGCTTGAAAATAAAAAATGCTTATGTGTTTAGCACACAACATCAATTTCAAAAAATTGTAAATATATGCGCAATCACATCTAAATAACTTGAAAACAAGGATGAAACTATACCCTTTTCTTTAAGTAGAAGAACCCCACAATTATTTGTTACTTGGTATTTCATAATGAGAGAGACTTGGTATATGAATTTTCATGAGAGAAAGGGACTCATATATGGAGTTTGAGTGACTGGGAAAGCAATTGACTTTGTTGAAATATATTTTTATTTATTTATTTATTTATCAAGAAGACCTAATCAGTGTTGTTGGTTTTTGAATGTTGACAAGTGAGAGGATAATGTTTTGGTCAACTTGTTGTGCGTGTTATTGTGAGATGGCATTGTCACAGATGAGATGCACGTCTTATCTCGCAACAAGACATTGCAACACATATTTTTTGTACGTTCACATATTCTTATCATAGCCCTGCAATAACAAGATGGCTCAACTGCTCAACCAAATTATTGTGGTATAGGGAGACTCTGAATCATGAGTCGAAGTTGTGCATGTTTAAGATTGATTTTATGTTATTTCATCAACTTCACTTTGTATGTTATGGCTCGTGCAGAAGATATACATCCAGCAGTTGGATTTGACATGGTGATCCTTCTGTTCAATCGTTGGGATGATGTGTTGGAATATCATCTTCAATATTACTTCTTGTCCTTTACACCTTTTATTCCCTGCTATAAGTATGAAGAGAAGAGAAAATAGAGGAGAGAAGAAGAGAGAGGAGAAGGGAAGGATATGGATGTAATTTATGCATGCTTTATTTTATTTATTTTTACTTTGAGCTAAGAAATTGTACGTCTCTCCAAATCACTCCAAGCTTCTTCATTTTAGAGTTGATAATTTTTGTGGTTTGGACAGTGCAAAGAAGAACTTTAAGTGTGCTACTTAGGAAGAGTGATATACACATTGAGGATAATACTAAGGGAAGATGAAGATCAAAGTTAACACAGTAGGGTTAGTAAAGAAGGATATGATAGCATGTGGTTTGATTGAGGCCATGGCCTTAGATAGAGTGGAATAGGAACACAGGATTCATGTAGCTGAACCCAAAAATGACATGGGATGAGGTTATAAAAAATGATTTGAAAAAGTTAAATACAATAGATGGTTTAGCATGTAATAGGAAAGCTTGGAGAGAATTCATGTGCCCGGCCCCATTCATATGGGATTTAAGGCAAGAATGATGATGATTTATATATTTTTTAGTTTCTAGAACACCTGAAGGGCGCTTAGGGGACTGGGATTATACTCCATGTGTCATGCCTCTTACTATTGTAGGTTTAAATTCTAAAACCTTATTATTTAACAATTATGCGTTTAAATGGCTTGAATACACCTAACGTATGCTGAGTGGGGTAACACTAATTTTGTAATTTGGTTTGTGAAGGTGAGAGTGCTTGGAGATTATTAAACAGTATTAATGATTAATTGCACTTGAAGATAAAACATTTCTCTGAATGGGTAGTTTTGATGCCATCTGGTCAGGGCTATGGCTAACGAGCTTCCTAATGGAGGAGCTGATGGGATTGTGCTTTTAAATAAGAAAAAAAGGTCCTTTTTCTCCTTTTCTTGAGTGTGTGAATAATTGGGCTGCAAAACATATTAGGCCTTTTTATTAAAAATCTTTTGCAGCTCAATGATTTGCAGAGAATTTGGATTTTTTTTTTTAAAAAAAGGTGTACAGTTTGTAATTTGCATACGCTGCAGTGGCATGGATTGCACCTTTTCTGGTGTCCTTATGAAATCCTTTTACTAATTAAAAAGAAGAAGATTTTATGACATTTTTCTTGAATCTTTGTAGTCAGTTATTTCTTTTCATACAAATATATAATAACGCATTCATGTTGCCTACATTGGTGAAGATAGGGACTATAAATACTGCCATACTACCTTTTCCCAATCTAAGGAAGTGATGGAATTCCAAGAGAAACAACTTTTTTGTTTCTTATTCTTTTTTTTTCCCTTCCTGAATGTGGTTTTATTTTATAGCCACGTGTGCCTTATTCTTTATTAAGATATATTTTGAGGGAACAAAAGTTTAATGCTTTAATGGACGCGTAATTTGTGGAAGGGAGGAATGCCCAAGAAATGCGAGTTCTTCTCTAATTTACTTGAAAGTAATGCAAAGCTGTTGTATTGCCTGATGATTCTATGCATTATTTCTGCCAAGTGAGAGTTTGCATCTATATTGCTAGTTGTAATGTCAAAGCCAATGTTCTATCATATTCTGTTAGTTCATGACTTATCAAAAAATATTCTGTTAGTTCATGACCATCATGTACTCAATTGCATTTACTAATTATCTTTGCAGACACAGTTTGGTATTATTCTCTCTCTCTCTCTCTCTCTCTCTCACACACACACACACACACACACACACACACAAACACACACTTCGTTTACATATGCTTCTCGATGCTATAGATTTGCACATATTTAATGCATTATAAACTTAATGTTTCTTTGGTATCATGCTTTATTCATTTAGGTATGTAATTTATGAATTATTTTTTTCCTGATATTTACAGTTCAGAAATGTTCCCGGCTTATTACGGCATGACCATGCCATTTTGGTCCGTTGGTTTTCGAATGGTGCTCGCCCCTCTATTGATATAAGAGATGGTTGGTATCTGATTTTCTTTCTTGTTTATTAATTGGTCATATGTCAACAAGTGATGTGTATTTTTCTTTCTTTCTTTGGCCTGTCTATGTACGATGTGTTTAATGACTTTGTTGTACATATCTGATCTTAATGAAATTAAAGTCTAGTTTTCTTTTCCACCTGAATGTGCATGGACTAGAATTACATATTTTTTCCTCTGAGTTGGTATTATGGCACAATAGAATTCTAAAACAAAAATGTACAATGTGAATTGTTTTTTTAATACATGTCCATGTTTATATATATATATTTATGATGTATGAAATAGGGTAACATAATTGCTGGCAGCTGCATGAATTGGGTGTATATTAATATGGATCATTATATGTCCATGTGGACTTTCTGCTTATAACACACATGTGCACCAAAAAAAAAAAAAATAATGTAAAAGAAGAAAAAGAATGCGTTCATATGATTATAAATAATTTAACTTAAGAGTACAATCCAAATTTTAGATACAAAACTTCAGAATGATACTAATTTTTGTGTTGGGTAATATATCGAAAGTATGTTTTTCTGGAATTCGGTGAAGAAGATGAAAATAATCCAACAGACAAGATGGCATTTCTTATAGTAATATTTGTTGAGGAGGATACTTGCAAGTTGCAGCACTGAATAGGGTCCCTTAGTTTCATCTTTATATATGGTTCTTATTGGATCTTGACTTGAGTTAATGTTTTTCACCAAGCTCACCTAGCATACTAGGCATGCTAAAGTTCATGGTAATTGCATGATAAGTTGATAACCTATGGTTCATGGTATTAAGATTCTAAAAGATTTTTGTAATCTGGCATGATAACTGCAGTGCTTGGTTGTTGTTGAGGTTTCCTTTTTTTTTTTTAAGCAATTTTTATTTATTTATTTTTCCATAAGCAGTTTTTAGCAATTTTTGTTATTTCCCAGATATTTTCCAGTTCCGTCGACATGTTTGTATGCCTGGAGAGGGATATGGAGTTTGTAAGTCTTACACTAGATACACTCACAGTTGTACAACAGTAAATCCTGCCATTTTCAAGGTGATTTGACCCATCTAATCATTTCATTTCCTCTTCCTCACCGTCACCTTCATTGGCATAATTTAGGCATGCCTCTCCTATTACATCATCATTTGTTGTGGAGATATGTGTTCATTATCCGAACTGAATACTCATTGGTCATAGGTAACTATCATGTACTGTTTTGTGTAGATCTCATCAGTAGGAGTACACAATGGGAATGTTGTAAGGACAGCATGTACAATGGAAACTCCAATGGTTGGCTTGGAGTTCAATAGAGGGTTCACATGGTAGGTTGTGCAATGTTTTTTTTTTTTTTTAAGTACTTAATTTTATTATGAAAGCTTCTTATTTCTTTTGTTCTCTGATATCAGTTCACAGGTGCATTCAAGGAGAGGTTATTCAACAGAGTCAGGTGTAGTTCTATTTTACAATTTTGCTCTAAGAAACTATAGTTGATTCTAAAGTTTTTTGTCTGTAAAGATGCTTCTGTATGATAATTATGGAAACATTATACCATTATTTTGTCTCTTAATTGCTCTACAATACAGATACAAGATTATTACTAACTTATACTCTTGTGGAGAAATGTTTTAGAATCGAAAGGATTGAGAATTGGTTGAACTAAAACCAAGTATATGGGTGTAAATTCAATAAAGATTCAGACATTGATAATGTAATGATAACATTTGAAATTTAAAAAATTACTCAAAACAACCACTTTTGTTATCTAGGATCGATAATACAAAAGGATGGAGAGATGGATAGTGATATGACTAATAGGATTGGAGCCGGTTGGACAAAATGGAGAAAAGCTAGTGGGATTTTATGTTATAAAAGAATAACACATAGGCTACAAGGAAATTCTATAGGACCGTTATTAGACCAACTATGTTGTATGGAGCTATGTTGTATGGAGCGGAGTGTTGGGCCCTAAAAAAGAAACAAGAACAACGCCTTCATGTAGTGGAAATACGAATGTTAAGATGGTTGAGTGGATTGACTAGAAGAGATAGGGTCACTAATGAAAGTGTGAGAGAAATTGGTGTAGCACCATTGGTGAGAAAATTAGAGAGAGTAGACTTAGATGGGTTGGACACATTGGAGACCTAGAGATGGGCTGGTCAACGAGGTAGATTAGTTGTTATAGAAGGTAAGAGACGGTGGGGACGACCAAAACTAACATAGTATGAGGTTATTAAAAGTGAATTAAAAAAGTTAAATATGGTAGGTGAAATGGCATGTAATACCCTAAACCTAAACCGTAAACCCTAAAAGGTTGGAGAGAGAGAATTCATGTGGCCGACCCCATTCATATGGGATTAAGGCATGGATGATGATGATGACTCTGGAGGCTGGTTCAAACATTTATTGTTCTTGCTAGTTTATATACGAATGATTTGCAATTTATAGATATATATTTCTACTTTAGTAGTTCTAGTTTTGTTATTTTTCAGGAAGAACTCTTTACTAAAAAAGAGTACATTTCCTTGCATACAATTTTGTCTGCAAAGACTTAAATGACTGTCATAGTCAAATGCAGCCGAATACCCAAAACTAGAAAAATGTAATATATTCGGATGCAATGAGGCCCAATGAGGTGGACAGTCTCTATTTGCCCCGGTTTCTGTCACACGATTAACATATTCAAAAAGAGTATCTCATCAAGGCCTGAGCTTACAGTCAACATTTCCCCCTCCCTCCTATATATATATGTATATATATACACACACATGTAATTTATTTATTTATTTATGAGTAAAAATGTATTAGAGAACATTCAAGAGGGGGAACGCATCCCGCAGACAACACAAAGGCTGGAGCCGAAAAGAAAAGGTCCTACGGATCCAAGAAAATCAAAAAGTCAACTATCTCCTCTATTGAATTACAATTTCTCACCATCGCCCAATAAAAAAGAAATTTCAGAACCCCAATGGGAGATTCCTCCCTATAAAAGGATCTTCTATTCCACTCCTTCGAAACGCACCACCAAACGCAAAAGGGTGCCACCCTCCAAACATCATGGGCATGTTTGTAGTGTTGACTCATCTGCAAGTGAAATTACCACTCATATCTCCTCCTATAAGCATAAACTGTACTAGGACCCGCCATCTAGTGGATCCATTTTATAAAATAAACAGAAAATATTATCGTCATGATTCAAACTATCTGGTAGAAATACAAAATTGACTTTTTAAGAGCTCTCAGAAGAGCGAGCAAAATAAGTGGATAGAGCCCATTAAGGATATCTTTTCTGTTAGGTTCATCAATAGGACGTTTGCCCATAGATGTGGTCAACTTAGCAGCCTCTTCATGGAGCTGGGCTATTGAGTCCTTCATAGACATCATGAAGTCCATAAAGTATTTATGTTTTATTCTAAATTTTGATCTCTTTTGTCCATTGCAGTTTTGGCATCATATGAGTCTCTAGTGGTCATGATATATCAATGGATGAGGCAATGGATATGAAAATGCTGATATTTGACTAGAAATTGGATTAAGTAACCTAAATTACTACGATACACAAGTGGGAACTTAGAATGTAGTGAAGGTGAATATGCCTAAACTCTTGCATAGGCTGTGAGTGTTTTCAAAATCAAGTGGATATGGTGATAGCAAAAATAAAAGTAAATATGGAGATGAAAAACAAAACGTTGTGTGTAAGTATTTGAGTTTGGGTCAGAAATGGGCTGGGATAAAATAAACAATTGGACTTGTGGGTTGTGTCAATTGGGTTAAGGTTAAACAAGAGTTGGTTTATTGGTTCTGGGTCAAACTAACTGGGATAAGTGGGTTGGTTTTCAAGCTTAAGTTGGGTCAGATCTGGATTTAGATATTGACATGCACAATATGCAGATCTGGGATAAATATCCCACTGACAGCAAGTTATAATCGTATATTCATTAATAAGGGTTCTGTGAGCAGCAGCAGTAGTGGCGCTGTGAGCAAGCTGATATTGGTCTCCGGCGATGGTGATATCATCCCCAGACGACGCTCCGGTGATGAACGCTGGTATTTATTTTATTTTTTTGTTCGCCTTCCTTCTCTTTTTCTTTTTTGTTTTTCTCCTTCTGATGGGTGAATGATCTAACTATGGTTTAGCAATTGTGGGACTGAAGGAGACGAGGAAATGTGGGGGTTATTTTGTTTGTAGATTTGGTTTTTTGTTGGTTGTTGTTTGGGTGGAGATGGATTTCCGTGAGGGTGAAGCAGCGGGGTTATGATTTTGGTGGTTGTCAATTAGTCTAATGGTCGTGAGGGTTGAGTTTCACAGCAGTGATGGGTTCCGGTTAGTGGGTGCTTTGATGAGTTTTGGTGGTGAACAGTAGCAAGTGGGTTAAGAGTGAAGCTTGGCAGAAGTTATTTTGGTTTGGGTTGTAATAAACAGTGACAGAATGCTATGGATCCTTTGCTGTGATACCAACTTAAATAGAATGGGAAGAGGCAAGAGTGAGAAGAAGAGAGAGGAAGATAGGAAGAATTTGGGGGGGTGGGGAAACTGTAATCAACTGCTCAATATTCAATATTCATCAAAGGTCCTTAATCCAATACATATGCCCATGTATATATAGACAATCCAAAGAAACCTAAAGTCTAATATAATTGTTACAATATCCAAGGTTCGCAATCGCAGCCATAGTCGTGATCACGGTGGTGCTATAACAGAATCAGGCCCATATCGGTGTAATGTAACAAAATCGGTTATTGCAGTCACCAAATTTGTTCAACCATGCACACAGTGCTCAAAGTGCATTGATGCACGATTTTTTACAACATAATTCAACAAAGATGGATTTTTAATGAATTTTATAGAATTTTTTTAAGATCATTTTAACACGAGTGATAACTAGTTATCGTGAATTTTGAGTCGATGTCATTAATAAAAAGGTTTAGTGATTATACTCTTTGAGAAATTAATGAATAAAAAATAAACTCAATTATGAAATGAGTTAAAAAAACACACCATATATAACATGTGAGAATTTAAAATTTAAAATAAGAAAATAAAATTTAAAATTCAAATAAACTATAAAAGTTATATGCTATTATTGGCATATAAAATGAAATTTTTTAATGAGATTTTATGATAATTTATTATTATGCAGCCTATAATAATGAGCAATTGAAACTGTATTTTATTCTGTTTGTTAAATAAAATACTAGCACCATTATGCTAAACAAAATATGATATTCTAATTTGATTTTCTTAAAGAATCAAGAATCTCTCATAAACTTAAGGTATTGACTTAATGTAGTGAGGTCATGTGAAAAAAAATATTCAATTTATTGAAAGATTGGAATAAAATCCTCAAATTGATTGGGTATCTATGAAAATTATATTTGTTTGATATTTTTATTTTTTCAATAAGCAAGATAAATGTATTCCTTCCAAAATTTGTAAAGACTAAATGTAACGGGTGGGCGCTTGCCCATTTACCCAAAAAGCTCAAGCTGTTGGGTAGTGCTGCATACCCACCCATTTATACCTAATCACTTTCACATCCAGATCCGATGCGGGACAAATGACCCTTGTTACATTCTCTCCTACCCAAACTTGCAACGCCCTCGTTGCTGATCGGGCCACCCTGCCTACCCGGGCTGCAATTCCGGATGCGTTCCGGGCCGGGCGCTTGGCGTAACACCGGATCAAGGACTGGGTCTGGCTCTGATACCAACTGTAATGGGCGTGCGCTTGCACATTTACCCAAAAGCTCAAGTTTTTGGGTAGTGCTGCATATCCCTCCATTTATATTCAATCACTTTCCCATCTGGATCCGATGTGGGACAAATGACCCTTGTTACACTAAACCAGAACCAAAAACTAAAGGGGTAAACAACAGAATTTAAAACCTGTCCCATATCAGAGATGTGTTGAAAAGAAAGGAAGGATGAGGTATATAAAAGTAGGCACATGAAGGCAAAAACAAATAAAAGATTGTGTCTCCCACATTGGAAACGTGAAAGAATGATTGGAGCATGATGAGTTATAAAAATTCATGTGGAAAGACAAAATTCAAGTCAGATTAATTGCTTCTTGATGAAATGGGCTGCCCAGCCCATTTTTCTAATATATATAATTAACGGCTGAACCGGCTGACTCTTAGTCAGACGGTTCTCATGTGAGTACCAGGACTCACTGATATATCGGTGTGTCTCGGTATCGGGCAGATCATTTTCCATTGTGAACTGGCCGGTTCGCCGAAATATGACAACATCTTATGCAATCACATAGAAGTCAAAAAGGGCTGCCATTAACCCTCATTTGTGGCTAAATGCTTCAACGTAGTAGTCCCGTCTTTATAATTTAAGATTTGAGGGGTTAAATGGATTTAGTACATATTGTTCACCTGCACACAACTTCTTTTCAGATTGTGCGTAACACTGAATTTATTTTTGATGGGTCATATCATTGTTAACATAGCAGACCATACATTTGTGGCAAACTAAGCTATTGCCATCTTCTTCCGATTTTTCTATTTTTATTATTTTTTCATGTCTTTGCTATACATGACAATTGAGATCATTATTGAAATTTATTTAAGAATTTTGCTCATGGACACCTCTTTCGCTTCCCCTCAAAAAGATGCACTTACTCCAAACATGCATAAATATAACTATGTGTGTATATTATATACATCACACTTATATCTATATTCTTGTTATATAAATGTGTATTGGCAGCTGTTTGTTTGAGTTATATTTCCTGGTACGGGTTCCAATAAATAATAGAATGGAGGTACTTGCAAAAAACAAATTGTGCTTGTTTCATTGTAGGCTACATTCACTTGAATGATAATTGATAAGAGTGTAATTAAAAGCTTTTGAAGGATTCCCTGTCAAACTACAGTGCTGCTAGCTGCAGTTCTCAAGATACTACAACATCATTCATTCATCCTGTAGTAGATGAATACGGCGAGTAGAATGAAGTGTGCTGCTTTCTGCAGACTGTAGTAGGTTACAAGGAAAGATCTAATGGAAGAATAGTGTTTCTTTTTGCCCATATTCCTTTTCAGCTTTTCTCTTTCTTGCAAGCTTTACTTCACAATGAATTAGAAATTCTTTGTTCATATGTATTGATGTTCTTTTACTTCTATGTACCATTCTTTTGTGGTTCTCTCTGGTTTTAATGGAATAATCACATAGATTGTACTTCTTCCTTGTCACAGTTTATTCCTCGTCATTTATGAAAGTTTTTGTTGAAATGTCTTCTTTGCTTTTGTAATTAATAATGGTGTTATTTCTAATCAAAGTCCTGAATAGTTCTTTCATATCTTGCAGGTCTTCCTCCACACCAGGAAATTGGTATGCCATCTCTTTCACCAACAATGACAGAGGTATGGACCTTTGTGAAGCTTAGAAGAGGATCACGTTACGATAGATTTTTGGTTTCCCTCCTAAATGATTGTTTTTCATGATATGTAGGGTAACATTGCAAGGTGGTTGAAGAAAGAGGGTGATAAAGTTTCTCCTGGTGAAGTACTTTGTGAAGTTGAAACAGTAGGGTCCTTGCTTTATCTTTTAGGCTTTTGCAGTTGATAAATGTTTTTTGAATGTGGCATTCTCATCATATGAACCAACATCTAACATCATATCCACTTCATAACAAAGGATAAAGCAACAGTTGAGATGGAATGCATGGAGGAAGGATATCTTGCTAAGATATTACATGGAGACGGGGTGAAAGAAATTAAAGTTGGCGAGGTACTGATTTTATCTGCCATCTATTCTGCTGTGTTCCTGATAGTTTTGTATTTACATCTTTCTTTTGTTGGAATAAGAGAGCATTACGGGGTGTTGTGCCTGTTGATCAAGGTTGTTGGGACTTGGGATTGGTGGACTTGGTGTAGAGTGCACTTACAGTTGGCACTATTTGCCCAAAGTGGCTACCCTCAAACTCAAACTTGGATGGTCACACTTGGCAACATTTACTTTTCTTTTCTTAGAAATTGGAATAAATTAGACTGTACAATGGAAGTACATCTTAGTGTTAATCTATAGTGTAACTCCCTTTTCCTCCATCACTGTTACCCTCACATCATAAGGGGCTATTGTATGGAATAAACCCTTATCAAATGTGCCTAAATTAGGTAATCTACCTCATGATTGGCTATTTCAGTATATGTTTTGAACTTAAAGAACTAGAGATGGGCACGATGTGTCTGATTTTTTGGATAGTAAATATGTAACTAATTAAATTGAATCCCAAAGTGCTGGTGGCAGTGGTGGACTAGGTTGGCCTAACCGTCAACGTTATTTGCTTGGAGTGGCTGTCTCAGATTCGAATCCGGGTTCCCCCGCTTGGCAACATGAGCTTTTACCATTGCCCCTAGCACTAGCAGTGGTCCTCGTACTGACCTTCTATGGCTGAATATAAATAATATTCTAAAACTAGTGTTGCTAACTTTGGACAATAGCATGCCCAATTGGAATATTTCAATTTATGAGCTTCATTTCTTTAGGATGCTTGCAACCTACAAAATTCACAGTATCTTTGGACAAAACCATAAATGATTTCTCAAATGTCGAAATAGTGTCAGGTTCACTTTTTAGTTGTGTTAACTTCTAAATATATTGCAGTACCCTATTGATTGTTTCAGTTGTCCTACCATAGAATCTTTCCCGCATCACAAATTTTTTTGGCATATGCCAACCAGCCGATGTGATAATTATTTTCATGTGAAGGCGTGGTACAATCATATTTGATGGTGTCAAGTTCTCCATGAAAATTCAAGAGATATCATTAGTCCTTTACCTCTACAAAGAATGGCATTCTGTCGAAACACATCTTCCATTTAGCAATGTATGTACAAGAGTCTACTACAAAGAGTATTTTTGTAAAAGAAGCCATAAAATTGTTTTTATTTTCAGAAATCAATTTAGCACTTCCACATCCATCTTTTAAACTTCAATTCCAATATCAAGGAGGTCTGACTCCGACTGTGGATCTAAATGTTCAGTTTTTTTAGCTTTGTATTATTTTTTTCTTTAGTATTTGCAAAGGTAGGAGTTGCACAAGTTCCTCACTTGCGAAGTTTGTACATTATGCTGGTTAATAGGTGTACATCTGTCCTCTTGAGTTTTCTTGGCTTTCCTTTGTTTTGAGATATACCACTTAGACTGAGATCCAAATCACTCAAATCAATTATGATCATTATTGTTAGGGTCGTTAACTAACGTGGTCCCCCCTCATCGAGGGTTTAGGGAGTGGTGAACTGGAAATAGAACTTACCTTTGGTATTATTTGCACGAATTGACTGCGCTCAAAATTTGAACCCTCTTTATCATGTTTGTTTGACTGAGAGAGAGTTATTAGCATTTTTGTTGCATCGTTTTAATACCTTTCAGTTATTGTGATTTGGGTGTGTACAACTCTGACCCAAAACCTTCTACATTAGATCATGATTGTTTAGTGTGTTTTGTAATTTTGATGATTACCCTTTGTCTAAGAGATTCTTCTAAAACTCTTTTGTTTGTTTCTTATTTAATTTTTGTTGTAGGTTGGGGTGGGGTATGGATGGGGGAGTGTAGGGTACCATGTATCATTTTATAGATTATGTTTAATCAAATTCAAGTCAGCATAGCCTTATCTGATCTCTTTTGGTCTGACTGCATGAATCTTTATTGTGGTTCTACTTTATTCGGAGTTGCAAGTTTCGTCTATTATTTATTCTGATAGACCATGTTTCATTCACCACTGTGTTTCTTTCCTACAACTGCAAGCTGCGACCTTTTTTGGTTTCTCCCTTTTCCCTTGTACTATATCACTCCTTGTTGGTTTATCTGTGAATTTTTTGCACATAATTATTCTCTCTCAGTTGATTCTCTTTTACATTTTTTCAATTGTTAGAATCATGTAACTTGGAATGAACATCTTCATTCTAGTCATACATTTGTCTTTACTACTCGTCCATTTTGGCATCTTTATGTCAGTTGTGCTCAATTTTGTGAAAACATTTTCTGATTGCCTAGCATTCAGAAAATGAATTAGATGACTTTTAGCTATAGGGGGATATAAAGGAGGAAAAATGGAAGGTTTTGCGTCAATTCCTCAGCATGCGATGACATGTTTTTTATATTGTATATTTCATCCAACCTAAATTGAATGGGTGATGTTTTTCTTTTCTTTTCTTCTTTTTTTGTTGTTTAATTAAAAAACCTAATATGAATTATCTTATATGCTTATCATTTTGTTAATTGATAGTGAGAAAAATACTTTTTGAAATAGTGGGCTTTTGTATATGTTCTCCTGTAGGTGATTGCCATAACTGTTGAAGATGAAGAGGATATAGGGAAATTTAAAGATTACAAACCTTCTACATCAGTTGATACTGCTGCAGCTAAAGGGCCTTCTGATTCTGGCCCACCCAAAGAAGAGGTAGTTGAGGAACCTGTCAGTTCACCAGAGCCCAAAATTACCAGGGACAGTGCAATTTCTCCAGCAGAAGATCGTATTTTTGCTAGTCCCCTTGCAAGAAAATTGGCTGAAGATCACAATGTAAATTACAGAAGATGCTGTCACTAAAGTTTACTTTCTTTTTTTCCCCCTGCAATTTTTATTCCGTAAATAGGATGCGATTATTATTGTTGAGCACTTGAGCCTCTAAAAGCATGTGTCATTTGATATAGTTCACATTTTCTTGAGTATAGGTACCTCTTTTGAGCATCAAAGGAACAGGTCCTGATGGACGCATTGTGAAGGCTGATATTGAAGATTACTTGGGTATTACTTTTTGCTTCTAGATATATTTTACATGCTGAGAGTTCAATGCTGTACTTCATTTACACTTTATTCATTAGTTTTAAGATTTGATGCTGCTATATCATGTTCATGTTATCTTCTTGATTTTACCCCCTTCAAATGGATAATTTGCTTCAATAGTCATGTTATCTTCTTGATTTATTCATTAGTTTTTTTATCCCTTCCCATGATGTAGCTTCTCCACGAAAGGAAATCTCAACAGCAGCACCCAAGGTTAGTGGAGCGAGGGCTGAGCCATTAGATTACACAGACATCCCTCATTCTCAGATAAGGAAGGTAATATTTGGGTTCATCCTCGTCATCATAATCATCGTACTGTTTATACTAAAAGTATTGAGGTTTTGGATGCACGGGACCTACTGCCAATCACTCCTTGTGGACCCATTTTTTTTTTTATTTTAATTTATTAGGTTTCCGATCAATGCTCAGAATTTTATTTTGCTCAGTTTTTTCGCAGAATAGAGCTTTACTTTCTGAATCTAATTCCTGGTGTAACCTTTGCAGGTGACAGCTTCACGGTTGTTATTATCAAAGCAAACTATTCCACACTATTATTTGAGTGTAGATACTCGTGTTGACAAACTTTTTGAGTGAGTAATATTTCGCCTCCTGAAAGATATTCCCCATCAAATCTTGTATGATTATCTGAATGCTGCTTTGTCCGTAGTTTGAGGAGCCAACTCAATTCATTACAAGAGGCTTCAGGTGGAAAGAAGATATCTGTTAATGACCTTGTAATTAAGGTATCAAAATCTCCGGTCACTATTTATTTTGGCTCCGAGTCTCAATTAAGTTGCTTATTAGTATGGTCCTGCGATTACCAGACATCAGAAACTGATCCCTGAAGTAAATTGGCCTGCATGATTAGACGATGCTTTATCCCCCCACCTCCAAAATGTTATTAATCATTACAATATGCACCAATATGAGATGATTATTAACATCTACCTTATTTAGGTTATTTATTTATTTATTTATTTTTTCCATTATTGTTTGGCTGATGTATTATAATGGTCTAGAAGTTTCTCAATCAGTTAATTTCTATATAATTTTTTTCGCAGGCTGCTGCTTTGGCTCTTCGAAAAGTTCCTCAATGCAATAGTTCGTGGACCAATGACTATATCCGCCAGTAAGTTTATGGTAGTAAGCATTATGATTGGTTCAACTTATAATGTTGACTGTGACATTATTCTGTGTCAAACTGTCCAGGTATAACAATGTGAATATCAATGTCGCGGTGCAGACAGATAATGGACTGTTTGTCCCCGTCATCAGGGTGAGTCATTGGCCAATTCAATGCTGTTGATTTATGTCCATGCTTTTAAACTTTTAGTTCTGGCAGTAGTTCTTATGAAGAAATCGTACCGTGTTATTTGCAGGATGCTGACAAGAAAGGGTTGTCCAAAATCTCTGAGGAGGTCAAGCATTTGGCGCAGAGAGCCAGGGATAACAGCTTAAAGCCAGAAGATTATGAGGTGAGAATTTTACCTTTATAATCACTTACCACAGAAGGATGATTGCCCTGTGGTATTGGTACATAGTTCTCAACCATCCTCATTACAGGGTGGCACATTTACCGTGTCAAACTTGGGAGGGCCCTTTGGTATCAAGCAGTTTTGCGCCATCATTAATCCTCCTCAGTCGGGCATTCTAGCAGTTGGGTCTGGTAAGATCGGTACATAAATCATGTCTGTTATGCAACAACCATCATGATTATTGTTCATTATATTTCGAAATTCTTGAACAGCTGAGAAGAGGGTCATTCCTGGTTCCGGCTCTGAGGAATTCAAGTATGGTTCCTTCATGTCGGTAACATTGAGCTGTGATCACCGTGTTATTGATGGTAAGTTGCTCTATGAAGACTTTGATTTTGTAATTATTATTTTTTTGGTAGCTTTATCCATCAAAGCTTTCAAGATGATAAAGTCTCTTAACCAACCTGTTTGTGTTTAGGTGCAATTGGTGCAGAATGGCTGAAAGCATTTAAAGGCTATATTGAGAACCCAGAGACGATGTTGCTCTAAGTCGACTTTTTTGTTTTGGTTTTGCCTTTCAAATATTCTTTTTGCTCTCCGAGATAATATCAAGGAGGCCTCCAATGTGACCTGAACTGTTTGTTAATGGGCTTTGAAATGTATTTGTATCACTCATCTTAGTGTACCTGAGAGTACAATTAGATGGCTTTGGAATAAAAGTGACCTCGAGGCATTGTAACATGAACTGAATTTTGCTCGTATAGAGTGTAAAGACACTTACTAAGCAGGAGAGATATTTCAGTTGAACACAGAATCCTATCTATATGCATTTCACAATCAATAGATGAAGAGTTGTTTTGTCATGGGGTTGTGAGGCTTATTTATTTGTCAGCAGATCTTGAACCCATCTCTTATATCAGCCGATGGCTAGCCGAGTTCAAGTAGTTTGGTTTCAAATTGAGTTTGGGTTCAGAGATGTTGAATATTGTCCAGATCAAGGTGCAGAGCTGGCTCGGATGACCTAGGGCTCAGAAGAGGTCCTGATTGTCTATATGTTATAGGAAGATACCTATTGCTTGGTGGTTCCGATTAGTTCCGGCTTAGAACATGGGCTGTTTACAGAACCTATAGTCACACGGGTGAGATAAAGAAAAGTCGCTGAGTTACCGAGTCACAAACATAATCAAGCTTGACTCTCTTTATCACACCAGTGTGGTGGTATTAATGGTTCTGTTTGCAGCTCGATATACATCCAAATATGTCTCTTTTGCATGGCAAGTAGTTCTTTTAAATGCATGTTTGGATTCATTGGCAGATTCACAGGAAAACAAAGAGAAACTATTACATGATCCTAGTCAATCACAACCCCACACATTTGTTTCCATCTTGCGCTGTGATTGGTTACGTTTCGAGCTGTGATGGGTACTGTGATTGGTAGAGATCATGTAGTCCCGGACCATGTAAAAACAATTAGACTATTGTTGTTGGGTTCTTCAAGGATTTTGTCCTCCAAAACTAAAAAGCCAAATTCGACCGTGTGGTATTGGATTCTTTGATAAATTAGATCAAGATTCATAAAAGTACTTGACTTTTTTCATTATTTTCTCGAATGAAGCGAGCGAGCCATAACAGGTGACGGCACATTCACCACAAGAAGCAGCAAGAAAACACAATCCACATTCAAACCCCACAGCAACTTTGTTTTCTCCAAAGAAAAACTGATTTTCAAATATGAATCTATCATGCATTTAATTGTAATCGTCATTTTCTCTTCATGATTCCCTTTTCCCTTTATATTCCTTCATTTGTTGGATAGTGAGCAAGATGGACGATACATAGTCCGAAGATCGGTAGCCTAACGGTATCAGACCCTTACTTTCCCTTGAAGTCAATGGTTCGAGCCTTGGTAAAAACATGTGTGTGTGAGTTATTATGAATAAAAAAAAAAAAAAACCTCTGCAGAATGCCAATCGGAAACACTGAACATTCCCTTACAGAATATTAATGTTTACATCTATATAACACCGACTTCCACAAAGAACAGAGGAGGAATTCAATCAAAACATGTCATATGAGAAACGTTTTTGTGACTGAATCACTAAGTTGATCACATCAGCACTGTTCGCAGTGGGCGAGCTGTTATTAGGCCTATCCGACATGTTTATACACATATGTTTATATACGATCGATCTATCAACAAGACTCTCATTCTAGTAAAACCAACACTACTTTAGAGCAACTGCACTATGCACAGCATCACCTATGCATATGCATGACATTTTCAATATGAAATTTAATTTTAAAAATCTCATAAAAAATGCATTTCATAGAGAGCGAAAAGAGAAATAAAGACTATATACCGTTGAATGAGTCCTTGGGGTTTATCTCATCCTCCAGTTTCCTATCTATTTTACCCTTGACACTGTCGAAACAATCACAACAAGAGTCAGAATTTTCTATGAATTGAGCACCGATCATAGCTTATCGAGGGACATGAGTTGCTGGCTTCTTCATTCCCCCATCAATGCAGCTTTTCACTGGCTTCTTCAATAATTTTTGCAATCATCAGTAATAAGTTGCTCGCATTTAGTCAGGTATATAGTCATCAGTTTGACATGAACATCTCTTTAATTTGATAGCGAGGAAGCACAAATTGGCCATCCCAAGAGAATCACATCATACGAGGATATCCGGGGCTGGTGCTAGCAACTGCTCCGGCGAGGTAACCAATGCCAGTGTAGCTTTGAGCGAGAGGAAGAGGAACTTCAATGATGTGGGGAGCTTGTACAGGGTTTGGATTGAAACTTTCAGATCTTGGTATGGGTTGTGGAGTTGATGATTGTTGTCATGATCATCTTTGTTGTGATCAGAAGTTTTGGATGATACGCCATGTTCTAGAGATCGGGTTACTGTTCATTGTGTACCATGAGGTAAGGAGAACCACACCTAGCTCTTCTAAAACGCAAAATAATTCCACTAAATGAAAAAATATCTTCAAACCTGACAAGTTCAACGGATAAAAAATAAAAACAAAAATATCCGACATAAAAAAAAAAACAAAACAAGCCTAAAAGTCTTGAAAGTTATTTTACTTAAATTACATGTGTCCAGATCAATCTATTTTCAGTAGTCTTAATAAAAATATTATAAATACCATATTTCAGCAAGCTTTAGTATTTAACAGCATTTTTCTCAATAAAGTGGAAGTATTAGCATGCTATACATCAACAAATATCAGATGATATATGCAAAACCAAGACTGCTTAATTAAAAGACATTCACCATCTCAATTACTATATGGATATGGCAACAACAAAAAGTCCGGTCTACTAGACGTAACTGACACCCAAATTACCAAGGCATTTCATTCCTCAAGGACATAATTCATAATATCTGATAAATTCTCCAAAAGATAAATTTTCTTTAACAAAGATTAATATAGAGAGAGAAACTAATATATTAATGAAATTACTTCTCCATGTCCTAGTATAAAAGGGCTACCCGGTGTAAAAGGTTCCCGCCATTGCGGGGTTTGGGGAGGGTTCAATGAATGCAGTCTTACCTCCATATGCGGAGAGACTATTTCCTATTTCGAACCTGTGACCTCCATATCACTATGAAACAACCTAACCATTTCTGCATTCTTACTTACTATATGATATGCTATTCCCACAAAAGGATAAAAAATTTTCAAAGGAAGAACCACAATCTCACCAGAAAATCCCAAGCATCTTACTCTCAAAACATAACTTTACCAACAGAAAAGTAGCACCAAATGGTCAAGTACAACTATCCATCCAAAGATGCAAATAAACATAATAATAGCATCCAGAGGCCTTAAATCAAAATCAGCGACATCATCAATTATCTTAAAACAGCAACAGCATTTCAACAACAGTCAATACAACAATACGAACCAACCATCCAAATGTAGAGGACAGAATAAATAAGGAAGAAAATCCCCTACTCTGAACAGTACAGTCAGTTCTATCCAGTTCGGAATGTACTCAACAATAAGGTTGGTATATTTGCATCCCGAACTGGACGGAACAGGTCCTAATGTTCCAATGGAGAGGATTCAGGTCCACAAAATAAACCTAAAAATGGCATATTGAGGTCTTATCTAATTTACAACAAGAATATAGAGCTAAACAGCCTAAACATCGCATTAATCAACAATTCATTTGAACATTCAAATAAGAAAAATTGGATCCAAAAACCAATCAACCATTCATTTGAACACACATAATAGGAGAACTACAAACTCTCTCTACATAAATTGGATTCTCATAACAAAGTTTGATTCAAATTATTCATCACTCACATCTTCTACAAAATACAACATCATCAAATAAATATATATATCAAAGCATGAATCTTTCATGCAGAATATAATAGTCAATTTGGCGATGAACACCTTTATATCTCAACAGATCAAAATTTCGGAACAATTAAAACAAAGCATAGAGGCACAGACCAAAATACCCTCATATCGGCACGTATCTCTTCAATGCCTGCTTCCCTGCCACTGCAATCCCAACCACCATTCCGCCGATTGCACCTGCCACCGCCGCTGATCTTGGCCCCGCCGCCGCCTTATACAGCGCCCCAGTCCCCAGTCCCGCAACCACGCTGTTCACCACGTCGTCCGTGTCCCTCACCGCCACCAATCCACTCTCCATCCCAGCGAACAACAACCCGAGAACCCCCGCCCGGTTACCGAACTGCCGGCCCGTCTGTCCCGATCCGTTCAGGATCCGGTTCACCCGAAGCTTCATCGAGTCGCCGGACTCGAACGCCCTGACGCCATCGATGAAGCCCTTTCCGGCGCCGGTTCCAGCTCCGGCGAGGTACCCGATGCCGGTGTAGTAGGTGAGATTCTCGCCCCAGGAACGGCGTTGAGCGATGGACTCCTCCTGGAAGAGGAACTCCGGTGAGGTGGGAAGCTTGTATAGGGTTTGGATCGGGACTTGGAGATCCTGGTAAGGATTGTAGAGCCGACGATTGTGGTCGTGATCATCTTGGTTGTGGTCCGAAGGTTTGGGGATGTACGCCATGGGCGGGGGTTAAGGTTAGGGTTTGGTAAATGAAAAGAGCAACTGAAAATTCTAATTCGTATAGAGAGAGAAAGAGGAGAGAGAAACTCCTCCAGCTTCTTCTAATCTGGCGAGAGTGAAATGTGTACAAGTCCCAACGCCGTCTTTTTTGTGGTTTTGTTGAAAATATCAGTCAACTAACTGGTCAGTCAGATTTTTCTTCTTCTTTTATATGTGTATATTTTAATTATACAACTTTTTTTTTTTATTATTATTATTGTTTTTATCAATAAGAAGTAATGCTTACCTAAAAAAATAAATTAAATACCTTAGTGAGTGTCAATTTTTGCTTTTAAGTTTAATTTGTTTGGATGTAAAATATTTTTTAAAAAATAATTTATTTTATTTTATTTTATATTTGATTGTCTTAGAATATTTATAAAAAAAAAATATTTAATGTCACTATTAAGTAACATGTTAAAAATATTCTAATTTATAGTTGCATGGATTAGAATATAAGTGATTTTTAATATGTGGACTAAAGTAATATAATTAATTTTATATATTTTAAAATTACGGAGGTAGTGTAATAAGAGGAGCTTTGTGTGGTTATGACCATATTATAATCAACAATATTTATATTTGAAAAAAAAAAAAACACACACACACACACAAACTTCATATGGGTAAATACATTTTTGGTGATTCATTTGGTTGATATGTCAAGAGTAAAAGATAGGGCCTAGGTCCAAATCTCAATTAATGTCAAACCAAGCATAAATATAGATTAAGTTTGATCACTTCTCTCTATTAAGCTGGAGGCAAAACAGAGTGTCAAGGAAGTGCGCTCAAATTGTTGCAAACAATCTCTCTCATACAAAACAAATGCTTATATGCTTGAAGATGCAAGAAATCTTTATTCTGTATTAGGAAAGTTTTTCCTCTTTCCTTTTCTCTGACTTATATTTATAGAAGTGTGTATTTGCCCTAATACCTCTCTTGACTCTCGGGTCTGAGCCTTTCTGAGTTGGGTCTTCTCTTTGGGCTGCAATGGACGGAAGACTCGTTCATAATGCTGACGAGGTTGGGCCTTGAAATGGCCCGATGGCGCTCTGGCCTGGTTCCGGGCCTAGTGGGCCGGCCTGAGTGTAGCGCAGATCACTTTCTGTACCTTCAATGCTTATTTCTCTCTCTCTTTCGTGACACAAACACAATGCTCCCAAATTAATATTTTGACAAATTTTTAGGTTAAATTCAGAACCCTCCTTCACTATTCATATTTGTCATAGGAGGGGAGAGAAATTGTTGATACATATATGTATGTATACACACAGCCCACTTAACCAAATAGACATGCTCAATCTAACATTCACAATGACTCATCCGAACAAAAAAATCATCAAAAATGTATATTTCAGTTAGATAAAAAAATGTAAACAAGTTTTTCGGGTCATTTTAAAAAAAAAATGCCCTGCAAGATCTCTAAAGTTCCAATTGAAAAGATATGGTTCCTTCAAGTGCACTTCCTTGATTTTTCAGGAAGTTGATAAATTTACAAGCCAAACTACCTTTTCGAAAAATAAGTCTTTAAAGGCCATTTTCCAGTCTTGAACTTGAACTGCTGCCACTTTCTTCTGATTGTGATATCCATTGACTCCCCGCGTGCATACTAGAATTACTACTCCAGCTATCCTGGTTAAACACAATCACAAACTATTAGAAAATTTTCGAATGTATGTCGAGAAATTTTGAGACTAGATAATTTTCAAACTGGTTTCAGTAATCGATTTTTAGAACAGCCACGAGAACTAGTATCACATCTTCATAAATGCATCTCTCTCGACTAGTTATGCCCCAAGACAACTAGAAGCATTATGATTGTAGCAACCTATGAAGCCGAGGACAAAGGCAAATGCTATTCATCTGTTTATTCATTGGCATTAAACTGCAGTCATTTTCCATGATTGTTTCAAACTTGAAGAAGTGAAAAATAATAGTGGTAAAAATTGTGATTGAGACTACTCTTATACGAGATTTCCCACTTGGAAATGAGAGAGAATGACATTTTATCCACCAATACTACTAGTTCTATAAACACAATCATTATAGAGGATTTAAGTGTATGTGTATATATATATATATATATGCTGGCAATGCTTTCCCAAACTTTTTCTTCTCAGGTATTCCTAATATCAGGTTTGTTGCCAAGAAGACAGAAAAAGAGGAAACAACGTGGAGGCACTTATAACTATGACACAATTCAGTGTTTTCGTGCTTTTCCGCTCTTCTGATGAAGGAATGGACTCCGAGACATGGCTAAACAGCCTACACTGTTATCAGTAACAACAGAGTTCAAAGAGAAAATTACGACGACTGCTTTAACTCTAGTAGTAGCTCTTACTTCTCCCACATTGGGGCAATAGTGGGTGTTTGGGGTGTGTCTTGCCTAATCACAAAAGAAACCCAACTTCAGTTATTTCAATGGTAACCAACCAAACTCAAAGTTCAACTTACTTGAAAACTTGGATTACGTGTAGATACTGCATAGGCAATCTCGTCTTTGCTACTGGCCCCATTATCTAGCCCGAAATCTCTTAGTCGCTTCAGTTCAGGCACAATGACTGAACCGAGATCTGGCCTTTCTTTCCTCCTCAGCTCAAAACACTGAATTGCTATAACTTAGCATATGATAAGACCTCCTCAAAAGGCCAATCTGTTACTGTTGGATCAAGCATCTCTGAGAGTGTTTCTTTCTCAATTGCCCTTTCAACATGGTGGGTCAGACCAATGGCAGGCTTTGCTGTAATGATCTGTAACAACATAATGCCCAATGAATATATGTCTGATTGCACACTGAGCATCCCTGTTTGTTGATACTCTGGATCTATGTAACAAAATGTCCCAGCTGCTGCTATCATGTGATATTGAGTGACACTATCAGCGACAGAGGGTGGAACCAACCGTGCTAAGCCTACGTCACTGATCTTGCTCACATAGTTCCGGTCTAAGAGAATGTTAAAAATCTGCATCCATAAAATTAAGTATGTAAATTATCTTCTGCAATTTCCAGAACACACGCACATGCGTGAGTTGACTGGCATTCTTTCAATTTTTAAATTTAACTGATCTCTCTAATCATGATTGAAACTACTGATGCTTGCCCTATCATTAGTTATTATTTTCTCTGTGGTAAGTGCTATTAAACAAGAGAAAAATATGTTCTTTATATATTAATCGCATTACTGTAAAATTATCAAATGCAATAGCTGCTAAGAGTCCAAGTAATTGACAGCATTACTATGTGACTTTGCTAGGCAATTGTAGTGTTGACAATAACAACACGAGAAATTGTTCATAGATGATGCGACTGTGTAGATAGAAGGATAGGTACTCCCACATATTAGGGATGGAATGGTTCGCGAGACTGGTTAGCCTTAGTGTACGATGATTGGAGTAATTCAAGGATTGATTCCATGATATCTTCCATCATTGGATGTCCAAATATAATGTGTAAAACATGTTCACCCTATAAATAGGGTGGTTCATTGCAAACAAAAGTAAGATTGAAATAACTAAATAAGCATGCAGAATTGCAGATGTAGCCCTTTGGGCCTTGTGTTTCTTGAATGTAGCATACAGCCTGAACCATGTTGAATTAAGTTTCATTCTTTCACTCCATTTCATGGTTCAAACTCTCATGATATCCTACACCAATTAGACGAGGGAATGATCCAAGGGATTGAACACCTTGCTGCAACTTATAGGAGAGACCGACTGACTTCATGATATCCTACACCAATTACATGCTGAAACATCATGTTTGGCGCATGTATTGCGTTCGCCCAATAAATTTGGTGGTTCACCGTCAAAAAAAAAAATCTAAAGAAGTAAGAGAGAAATCAATATGAAAATGTAGTCCTTTGGAGCTTTGTGTATATGGAAAATGTTGGGAGTGGCTTGAACCATGTTAAATTAGGTGTCATACTTTTCTCTTCATTTTTATTATGTCTTTTTCGTGTTGTTTTTCTCCACCATGACTCAATCAGACTAGGACATCTGACAGCATGTGTAATTCATGATACAGGAAAATCTCGTTTTATCTATTATAAACTAGAGTTGATGAAATAATCATGTATAAACTGTTTTCCATGGAAAAACTTGTTTTGTCTATGTCACAACTTCGAATCTGAACCATGGATAATTGATGAGATGATCCGTTATAAAGTTATATACCCTTTCAATATGTTTTAGCAGAAAGTCAATGCATGAATATTTTCCAAAGACTTTCACTGATATTTCTACATTTAGTTTTCCTAAGTATATTCTGACTAGTGAAGGATCTTGTCTACAACTAATGAACCCTTAAAAAGCAATTTTTATTTTTACCTGGATAAATTCATGCATCTGTCATTGCACAAAGCAACCAAAAACATATCATCCCTCTCGCTGAAATTGCTTTTGTCCTTGTGACATGTCCGGCTTCAGAACCTTAATTGCAACAGCTGTATGACCGAGAAAGGCTTTATAAACAGGTCCATATCCCCCTTCACCAACCTTCAATGATTTGCAGAAGTAATCTGTCGCAATTTCTATTTCTTGAATGGTGTATTTTCTATACTGAATGCCCTTACGTGCCAAAGCATCCATCACTTTATTCTTCTCTTCCGTCTCGTGAATAGCGTTCATTTCTGCATTCTCTCGCTTTTGGATCTCCAATTCTGCAAGCCTTTGGTTAGAACATCTCGCATAAAATTTGAATGATTTACAAACATTTTTGGTTTTAAGTTAGCATCAATGCAGGCAGTACATTTGTTACTTCTCCTTTTCCAAATTGTACAAACACATTCCATGATCTTAAATCTAAACATTTTGCCTCTAAAAAATAAAAAGCGAAAATAAAGCACATAAGGTTTTGGAAGTAACCGGTCCAAGAAAGTGTAGTTGTCTTGTTGTTGAGGAGACAAAGGGTGATAGAAGTCCCAAATATTATACGACAAATTTCAAATTGAAGTGTCAAGAATTCCATTCTGCTATTTGTCTGATTGAATTGGAGGGATGTATATAACATATAATAGAAATGGAAACGTGATAGCTATAGCTACTCAGAGTTAGAGCAATCCTAAACAGGTTGAACCCCCCCTTCTCATTTGATAACAGGACCATACATTTTGTCAT